TTTGTGGACACCCTGTACATCTAATGTCAAATGTAAATACCTGAATATTATTATTTTCGAAAGCAGAGATTTTCATAAATAACTTTTTTTCGTAAAACTTACAATAAAGAAATTTCCCATATGTTGCCAACTTTTTCAGACATACTGTAAATTTAAGAATCATCTTGACGTAGAGATCCGGAACGGTCTACAAACAAAATTACCAAAAAAAATATCTAATTAAAATATCAAATATGCTCAAGTGATGTGCAAACCAAAATAATCGTCAATATTATCCACTTCCATCATTAGCTTACTCTGCCAATATTGATCGGATGAGTACAAATAAAAAAGTTTAATGAATTGGTTCAAGATCTAGGCAAACATTTACAACACTCGCCCACGGCTCGAGTAGTAAACTTATGTCTTGTGAGTAATAGTTTTAATTATAACGCAGGTTAAATAATATACTATTTTACACGTGAGTGTTATCTACGACCATGCTTTTCATGTTTAGATAATGCGTTTCGACAACATTGTAAAATAGACTTTATGGTGCCATAAAATGAACTTAAACTTTTAGCACAAATTTTAATAAAATAAATAATGGTAAATAAAAGATTGTTTATAGAGTCTTGAATAAGAAGCGAGATGTGTAGGGACAAAATATGATAATTTAACATAGTTTTTTTGCCATGCTAAGTTGCAAATGAAATAAACTCGAGGACTCAAATCTACCATATTTAATTTAAAAAATCTTTTAATCGTGATGTGATTAAAACTGCTTATTTTCGAAAAATGTTCAAAAAATAAGGTGTATCAATAGAATTGCATGGAATAACTTCTTTATAACAATAATTAGGATGGTTAATTACTTGTTAATTTACAGTAAACGATCGTTATTCGTTCGTTATTCGTATCGTTATTCGATACGAAAGTACGATAAGAACTAATTTCTCGCTGGTCGACAATTAAATTCATTTATTTTTTCACATTTTACTTCTTACTGGTTAAAAATTGCTCTAATTGCAACATAAAAAATGCCAATTGACACGTTCAATTATTACAAACTATTAAAAATTCACAGTTAAATCGACTTGTTTATATTTTTCTAAGTAACATTGGCACTTGTTATTTGAATTTCTTTTAATAATCTTTCGACAATAACAAGGGAAAAAGCTATTAAAATTAGATTATTTACAAAAAATAATTTTTAAATTTTCGAATCTGTTTAAAAAACAAGACAATAATTGTCTTGTTTTCAAGACAATTATTGAAATTAATTGCTTTGAATTAATTCAAAAATTAAAAGTAAATCAATTCCAATGAGCCCTCAGTGGTTCTGTTATTTTGTTATTTATCAATTTGATTTTTGAAAATTTGAAAGAACCATTTATAGTCTGTAATTTCTTTAAGGGCAGCACTTGGTAAAAATTCTATACAAATAAACCATGATCTAAAAATGTATGTTCTGTGGGCGAGACAATCTGTATAAAATCATTACCATTTGGAAATTCTGCCGTAGTAATAAATTAGAAAATAATTCGACAGTTCCCTACAAACAAACGTTGTTTTTGGACATCCGAAAAACTTTCCTCTAAATTCTTGCATTTACAAATATTTTCGAATTAGGTAAACCGATTTTTATAATTAGACAACTTTTGGGGCTCTCTCCGCAAAAATAAGCGTGATGCAACGCAATCAATTTTCGAATTTGCGATAAGAGTATTTTCGGAATTGTTGGTTGTCTCTATACGTAAGTACGAGCGTCCTTATAACGAAATTTCCGATATTAATTCGAAAATAATTTTACGTACAATACAATATTTGGTGGTATTTGCAAACAATTACAGGACCGCGGTAACCCGAACGACTCGTATTTAAATTTAAAAATTTAACGATAATCGTTATTAAAGTATAATTTTTGAAAAAAAAGCCGTCTATGCGCAAAAAAACTTTATAACTTTTATAAAAAATCGTGGATTTGGCCTTCTACATTTTTGTATAATCGCAATTTTATGAATAAATTTACATCATTATACTTTATAATTGACAGAAAACGTTGCTGATTTGTGATCAACCAGTAACTCACCGCCTTTTTTCTTGCTCTGGAAGCTAATATCCCGGAATTCCAGGATATGCACATCGGGATTGGCACTGTTCACACTGATTTTCCGCATATCTTCGACCGACAATGTACTTTTAACACAAAAATATCACCTCCAAAATTTCGAACCCGATGCAGTTTATCGACGTCTCCGACTCGAATCAAACCTCTTGCATTAGAAATGCAATTTATCGGACCGACTGGTTATCGGGAATCTACTTCACTTGATCCCGTTTCTACGGTTAAATGTTAAATTCTGAACGATAACGCATTGTTTATATCGAGTGCAAAACACAAGTTCGATCGACAGCCGGCAATTATCTAATATTAGTGAAATTAATTGGTTGAAAGCACACGGCTTTTTATCACGTGGTGATGACACTGACACTGCGTTAGCGTGTAGTTATCTCGACGTTTCGATTATTTTTTTATTTTCAAATTCGCCCGGCCTAAACGGTTCTCGTTGGTTCTCTAATTAAAATGCATTAGGTGGTAAGCGTAGATAATGGCCAGCGTGGTGACAAAGTTCGAATAATAGTAATTAATTTCCAAATAAGACCATGAAATGATGCGATAACAAATGATTCCATATTTATGGCAGGGCGATATTCGAAAGGTCGTTGTTATAATTTAATAAGTGGATGTTCTTGCGCAAATGGCGAGGTGAGAAACGCGAGTTTGATTTGTGGAAAATTGTTCTGTTGTGGTTGATTTTTGATTGGAAAATCGCGCGAAAAGTATCACTTTGCCATGTAATATCTGCTTGTACTAGTACAAGGTTTTATTTTGTTTATAAGTTCCAATTAGATATATTTCGAAAACAAATTTTTATAATAACCCGTGGTGAATGCCATATTAGATCTCCTTGGGGATCTAGTTTGGCTACAATTTCATTAAATTTAATTTACTTACACTGTAATTAAATAACGGTCCTCATTACTTTTTTAATCTCCTAAAAAAATATTGGTTATACGTACAGAAAAATGACAACATTGCGAAATAAAGGCAATGTACTGTGAACTGACAAAAAACCAGAAGAACCAAAATTATACAGCATACATCAAATAATTCCGTACAAATATTGTACAGTTACAGCGGTACATTGAAATAAATCTCCGCTGATGATTCGCTAAAAAAACTCAGCATTTCCGATTCGAATCCTAATTTCTAACAGGACGATGAATTATTGTCCTTAGGATTGATTACAATATTATTCAAATTAAATGGGTGCTTAAAACGTGTTTGAATAAATATTTTACCGAGACTCGGAATTGCGTTAATTAATGCGATATTTTTTTGAAGGGCGTTCAATAAACGTCTGCGATGAACAGGAAGGGACAGATGGTCTGGGTTTTCAGCAGGTTGTTTAAAAATAAACTCCACCAAGGTCTACCACAGGCTCGTTTAAACTTAATTATACCGTTCGAGAGAAGAGGGAAGGCTTTTTACGGAAAAATGGTAGAGTTGATTTATTTAATTAGCGCAGTTTGTTTTACCGGAAGTATTTTTATGAGGCGAACAATAAAATTGTAGTAGGTAAAAAAATTGGATTGTTAAACGTAAAATTGCTTACGTGAATTTTTACGCGTTTGGCAAAATTTTGATAGAATAAATTTTGATAGAATAAATTAGAAATGAGGAATACTGTTATATAAAAGATCAAGCTAGATGGCATCACAGGGGAGGCAAAATAATACAGCGTGTCCAAAGAGTTGCAGATCCATTTGAACTAATTGAGCATCATCCTGTATAAAGAAAATGTATTGTTTATTCCACACTAAAGTCTTGTGTGAAATGTTTTAAATATTAAAGCAATTAGAGCGTTTTTTTGTATTTATTTTAGAAACAATTCTATTTTGAAAATGTCTCATTTGTGAACAAGTTTTTCTGTAAAGAATACATCAAAGGGATTTTTGGGACACTTTGTAGTTACGTGCCTATTGGAATTTTGGTTATTAAATTAAGTGTTTCTTAAAAGAGTCTTTAAGAGTATTTGTATAAATATTTTGGGCATAATTAAAGCTAATATTACCGTTATTTAAACGAGTTTACAAGTGATTTAGACGAGTTTCTGGATTGTAATGGGAGTCTTTGAATTAGTCTGACGAATTTTAGTTTGTCTAGCTCGTTTCGGAGTCATTTAATTGATTAAGTTTTAATTGTTTACCTGAGTAAAAGTTATTATTATTATACAGCTGCTTCAAGTTGAAAAAACTCTTTCGTGTTATATTATAATAAAAATATTCGACATGTCCAATTCAAAAAACCAACCTCTGAGTACATAATCGATATTTAATTGGATAAAATTTAATTAAAACAATGCTAATAAAAAATAAGTAACAAAATAATTGTTTAGTACATTTTTATCTTATTGTTCACCAAGTTTGATGGAAAATATATGTAGGTACTTAAAATTTTGCTTATATGAATTACAAATATATTTTTATTGAATTCATAAAGTTGGCTTTACTCAACTCTATTTAATTTTGTTTAAAATCTTGTTATATTTTATCTTTACTCATTGTGCAGGTATAAGCATTATGATTCTTTTTTAGAAGGCCATTGTAATGAACTCATTTACCTGCATGCAGAAAATCGCTCGAATTGTTCGCCTAAATATTTCCTGTTTTCCAACAGAAATTACTTTCAAAAATTTCAAAAACCAAAATAATCGATAGGAAAAGTTCGATAACACTGACGAAATAGAATAAATCAAAAGCAGAAGTCAAAACACAGCGACAGATATTTTAATTTGTTTATACGAATTTCTTCGTTATCATATCATATCTCGTCAAAAATTCAAATAAATAAAAATTGCTTTGAATTCGAGAATATTAAAAATATAATTACACTAAACTATTTCGCACACCGAGTACCTACCTACGTACAATAAAGAATTTTCAATAAAACTCACCTTTTTTGACTTTCCTCTCGTAGGTCACATTTTGAAATTCGATGTGCTCGAAATCATCATTGACTCTCACGTTTCGACTAAGCGCGTCCAATTCCATCATGAGAATATTTCACCAAATACACATCAAATCTAATCGGCGTGCAATTAGCGAAATTTAGCTGCAAAATTAGAACTCGTCCGGACGCTTAGCGAACTGAGTACCAGCGGATGCGTTCAGGTACTCGCTCGGGTACCGGTTCTTAGCCGAATGGAGTTCTTCACCTAAGCAGGAGGAAAATCACCGGAATGTCAACAATTGCAAAGTCGTGGTGTTTATGTACACGATTTTGAAATCATATCTGGCTGCAGGGTCGGGTAGTACCATGATCAAGGTCGGATCCAAGACGAGCATTGCAGCTCGACAACGGATGCACTACCCCCGATGGATAGTGGGAGTACCAGCAGAGAGGGGGTTATTTATTTAATTTTTTTTTTGAATTGGAATCATTGGCGATGTAGGTGCTATTATTTGTTTATTGTGCGTATTTCCAGTTGTTTTGCAATTTGTTTGTTATTCGTTAAACGAGTTTCGGCGTAAATTTCTCAGTTTAACTCGAAATCACGAGCAAAATAAATTTTTTGTCGTAAGCGGATATTTTATAAACAATATTGAGCAATGGAATATACTGGAATAGAGGGTGAATTATTAGAACTTCCTATAAATTTAATATTCCCCCAATAAGTTTTACTTGCAGTATGGACATTTCTTTCGATTATATTCACAAGTTGCATTTCTTCCAATTTCTTTTTTAAATCACCAATTTCTCTCTACCTCCACATAAATTCACTATGACATTGTCTAATGAAAATAAAAAAATATACAGATAAGTTCAAATATTAGTATGCAATATGGCCTGAGGTTCAACAAAGATACTTTTCTATTAGTCTCATATAAAGGAAAAAAAGGGTGATGTAGTGGGATTGCAACTTTCTCATTCTAACCACTGTTATTTTAATAATCTTTCTTTGTTCAAACTAACAGAATTGACCAAATAACAGACAAGCATTTACTAAAAAATTACTACAATCTATAATAAACTAACTTTTTACATTTAAAATATGAGCATGATACTGAGGAAATTACAAATATTTGGTTTAATAAACTCATTAACTGATATTCCTTCAAAAATTGAATAGAATTGATAAGGGCATTGCCGATCGATTTTTGGGAAATTTCCATCCAAAAAAATTTGTTTGGAGCAACAAACTAGCTGAAAGCTATAAATATTTTTTGTATAAGATATTGTGGTAAGGGTACAGTAGCCTTTAGAAATTAGATAATTACAATCGTTAGTTTAAATTGCCCATTACATCGCACATAAAATGTAATTTACGAATTAAAAGGATAGCTCGAAAAAATATAATTTTTTAGCAATTATAAGGATGGTTTTATTTATGGTGTCAAAGTGTAGAATTTAATATAAGATTCATTTTTGTAACATCATTTACAGTTGGAAATAAAATCGTACTCTAACTATAAAAATACATAAGTACCTATAAAAATGAATTAAGAAATTTAATTTAAGAAAAATTAAAAAAGATTAGGAATTTTGCGTTTTATTCCAATTTTCCGGGTACTTTTCTGTCACTGTGTATAACCTCGGTTTACACATGCAACAAATAAGTTCTGTATATGGATAATCTCTTTATGGGAATACTGCAATAGGTGAAGGAATGAATGAAAAAAATTCAGTATTTACAGAAAAAAAAAAACATTTATTTGTAATTATTGACGTACATCTAAACGAATGGAATTATTGCACAGCCAATAAACATAACAAAACAAAAAAAAAGGTAATGTATAAGATAAGGCACATTTTCATGTCGATAACGAAATTTACAGAGTATCAATTTTCGATTTTAGAACGAAATGTACAATACGTATTGATATTTGAAAAATATATCGTTACATTTAAATCCAATGTAAAAACGCATTTGTATAGCAAACGTAAAAAATAAGTAAAACCCCATCAAGAAGCACTAATTTGGTAAATTATAAAAAAATATTAAAATAAAAATTCATTACATAGTAACTTTTATCCAATTAAAACAAATCATTGGTTAAAATAAGAAGTCAAGCAATTGGATTCAAATAGTATTTGTTTGATAAATTAAATGTAGTTCAAAGTCTCGAGCAAAATAAGTACCCTTTGAAACAAATCAAAGCATACACAATGGGTAAAATTATAAAAAGTAAATAATTGCCTTTCAAGTAAATAATTTATAGAAAATAAGTCTTTAACGAAACGTAAATTATCTTAACCTCTAATCAAAAACATAAAATTTTGCATGTCGACTCTAATTACGCCAATTTTGCGGTCGTAACGTACACGTAAAAATTATTAATTCATTAGTAACGAATCATTACTCCTAAACAACGGATTTTATTAGTTTAAAATCTCTTTAATGATAACAATAAATTTTTTTGGACAAACAAAATATCGAATTTGAAAGAATTATTAACGATGGATCGAATATCTAAGCATAATTATCAAATTTTCCAATTAGCAGGCGATTGTAAAAATTTTATTCTATCATATAAGATAATTTCTTGAATAATAATTGCCAATTTACATTCGAGTAAATCAGCTACCTTCGGTAAGTACAAAAATATTCTTGAGTTTTTCTAGAAGTTCGAAAATTATTGCTCTGCCAGCGTCGTCAATGTCATCAACTAATGGAGATTACTAATTCACAAATCGTAAAAGAGAGGAGGAAACGATCGACAGTATCGCCAAAATCAATAAATAATGTACCAATTATTATAATTTAAGCGATTTTTATCTACTAGTTTCGTTTAGGATTACTGAGGTATCATTAATATTGGGGAACATTCTTTGGTTGACAGTGTTTACGTGTTAACAAATTTTAAAGAATTTTGCGCTATCATTTGATAAAGTTTCTTCTAATGAAGGGAATAAATTTCACTCGTAAATAGGAATGTGAGTATGTGAATAATACTGAACAATCGATGACAGTCATTGTAATAAAATTACGATATATATTTTATCTAATTCGTTGCTGAAACATCGTAAAAACTGCACCAAATTCAATTGTGTCTTTTCAAATATTAAATAGAAAATTGATACTAATATAACAAAGTGCAATCACTCATTGTACATTAATACATTCGATAAATTTAAATCTTTTTCTCGCCCCTCAGTAAATCGTACGCCGCCCCCAAGGCCCAGCTGATCTCGTGACCGTTGATTTTCTTATGCAACTAGAAAAGAAACTTTAACTTCAAATATGCCCTCATCATACTACCTAACAATGAGATGTACAATAACGAGTTAAAACTATCCATACGGAGCAAACTAGATAGTACACAGAGACAGAAAAGTACCCGAATAATTGGAATAAAACAAAAAGAAGTCACACGAGGCGATACCTCTCTAATTTTCGAACATAATTTCCTTCATTTTCTCGCATTTATCATTGGTTGAAGTGGTCGAAGACCGTCCGGAATAAGGCAGATCTTTAGGGATCTCTCGACCGTCTTTAAAAGTTTTGTACCATTCGTAAATATACATTTGTAAAAATCCACCTTAAGCACTTACTTCAACTAGGGCCCACAAAATATCGGACAAACTCTTTGTTCATTATTTTTGTCCATTGCAAAATTCGAAGAGCACTACCGACATGAACTGATTCAATCGGCTGCTACAACCAAACTGATTGAGAAATCCCTCTAATTTATTGCATGCTAATTAAGAACAGTATTACCTACATATAGAAACCTGAAATAGTTGAAAATATTAAGAGCAGGTAATTTAAATCAGAAATTCCGGATACTTTTTTGTCACAGGGTGTAGTATTTGCATGAAAATTTGTAGTACCTGATTATCAAGTATGCTCTTTATGGTCAGTTTAACTCGCCGTGACCCAAAATAATTTACTTACAAATATTTTGCTGGTTTCCTTTAGCCCGAAACCCTCATTTAGAAGCACCCAAATAAAGGTCAAATCTAGGCACATGAATGGTTGTTCTACATTAGCTTCATGACACGCTAAAAAATTCCAAATATTAGCTATTTAATCTTTCTAAAATAGAGCTTTTAAAGATAATTATTGATAGGTGTTGCCTATAGTACAAATTCTTATAAAACACTCTATGTAATATCAATTACTTACTTTTCTCAGCGACGTTCTTAAAGTCTCTTAATAGAACATTTCCACCTGAAGTTTCCTCTGCAATAAAAATGAAATTAATATAACAACAAATTTTATTTTATTTGAAAAACATACCGATTAATCCCACTTCGGTAGCCCTGTCAAAGTAGTAACTGAAAGCGAAGATGGTTTTCAACGGTAACTCTTCCGGAGGGCTCGCCTTTGATCTCACATAATCACTCAATATTTTCGAGCAATCTTGAAAATTAACTATAGGAATAGTTTCACCGACTTTTATGCTATTGCCCTTCACGTTCGATGTCGGGAAGTTTTCTTGTAAACCGGATACAAAATACTCAGTACCTAAACAGGAAAATCAACGGTAAATAACCTGTAATATTCGTAATAAAATTTATAGTCTATGATCAGGCTATAAATCCCAAGATATTTAACATTTTGAATGAAAAATAGATCCTATAAGCTTCCTATAAGAATCCTAATAAGCTTAAAAATGCAGTACAATAAAATACAGGGTGACTAGTTAAATAAACACTTTCTTTGGGACGTCCTGAATGGAAACAATTCTAAAACGTTACATAATTATAGCCCGACTCATTAGTGTATCACATAAGTTTATCAAACCCACCGTGATAAAGGAACTTCTTATTCTTAATGATAGGATTGACGCATTCGCTGGTAACATTAATGGCATCGCCCTGGTTCAAAGTAATCACGGAGTGTCTAGCCGCCATGAGCCCCAATCCCGCGAAACTGTTAGTGTAGACGGGCATCTGGCCTCCTGGAGACCCCACCATTTGAATGCTGTCCTTTTGCTTCAGACTGGCCGGCGTCATGGCGGCGAATGTCACTTGAGTCGAGCCTCCACCCAAGTCCAAAGCTGCTACCGTATTGGCAGGATCGCCATTGAATCTTTCTAAAAAAATATTGTTTTGTTAACGAATGTTACATAACGAGTTAATGAATTGTTTACCTAGCAAGAAATTTACTGTAAACCAAGAGAATATCCCTTCATCGGTGCCGTCCATAATCTCGACTGCGTTATCGTTTGTTAAGAATGGGGATTTTTTGAACACCCCTTTGACAGTTTGTAATAGTTTTTCAGATTGTTCTGAAGGTAACATCCTCAATCCGGCTGTTGCTCGTAGTACGACTGGAGTTTTAGACCAATATTCCTGCGGAATTTCGTTTTTGGCTTTCTCTAAAAGCGTTTCGATAGTTGCAGCTCCCTACAATTTTATAAAAGAGTTTATACGAGGCACTGAAATATTGCGAGTAAATACCTTTTTGGGTTCTTTTGCGAAAGACGAAAGGCCTGGTTTAAGGTATTCAAATAGTTCTTTGTCTAGCATTAAATGGTTTCCTGGAAAAAAATAATATTTTGTTATGTAATGTATGGGTGTGTCGAGGAAATGTAGGTGTAGGATACAGAGCAGGGGCATATAGGGGAGCCTAAAATATGTTGTTTAACCCAACTTTAACTTAATACAACCAACTTTTGAATTATCGACGATTTTAAATAACATTGATAGTGTACATGACTTTATCTATTAGCGTATTTCATCAAAAACGACAAGGAATTTTAAGAAACAAGAAGTTTAAAAAGTTTTAAAATGAAATTACCTAGAAAATGAACTAATAATTTTTTAAATCATTCATCAGGTCAAACCAATCTTTAACATTTTAAGGAAGCATCATCCTGATAAACCCTTTAAAATATATCAATTGATCTCTCCTAACTATCAATTAATGCTCTTAATACACTCATAACTTATATGAAATTTACTCATTTTAAATTTAAGTATAACTGAAATATTATTTTTTTAGTTTATAACTACACTTTGAAGGGCTATAACTTTCTCAGTAATATAACTTGACAACATGTTTTGGGCTCCACTACATGCCCCTGCTCTGGGTCGATTCTTATACTCTCGATTCAAGGTATTGATTCGACAGGCTGTATTCATGCCTTCTATGCACCATTCCCTTTGCATTTAAACAACATATTCAACGTACCAAAATAGGACTCGTGAAAGGTGTAAGCCAGCACCCTGGAGCCGGTACTTCCAGCATCTACGACAACAGCGTATACGGGCTTGTGGTATCCCAGCACTCGTTTGGCAATTGTATCGATGGCTCTGTGGCCTATTAACCATGGTATTTGGTCTGTGTATAAAACTGAAACATCCACGAGTCAGACATTGCTATTCGTAATGGTGTATATCGAGAACTTACTTATAAATAATGTAAATATTGAGGCGCTTAAAATTAAACATAAAAGGGACGTGTGTATTCCAGATACTGTTTTGTCTTTCCTCTTCTTCGTGCTGACTTTATTTGGCCTATCATTGTGCTGCTTATTCTGAAAAACATGAAATTAAATAAACTTGAAGGTTAGGAATAGAATAGTGTAAAACAGGCCACTACATTCCGCCTTATTAAGTACTTACAAGAGGATAATACATTTGCTATGCTATAAAAATATATCTACTAATTTACAACAATACATAAAATATTAATCGCTAAAGAAAATGTACGAAGAATTTCCTGGTCATTGTCCCACGTCTACAAAATGAAACTGTCTACTAAAAATAAGAGTTCTATTACTATACCTTTCGTTTACGCAATTCAGCATTAGGCATCCTGATTACTATTTATATCCTTTTGATTAAAAATATTTTTCGTTATACGCGATTTGTAAATATTGATTCGAAAATTAGTTGGTTATTTTGATGTTTTACGGGCGATGCGTTCGCGCACTTTGAACCATTTACGAATTCTGAAGAATATATTAGAATTGCCTGGTATTAATTCAATTTTGAATATAATTAACTGATAACCAGTACTTATCTGTACGCGAATACTTATTTATTGTAACGAGTACAATATAAATATGTACTTAATTGTGACACTTTTTTACAAGGCCTAATATAATAGAATTTTAGTAAATGCCAATGTTTTCTTTATCAAATTATATTTATGTAAAAACTTATTGCCTGGAAAGCGGTTTTTAATGAACTAAGTAAATTTTTATCGAAATAATGATAAGATATCACTCGTTACATATTTTATAAATGAATTTAGTTTAAAATTAGCGCACGGCATTTTAGGAATATTTTCGATAAATAGATAAATGTTGGCTATAAGACATTTCTTCTTATTTATTAGTTTGACAATTGTGACGTACATTGGACATAGAACGTAAATCGTAAAGCGAAATTTGCCCTGTTGTCAAGTTTCTATTTCAAGGAACATACAAAAACAAAAATTTAATGCTTGATAATTCTAATTCACAAAGGAGTAAAGAAGCCGATACATTTGAATAAATAATCTTGTAAAATAAATAAACCATTACTTAATGTCTCTGATTAAAATATGAAAAAGCAAGCAGGAAGTTTGTAGTTCTGAAATGGGAGTAAACAATTATTGAGAGTAAAAGAAACAAAAGGATTATAAAGGCAAACAAGAAATACTAAATATCAGCAGACGGGATTAGACCAACTTTAATTGCTTGGCGATTTCCCTAAATCACCTTGAATACATCAGGTAATTAGGCTATTATCGTCCCAACACTTCCCTCTCTCCCTCCGTTCGTTACCTGCACTAGATTGCACGTGATTGGTTCGGTACGTTTTGATCGGCAATCGAACAAACTCGTTCCGTTAGTCGAAGGTTTGTTTGGTTAGTTTCAGTTAGTGTAACGTTGTGTTCGTGTCATAGTTGTTCTATCCTTTTTGTTCCCGCGAGTGTGAGTGCAAGATCGCTATAATACAGTGTAGAATCGAACAATATACGCGTGCGCTTTGTGTAAAGTTGTGAATTCCACCAAAACAATCGACATTCGATAAAGCTGGCAGTGCGCCATTTTGTACGTTTGTAATTGTATGAAGTGATTTTTGGGAAAAACGTTGCGTTAAAGTGCGATTTAAAGAATAACAGTTGTTTAATAGAAAATTACGATGTTCCGCTTGTAGATATCCATCCCTAACGTAAGGTAAGAGCTCCGTTTTCCTATAATTTGGCTGGAAATTAAATCGTTATCTCATATTACACCATACGCAACCTAGTATCACGAATGCGTATTTAAATGCTACGTTTTTATTTTAGGATAGGCGTAGAATCAGCAAAGGGGATTTATCTGTGATACGTAGTGTGTAAGGACGTTTGAAATTCGCAAAATGAGTTCGCCCGAGGAAATTAAAGCGGAATACGCGTCGAGTTTGGCAGATCTGACTTTCAACAGCAAGCCCTTGATAAACGTGCTTACAATGCTGGCCGACGAGAATTCCCCCAACGCCAAAGTAATCGTCGAAGCTATCGAAGAGCATCTAGCAAAGGTTACTATTTTTCATTGTTATTATCAGATCTCATGTGGGGCCCATAATGTACTATTTACATTATGGGTCGTGCATTGTTTAAAAGCCGAACGTTTTGTGATATATTTGAATAAAAAATTTCGAAGTAAATTATCTTATTTTGCATTACAATATCAATCCACTTTTCGGTTATAAATAACTATTGAATATGTGAAATTGAAATTTTAAAAGTATTTGAATTTGTTTTCGTATTCCGTGGGTTATCTTTGTTATTGATATTGAATGTGTCAGTGATTTTATTTCATTTAACTCAACTAAATGTAGGTTGTATGTGTTCAGGCAATATGTTAAATCAAACAAAATGTATTTTTCCATAATATGTACTGTTTGCAATTTCCAATTCCCAGATTTATCACTTTTATCATATTTATTTTACAAACACTATATCAATAATAGCTATTTTTTGTTTGATTTGGCATATGAGGAAGGATAGTAAGCACTTATATGTAATTGAATTTCGTTACTAATGTGCTGAGATCATTTCTAGCTTCCTCATTTGACCTGGAGTAAATTTTTATTAAATAACTGACAAATTTTTTTATAATGTGTCTGGATTCAATGTTGGAATATTTTAATAGACGATTCTAAATTTCAGTTCAATGTTAATTATACCTTCGAACAATTATGATGCATTTAAATTATATATTCCAATATTTAATCCACATACTATGTAATTTCTATTAAAGTGTAACTTGCATTAAGTTTAACAAACATTTACGTGGCATTTTTACAATGTTAGTTATTCTAATGGAAGGTATACTAAAATCAAATGCATTTTTACCCCTCTCAGTCCCAATTTTTCGTCATTACAGCATATAAACTGTAATTTTTAAATTAGTGGGTATTTTTATTCGTTGTTTTAAAGCGAATAAGCGACGACCGTACAGTTTTATATATAATAATCTCAGGACATTTTAATAAATTTTGGGCTAAAATGAATAGGGGACATTTCATGCTGTTGACTTGCCGTGTATGAAAATGTAGAGTTAATACCATTTTTTACCTGCTAAAAACAATTCAAAATTTCTTAAAATGTCCAATAATACCAGAAGGACGACGAATAGTGCTACATCGAAATGAAGAGTTCTTAATTTGAAGTGTTTTGTACAAATTTACTGCTACAATTTGGGGTATTGTGTGTTTTGCAATTGTGGAGATATTCTCTAAAATTCACTTTTTAAGGATCATTATTTTCAAAAATACATACAACAATTTGAAGTTTTTTGCCTTTTACATTTGTAAATGTTTGCTGAACACCAGCATCAGGATTCTCGACAGTAGTGATTCATACTCTTAAGAATTTCATTATTTGTTGACGAGCGTTTTTTTTTATAACGGAAAAAAATGTACTTCTACTTCAGATTTAGTGTAGATATACAATTTAATTTACTTTGTTTAGGTACCGTGTTATTTCTTAAATGTATGTATTCCAGTTATAATTTCAAGTACATACATTGTTGATTAATTTACCTCCATTTAACTTACCTAGCACACACTAGTCGACCTTTAAGTAATTGGTTATTTTGTTTATTCAAATTAAACCAATGTAACCGTCTCTTTAAAAATGGTATTAAATCTACATTATCGTTTGCGGTGAGTGGCAATAAATTTTAGTGCACATGTGTCGGAATTTAAGTGCGTATCTACTCCCGATTTCGGATAATCGGAGTATCCAAATAGGTAAATTACGTTTGTAACACACCTAAGCATATTCTTTCGATATTCAATGCAAATAGGGCGCTGGTAACGTGAGTATGTTATTTTTTTTTAACAGGTTCAAACGGACGTGAAATTACCGATTTTGTATCTTATCGACTGCATCGTAAAGAACGTTGGAAGGACGTACACATCGTTATTTAGCCAGAACATCGTGTCTACGTTTTGCGGTGTTTTCAAAGTGGTAAGTTTTTGGTTTTGTAGGTTACAAAATCACGTATGGTGAGTAAATATTATTGTTTGGTTTCAGGTTGACGAGAAAACGAGAGCCGAGATGTACAAGCTTCGACAGACCTGGAACGACGTCTTTCCCCAAATGAAGCTCTACGCCATCGATGTGCAGATCAGCTTACTGGATCCAGCTTGGCCTGTTACGGCCAAACCCCCATCGAGCAGTATTCACGTAAATCCCAAATTCTTCAAAAATACGGTAAGTACTTCTACCACTTTTTATAAAGCTATATTATTTATAATTAATGGAATCTTGATTAATTAATAATTGTTGTTTTTGTAGTCCTCTTCGTCGTTAAACACGAAAGCTGAAGCCGAAGCCAACAAGTTGATTCCTCGGCCGGTCGATAAGGAAACGCTCCTCATGCAAGAGCAGTTGATTCAAAAGCAGAAGGAACTGTTGGAATTGCAACAGAAGAAGCTGGAATTGGAGGTGCTCCAAACACAGGTGAAATTACGCGAGCAGATCACACAAGGCAGACCTCAGGTAAGTCGATATTTTGATATTGGTCGTTTTCGTTAAATCATTGAAACGATTTCGTATTGTTTAGAATATTTTGTTGAAACCAGAAGTGGCTAAACAGTTGGTTCCCACACTGAGTCATCAAAAACAATCTGGAACCGTAAGTACGGTAAAGCGGATTATTTCTTCTCGTATTCATATATTTTTCTACATCTTGAGATATTCAGGATATCCCGAAATATTCTTAGATGTGGATAAGCTAAAGGAGATCTGAAAGACAATAATTATTGAACAAAACTAAATTTTTGATTATTGAAACGTTATTGGTTTTATACGAACCTCTTATACCTTCCGATTATATCGGAAAAAATTGTTTTTCCAACTTTTTGAAATCGATAAAATACTGCCTCATTAAATATGGATTAAATCCATACTTCCCGACTATTTGAGACAGTTAATTATAATTTCATTACAAGAAAGTTTGAATTTGATACAGTTTGAATTTGATTCTAGCTTAATACTAGCTTTTCAGTTCTCTTAGTTTGTATATTAAAAAATCGAAGAATGTAAATTGTTTTAAAAATGAAGAAATTTGCCCAATTCCATGGTCAGTAAATTCTATTTTACCATCAGCGTCTAGCAATGATATTGCCTACAAATTTCGGGACACCCTGTTTATTATAACTCTGACTTTAATTTTGATAAAAAAATACGTATATTTTTCTTTCAGAATGCTTCTTTGTTACAACAGCAGAAATCCCAAACAGTTCCTACGAACGGTACTAAAATAAATCCGGTGAGCAGTGCTCTGATAAACGCCCGGCCAGTGCGTGATCCGAGACTGATGAGGCAGCAGCAAAAGCAACCTCAAAGAGGTCAACAGCAACCGACAACGACGGTTGCGACGACGACCACACCGGCGACAGCACCAGATGGTAATGCAGACGGTCAGTTACATCAAAGGACTTTAATAGAAAATAATAAAATTGTTACAAATAAAGTGGGTGTTCGAAAAACTCGAAATGATCCTCGGTTAATCAATAAAGATGAAGCCTCTACCCAAAAAACAAACACCTCAAAATCCGCCAAATCCTCGAATTCAAAGTCCCACAAATCCTCACGATCTTCCTCCCAACGCTCGGGGGGCACTGCCTCCGATTCGTCTTCTAATAAATCTACCTCTAACAGTTTGGATATATCCAAATCGAAAACAGATTCAGTGAAAACCCAATCGCCTTCTAAAAGTAAAAAGAAGGACAAAAGTGACGATAAGAGACCCGCTAGTCCGAGTCCGAGGGAGCACAAACGCGAACGATCGTCCGTCACTAAAAGCCCGACGTCCTTTAAAGGTATTAAATCGTTGAAAAATCGCAACTACGTTAGAAGAAATATCGGAAGCACGAGTCCGGAGATCGCAGCGCAGGACGAGGATCTGAGGTCTTATGGGCCGCCGGAAAAGCAACAGAGGTTGTTGCATGGCGACCCTCTCGTCGAACCAAGTAAGAATGTTTTTGATTCCTTATTGCTTTTTCATTCACAAGTCGCAAAAGAGGATTCGGAATTTCGTGGTGGTTATCGAGCTTGCACGCTTAATTTAGATTGTCGCTTAAATTCGACGATTTTATCGAATTTCAATTGGTTTTGTTTTACAGTTAACGCTCAGAATGTCGCGGAATCCGCTGCGAAAGGAATGGACGTCGATTTCAGGCAACTACCGGCCGCTGTCGGGAAAAAGAGGAGTTCCACCGATGCACCGGAAAGTACTGTGGGACACAAGAAAACCAAATTTGATAAGTAAGTTCTTCCTCCAATTTTTTTTTGATTTATTATACTCTTCCCAACCATAATACAAACCTATCATCACCGTCATTTTCGCTTAGTTTCATGTTTAATTCTACTCAGTTAATATCCAAAGTTTTCATGCATTCCTCGACTTATTTAAAGGAATCTCGAAGGAACCATCTAAAACCAATTATCCCAGTGTTACCAATTTTTTTCACGAAATCCGTTCTTCAGTCATTACAATAAATCATATAAATGTTCCGAACATTCATCTAATGAGATCAAACTTATATTTATAAATCTTATTTTTTGCGTAGGTTATTCGGCGACGAGGACACCGATTTGAGGAAAATGTCGGTGAACGCGGAACCGCGACCGAAGACTCCACCACCCCCGATCATCTCCTCAACAGCAGCACCAAAAACCGATTCTCCGAAGAGCAACTTGGACGCCGTTCGAGCCAAACTGGCGAACGCCACGAACCGAGACAAAGTCATGGCCATATCATGTAAGTCACCCGCATTTAATCAATTAATTTCAAACACTAATCTCGTTTTGATTTCAGTCAACAAGAAAAAGATGCGATTAGAAGACCAGGACCTCAGGCAGCCGATTACCATATCACCGGAGGCCACGCAGAAGATCATCATTTCCCCCGAGGACGAGAGCAACATCAAGTCGGGCAACATGACGAGCGAGGAGAGCAAGAAGCTCCTCACGAAGATCATCCTGCAAATGGAGAAGAACAAACTCAAGGAGGCGAAGCGGAAAGAAAACGTAACGTCGCAAGTCGCTAGCGACGAGGAGATTTTGGACAGCGACGAGGACCGCAGGAGGAGCGCCGTCGAGCCTTCGATCATCAACGAGGATAGTTTGATGGCTTTCAACGATAAAGACGAGAGGGTGATGCCGGGCGCCGTGCCGCCGCCGCCGTCGCAGGGCGATTTCGTCGGTCGCTTCTTTCCGCGGGAAGACAGGGAGGTCAGGCGGTATCCGAGCCCTAACAACTGGAGAGGCGGTCGCGGCGGTAGAGGATGGGATAACCAACATTCCAGAGGGCCCGGTAGGCACTGGAACACTTGGAAAAATCCGCCGTACGGCCATAACAATTTCGATGAAGTTCACGTCCAAGACGACGAGAACATTCTAACGGCAGACATTCCGAACGAGGACGAGATCAAAACGATTCCCATCGACGGGGTTTTAAGAGATATAAGATATTACGGCGAAACCGCGATCGCTTTTATCGATTGGGACGATCCGAGGGATTTGAACTTCCACGACGGAGTGAGACAGATCACTTTCAACGATAAAGAATCTTACATGCTGAGTTTTAACGAACCCTATAAAGAAATTACGGTGGATGGAAAACCTCATTTGGTCCGATTGGGTGCTCCCACCAGGGAGGTCTTTATCGATCGGGTGCCGTACGAGTGTATGTTTGGTAGTGGTGGAATACGCGTCGAATTGGACGGGGTCCCTACAAAAGTACAATTAGATGGTCCCGTGCCCCAAGTAAATATCGGCAAAGCGAAAAGAACTGACTTAGTGGCGGGCAAAATAAATTTGATCATTAATGCAATGGTCGTGGTGCCGGTGTTTTTGGACGCTAAAGTACAAAAATTTGTTCTCGATAACGAGACGAGTACTCTGAAATTTGTAGATGCATTAAAAACTGTTTTAATAAATGATGTTCCTTTTACTGTTGAATATGGTGGTCTTCCTAAACCTTTTATTATCCACGGTAAAAAGCATTTTATCAGATTTTCAGTATTACCGAAAGGCATTAAACCTGGGAGAGTTCAAATTATCGATATGGAAGGCGAAGGCAGCATCAGCCCTCGAATCGACGAGAACAGTCAAGATAGCATGACTCCCTCGGATGCTTACGATCCAGGCATGCCTATTGCTGGTATGCTAGACAACAAACCAGTCGGTAATGAATCGCCCGATAGGAATTCTAACTCTCCTAATTTCATCCAGAAACTCTTGCAACAACAACAAAGTAAGTACATACACTTTTTTTATACATCAAGTGTTTTAAGAGCATTTGTAGGTTTTTTTCCAACAAAGGTACTAAATTAAATGCAAATATGTAGTAATTAGTTCAGTACTTTTATTGGAGCAAAAAATGTATGTAACTATAATACTTTTTTTTACTAATTTGTAGACAATCTCGACGTTCTCTCCAACTCAATCATCTCGCCATCGAAGCCATTACCGGTAACCGGCGGGTACCAATGCGAAAACGACCAAGGCTCGCAGAGCCTGCCGGTAGCTCAAACCGCCGCTCCTCTGCCCGCCCCCGCGATAAACATCAACGACTTGTTCCAAAAACTCGTCGCCTCCGGTTTCGTCACATCGTCATCGGAACCGAAGAAGCTCAACGAGCCCGCCCAGGCTCCGGCGCCGCCTCTGGCCAAGAAAAAGGAACCCACGCCGCCGCCCCCGGTTCCCAAGCTGCAAATTCCGACCACCAAAGCGCCGAGCTTGAACCTGAACTTCCAAATACCTAAAGTGAAGAGAAACCCGTGCGCCAACATGAAACCGATTACGTTCGATCGACCGGAATCGCTGAGAGTGCGCCAAAGCGCTTTGTATCACACGCTATATTCCGGCATGCAGTGCAGCAGTTGCGGGATGCGTTTCTCGCCAGAGGCCAGCATGCAATACAGCCAACACTTGGATTGGCACTTTAGGCAGAATCGCAAAGGAAAGAGGAACAGCAGGATAGCGACCAGCAGAAAATGGTACTATTCTCTAAGCGATTGGAAGAACTACGAAGAACTGGAGGATCTCGAAGAGAGAGGTGAGTAAACCATTTTGTCAATACTTATTCGATTCTAATTGGTGTTTATGTAATTTTTTTTTCAGAAAAAAATTACTTCGATCAGCTACAGCAAGCCGAGAACGGCGGCGACGACGCGGAAGAAGAGGTCGAAGCGCCGAGCGTCGCCGCCGATCCGGATAGCACTCTGGAATGCTGCAAAGTGTGCCACGACAAGTTCGATCAGTTCTTCCACGAAGAAAAGGAAGAGTGGCACTTGAAGAACGCCATCAGAGTGGACGGATACACCTACCATCCGCTGTGTTACGACGATTATCTGCAGTCGTTGAACGAGCAAGCGGCCGAGGAGAGCATTGTGAAAGCGCCGGAGGAGCCGGAGAAGGAGAGGCAGCGCGACGATGAAACCGCCATACCCGGTTTGGAAATTGTTATCGACGATGATGACGAGGAAATGCAAGAGCCGCCTAAGCCTGATGAGGCCCAGTCTCTCGAAAGCGAGGAGTCGAAAGTGCAGGAAACCGTGGATAAAGAGCCTGAAGAATCTGCCAAAGAAGAGGAGGAGGAAGATGGTGATGATGACGATGTTATATTGAATGAGGTAAAATTGATTTATGTACTTGTGTAGAGAAGCAGTTGTATACTGCAAATTTAAGTAGATGAACCCTTGTGAGCTGAACTGTCTAAAACTTTTTATTTTTTTCCAGGTGGCGCCTATAAAAATAGTTGTCGATGATGATGACGACGAGCCCGAGAAAGAATCTAACCCCACACCGCCTCCTCCACGCAGGATGACCGAAGATGATGGCTTCGTGGAAATAGCTGGGCTTGTAAGCCTGCCGAACGGCAAACATGTCAAAATAAAGGCCGAACCAATTGATAAAGGTAATTACAATTTACGCACAAAATATCTACGATGGACCCTCGCACAAAATTCTATTCACTATTCATAAATGTCTGGTTTAATTCGCAGATCTCGACGATATTCCATCGACGCCCGTTCTACCCGAAGAGCCGACGATGATCGTGGACATCGAGGGATCGAACTCGACGCACTCGTCGCGGGACCTGATGGCCTCGATAGACGGCAACGTGGACGTAGCGTGCAGCATCGCGTCGACGGTGTCGGGCGCGGGGCTGGGCGGCAACAAGATAAAAATTAACATTAGCAAACCATTACCTGTGATAACGAAAGAGAAGGAGCCGCTGCTCGGCATCGACGTACCGTCGGAGACGTACATCGATCCGTTCGAGCCCTTCCCGCCGGGCGAGGAGCCCGAGCCGGTGACTTTGAAGCCGGCGCTCAAAGGCATCAGGTTGGCGAAGGCGCCGCCCGTCAGGAAGGGCACGGAGCTGACGGGTTTGTGTTCTATTATGTGATTGGCCTTAGTAATTTTGTTCTTGTATAAATTGTATAAAGCAACGGGGGATGGTCGACGGAGGAAAAAATATGGGCGAGTTTGTTGTAAATATTTTTTTGGTTTTCTTGAGTGTGTATTTTTTTCTTTTTCGATTGTCGCCGATCTCTTTGAATTAAATGATTAACTGAATTGTTTTATGATTTTGGAGGTAATTCTAATTTTTTTTATTGCAAATTTGTAAATATTTAAATATCTCGAGGTTCTTTATTTGTTTGGATGCGCAATGGCTCGAACGCGTTCGGGCCAGACATTGTTTGATGAGAAACGTATTGTTATTTGTTACAAATAAATATTTTTTTAAAAACTTGCGTATATAATTTTGATTAGTGGGATTTATATTGGAATGAAGAATTATAAAATTATCTTACTAAACTATGTGTATAATTTTACTCATAAAAATAATAAATTAGTTCAAACCGTTACAAGGCTTTAATTTTCTCCCTTAAAACATCCTTTAAGATTTTTTTTCCTTTGTAGAAAAATAATGAATCGTGTAGAGTAAAAAATATATTTTACATACAAATATACAAATAAGTAAAGAGTACTTGTGCGTTTTTATCTATCATTTTGAAATCACTTTGGGTAACTTTTCTGATTTGCCGGTAAAATCGGATATGCCAAGTAATTTATTAGTGAAATCAAACAGTTTCTTCTGCAAATCCTCCGAATTGGTACTTGAACTTGGCTCGAATATCTGACAATTATGTATGTAAGTGCCTCCTTTATCTTCCAATTTTGGCGACAAGCAAGCATATACAATGGGAATTGCGCCCTTTTCTGGGGTCTAAAATAATCATTATTTAGGAATAAATAAAAAATATGAAAGTTAACCGACTTACTTTAAACAATAAGGCAGGTATAGCCGGAGCTAATTTCTTTATATAACTATTGTTAAACAAATCTGTATTGACTATACCCGGATGAACGCAATGACTTTGTATAGGTAAGCCATCGCTTTTAAAAATACCATCCAAATATTTGGTAAATAAAACTTGAGCCATTTTCGACTGAGCATACGCTGCACCAGCTATGTAATTATTCCTACAAGCATAATAAAACTTAAGTCTCTTCTTCCTTAAGTATACTTTAGTTAATATATTACCTGTAATTAATATCTTCGAAATTGATATCACCAACGACGTGAGCACAAGACGTGACATTCACAATTCTTGATTTTTCTTCCTTTTTACCACTAGCTTCCAAAAGGGGAAGCAATAAGTAAGTCAGAAGGAAATGTCCTAGATAATTGGTGGAGAATTGCGATTCATATCCATCTCTAGTTTCAATGTAAGGTCCGAACATTATACCAGCTAAAACAAATTATCAATTAGGGCAAAGATTTGCTATAGATATAGCTTGTAATAATCACCATTGTTAATTAAATAATGTATTTCGGAATATTTTTCTGTGACCTTTTTTGAGAATGTCCTCACAGAGTCGAGTACACTGATGTCCAAATTGAATAAATCAACATTCCCTGTTTTTATTCCTTCTTTTCTAAAATTAGCTATCAACAATTCACCTTGCTGAAGATTTCTACACCCTAAAATAATTTTAATTTTTATTATTTATTTTATTAAATGCTAATAAGTTATATCTTACCGATTATAACATTTATATCACATTTCAAAAGCATTCGGATCACTTCCAATCCAATGCCTCTTGTTCCACCAGTTATTAGAGCTGTTGTTCCAGATTTTACAGGCAATTCTAAAACAATTAAACAAGTACTTATAGAAACTCGAAACAAATTAGAGTATCAAACAAACCTATTTTATTACTGCCCCTCATCATGAAATCCTGCAGCATCCCTTTCGAGCCAACATAATTATAAAGTAGCTCATATCTCGCCTCCGTTAACAAAGTCTTCAAGGGTTTCTTCGACTTAGCTATTGCTATAACAGTCACAACAATGATTATGGTGCATCCTACAAGAAAAAACATTTTAAACTGCTCCTGATGGCAGGAAATGCAATTTCATCGTTAGTATGTCACTTCTTGGTTCATTAACGTTATGAAGCGGTCAAGTCAAAGTTACTTTCACTTCAAGAAAAAGGAAATCATCGAAGAAGTGAAATGCACTCGCTGATGGTCTCTGCTTTTATTTTGAAGGATAGTGGGAGCAACATATGTTGTTAATAATGTATTCATGTCTACCTAAATGTGCATATTACGTGTAATTTTAGCATTGTATTTGCTTATTTTTGAATTTTGTTCCACACTTTTTGGTAACATAAATTTCAAATCATAGAACACGTATTGATGGTGTTTTAATTAGCGGAATGGGAATGAATGTCCATTAAAATAATGACCTGAAAACCAAACTGGAAAGTTTAAGAAATCGTCATCACTCATCATCATAACCGGCCCCAAATTCGAAATATTCGAAGCATTTGAACTATTTTGTTTAGACCCTGTATGATCACCATTAGTTAGATATTAGTTATCAAAAATCATTTTATATAAAAAAAGAAGATTAATCCTACTATCACTTTCTATTTTATACACAAAACTTATAAGTACGAAAGAGACAAAACTATTTTAACAACTGAACACACTTCTAAATTAGACAACGTTGCAATCAACTACGTGTCTTTTAAAACGTCACAAACGTCAAACGCAAACGTCATTGTTTTTTTAGGGATTTTTGGTTAGAGAAAAGCGAATTGAATTGAATGGTGGAAGATTTTTATTGTCATGTCAGTTTCATGTTAATTTGAAGTAAAAACTGGTGGTAAAAGAAATCAGTTTTAAATGTGAATACGTAATTCGCGAATTTAGAAAGTGTACTATCGACGAGTTATATTTTGATATTATTTAATTAATAACTTACACGTCATATAGATTTTGATTGAGCGAGCAGCCAGGTTAATAAGTTACAATTAAAAATGACTGAGCCAACTACAAATCCAGGGCTCCAGAGGCGATTGAATTTCAATGCTTTAAAGCACCATGTGCTCTCGAATAGGGTCGATTGTGTTTTGTGGTTAACTAGGGTTTTTGCTATTCTATTCTCATTATTTTATTTGATTCCAATATTTGGGTAAGTACCACTTTAATTTCTATGTATTTATAACAAACTATCACGGGGTGCTAAATTAGAAATGTAAACACTAATAATTAAATAATTCACCTTTCTTTTAACTTGGCTCTTTACAATAAATTACAAGTCACCTACTTTTATCATGGAGGTTTTTAATTACTGTTAATTGTTTAGTGACAAATTGCATCTATTTGTTGCCTGCGACTTTAATATTCTTATTATAAATTTTTGTGTAATGGTAATTGAAAATTGTGTAATTAAATTATAATAACTAATCCTTTATTGCTCCCGATATATCAAAGAAATTAATTAATTGTAGTTCCTGTGCTCATAAGTATTGTGCGTAATAAAGAGAAATTATATTGTTTCGACATAGTTATTGTAATAGCATTTCGAACTAGATATTGATTCGATATATATTTTTAAATAGGGTCTTCCTTGTATTGCTAGGTTACTGTTAATAAAAACATTTTTTAGAGCTCTAAGTACATGCTTAAATATAACAAACTCTTCCTGTGCTATTAAATTGTACCCTGGTTTAATACACAGGAAATTACTCAATAATTAATTCAGATTAAAATATTGTACTTTCACTTGAAAGGTTTAGTTCCATCTTCATTACATTCATCTTGTTTTTAATTTAATTATAGCATAAAATGGTTTAAATATTTCGAAAATGATTATATAATTACATACGTTTATTAGTTTTCAAAATTTGTGTTGAATTAGGAAAAGGTGATAAAAAATTAGTAAGATATGGTTTATTGTTCTGTTTACCTACATGTATCAAATTAAAACAATGTCCTATTTTTTCATACTTTTAAATTTTTAAAAATCAGTTTAATTAAATTCAAAGGATATCAGAATATACAAATATTTAAATATTTAAACTAGTTTTGAAACATAAACCTTGGAAAGAGTAATTCAAGTAATGAACACAGTTTTAACTTACATTATTTTCAAGCCTAATAATAAAAATTACCAGCTGTAATTTATTTTTTATTTAAATTAATTTTGCCGAATGAATGTTTAATATTGTATTTTTTAATCGTCTCGATATTATTTAAAGGATGTTTTACATTAATAGGATTCAATTAATTGTTGTGAAAAAAATATGCCTAAAAATTATTAGAACATTTCTATTCTGAATTTATTTTTGAAGGAAATTTTTCAGTTCAAATGAACTTATTTTTTTTTTATTATATTAACATTCTCGGAAAATTTCGTGTATTTAAATAACTCCTCAAGGATAACATGTACGTTATCTTACCGACGGCATGGTAGGAAAATTGTATTTCGTTCAAAGTTCAAAGGTATAAAAATCTGGAAATGCAATGAAATTTAGAAAACACGCAAAGGAAGTTTTATTATGCACACTTACATTATCATTACATCTGTAATTAAAAAACCTCTATCGCGGAAGGTCGAATGAATTATTTTTTTTCTCTTCAGATTTTTTAAGCATCGGTTAATTATAATTTTTTCCAGAAATTCCTACAATTATTACTACAAAGTTCTTATCGCAAATGCCGCCATCAGCGCGCTGAGGCTGCACCAAAGATTAGGAACGGTGCAGCTGAATCGAGAATTCTTCATGAGACTTCTGACAGAAGACAGTTGTCACTATCTTTTCTACTCGTTGATATTCCTGTACGTGGCCCCGGCGACTGGTATCCTTTTTTTTCAAGCCAATCAATTATACATGCAGAATTAGTTTAACTGAGAACGATTTGTTTTTCTTAACATTTTTTCCCAGTGGTTTTAATACCGATTTTCCTGTTTTCTGTACTACACGCTGCCAGCTATTCTCTGACTTTGTTAGATGTAAGTAGATAATTTGTTACAGACATCATTTTAGGTGGTTGTAAATTGGACGCAAAAGAGATTATATATTTTAATCCTGTAGGTAAATTGGGCGCCAGGAATGAAAGGTCCTTTTAGTAAATTGGGCGCAGAGTCCCTGAGAAAACCACAAATAATGCTGAAAACCACTGCTCTGCTCTGCTCTGCTCTGCTCTGCTCTGCTCTGCTCTGCTCTGCTCTGCTCTGCTCTGCTCTGCTCTGCTCTGCTCTGCTCTGCTCTGCTCTGCTCTGCTCTGCTCTGCTCTGCTCTGCTCTGCTCTGCTCTGCTCTGCTCTGCTCTGCTCTGCTCTGCTCTGCTCTGCTCTGCTCTGCTCTGCTCTGCTCTGCTCTGCTCTGCTCTGCTCTGCTCTGCTCTGCTCTGCTCTGCTCTGCTCTGCTCTGCTCTGCTCTGCTCTGCTCTGCTCTGCTCTGCTCTGCTCTGCTCTGCTCTGCTCTGCTCTGCTCTGCTCTGCTCTGCTCTGCTCTGCTCTGCTCTGCTCTGCTCTGCTCTGCTCTGCTCTGCTCTGCTGCACATATTCTGGCGCTCAATTTACCCTTTTAAACTTTCAAGTAATAAATATATTTCTGCGCTCAATTTACCACCGCCGATCATTTATTTGTGTTCTTAAGAATTTTTTAAATGTTGTAGACGTTGGGACAAAATTCCTTATGGGGCGCAAGATTAGGAATTTCCGTGGTGGAGTTCCAGTCTTTGTACATTTTGAAGAGCGCTGCGTTCGTGGAAATCTTCCTTATGCCCTACACGGTGATCCTAGTAATGATGTAAGCAATTTATTCTACTTTCTATTAAATTTTTAACGGTTTAAATCGCTCGTTTTAGGGGAAAAGCTAGCCTACTGACGCCGTTCATCTACTACCAGTTTTTGTTCCAAAGGTACACGTCCAGGAGGAATCCGTACTCGAGGCTCATGTTCAGGGAATTGCGCGTGGTTTTCGAGAATACGGCGAATAAAGCCAATATGCCGGGCATTGTGAGCAAATTGCTGTTGTTCGTGGTGAATTTCACGCTGAAATTGGCGCCGCAGCCTTATCAAATGCCTTACGGGCAGCAACAACAGCAAGACCAACCACCACAGTAGTATACATCCGTGGAGGAATTTAATAATTTCATATTTTCATTTCTAAATTGTAGAAAACGAAATCGAGCGGCAGTTATTATCATTACGTTTTAATTTATACACGTGTGTCCACTCAATGGAGTTGAATAGAGGAAAAAATCATTATTTTTTTTAATTCTACGAATAAATGTTATTCTTTATTAAAATTATTGTTTCTCCCTTGACTCATTTTAACGTCTCTTTATTTCAGGACACCCTGTAAATAAAAAATAACGATTTTTTCCTCTATTCAACTCTATCCAGGGACACAGTGTATATTATTTCAGATTCAAAAATTTAAGTTATGTATCAATTTAAAGTAGATTTGCATTTTTTCGATTATTTTTTAACATATGTGTTAACAAAGTATTAGCGCAAATGATGCAAGTAAATTATTCACCGATTCGTTGTTAACCTGCGTATTTAATTACTTGGATTTTATATTGTGCAAGTACCTATTCTGTTATAAGAGAGAAAGTGGAGGGCTATTTGTAGTATCTATAGGTTAATGATTTTTTCATATAAAATTGTTTCGGTTGCGGCGATTTTTTTAATGTGCAGAAAACGGTTAAAAGTATGTCGTAACGTAGTTTATGCCTATAAAATGTCTTTTTATAACTTACAACCTGTTTATTATCGGAATAGATTTTTGTTTTTTTACAACCTACGCTTTTTATTTAACTGACTGTATGTCTCACCTTTCTCATCTTTCAGAAATATAAATTCGACGAGGTGATTTTTTTTCCTATTTCCAATACTTTTTCGGAATAATGCAAAAAGTTTTGACCATATTTGTGTATATTACAATAGGCAGATTTCAAATTTTTCCATTTTTTTGAAATGACATAAAACAGTAAGTATTACCCCCTTTTTTCCTTTTTTTCATAAAAAATTCAAAGTTCACTAATTTTTCGCCATTTTTTTGCAATTTCTTTAAAAGGTTTTTTCGTACCCCCCTTGGCCATTTTCTCATGAAAATTTTAAACTTTCAATCTCATTCGCTACTTTTTTGAAATTAGAATCAAAAAGTACTAAAAGTACCTCCTATATCTTTCTTTTCATATAAATTTCAAAATTTTCACTCATATTTTTCTCTATTTTTATGAAATTTGCATCAATAGTTCTTTCCTACCCCCTTTGCTTATTTTTTCGGTATAGGCCTAAATACAAAAGGTTATACCTTCTTTATTGCTCATTTTTTTATGAAAATATCAGAATCACAAATAAGAATCAATAAGAATCACAAATTCCAATTTACATCAAAAGGTTCTCTTCTCCCTTTGCTCATTTTTTCGTGATAATTTCAAATTCAAGTTTTCGTTCTCATTTTTCGCATTTTTTATGAAATTTTCACCTATTCCTTTTGCTCATTTTTTCAAGATAAAAAAATAATTTCCATTTTTCGCTATTTTTAATGAATTTCCACCAAAAAGTAGTAGGTACCACCTTGGCTCCATTTTGCAGTGAAAATTTAAAAATTTTCATTCCCATTTTTCGCTATTTTTATGAAATTTGCCTCAAAACGTAGTATATACCTCCTTCGCTAATTTTTTTTCATCCAAATTTAAAAAAATATTGATTCTCGCCAATGACAAAAGATTAATTTTTGTCAATTCCTTTTATTTATCTTTTACATATTTGCGTTATCCACATTTTTTTTAATTCATTCATCAAATCCTCCAAGCTAAAGATAAACATAAAATATAAAAAAAAATCAGTTTGCACATAATCCGAGTTATAACCATGAACCACTCTGTATAAACTACATAAGCAAGCGAAAGCTATGAACGACTATTTAAAACATTAAGATATTAATTGACGCTTCGCCGGCGAACTTTCCCATTTTAAACTAATCGAAAATTCATATCAGCGCCGAAAATTAGCTACAGCCACACGTCCCATCGCAGCGACGCCGTCCGAAGTTTCCGGATCTGTGATTAATTATGCATGCCGCAGAAAACCGACTCTGAGATATAATAATTGATAAAACAGCATCACCTACCCGGTTTTAATTGACGTAGTAGCGAGCGTCGCGCTCACCGAGGCCCGAAGGCGGGAGTATGCACGGTCCCTAATTAGTTTACCTCGGGATAAACGTATCCATTACCTTGTTTAGCGGGAGTTACAACTCCGAATTAACGAAATCGATCGGTAAACATTAGGCGAAATTAGAGAATCTACTTGAGGACGAGGCGTTGTTACTTCAGGGGATTTTTAATGGGTGTTAAATAAAAAAATATAAAAAAACACCTCGTGTATATTGGAGTTGGAGCGCTTTATCGGTATTTAATGTTTTTTACGGTAACCGTCCATTAGAATTTGAATGAATCTGGTTTCAGAATCTGTAAATTAAGGAGTAAAGTATTAGTAAAAACAATTTTGTACAAAAAAGTAGAGAGGAAATTGTGATCATAAAAGTAGAGAGAAAATTTTATGCATAAAAGTAGGGAGAAAATGAAAGTAGAGAAAAAATGTTCATGAAAGTAGAGAGAAAAATGTGGGCAGAAAAGTAGAGAGAAAAATGTGCGCGGAAAAGTAGAGAGAAAATGTTGTGCATAAAAGTAGCGAGAATATTTTGTACAGAAAAGTAGAAAGAAAATGTTGTTCATGAAAGTAGTGAGAAAATGTTGTGCTTAAAAGTAGCGAGAAAATTTTGTGCATAAAAGTAGCGAGAATATTTTGTACAGAAAAGTAGAGAGAAAATTTTGTACAGAAAAATAGAGAAGAAATTGTGTTCATAAAAGTAGAGAGAAAATCTTACGCATAAAAGTAGAGAGAAAATGTTCATGAAAGTAGAGAAAAAATGTGGGCAGGAAAGTAGAGAAAAAATGTTCATGAAAGTAGAGAGAAAAATGTGGGCAGGAAAGTAGAGAGAATATGTTGTTGTGCATAAAAGTAGCGAGAATATTTTGTACAGAAAAGTAGAGAGAAAATTTTGTACAGAAAAGTAGAGAGAAAATGTTCATGAAAGTAGTGAGAAAATGTTGTGCTTAAAAGTAGCGAGAAAATTTTGCGCATAAAAGTAGCGAGAATATTTTGCACAGAAAAGTAGACAGAAAATTTTGTACAGAAAAAAAAGAGCGAAAATGTCAATGAAAGTAGTGAGAAAATGTGCATTTTTATAAATAGCCTAGTGAATTTTCCTCTTAAAGGGAAAATGTTCATGAAAGTAGAGAGTAGATTTTATGCATAAAAGTAACGAGAAAATGTTGATGTTTCCTGAGGTTGTTTTTAAAATATTTCGAATTGTGATTAAAAGTAAGGACTTATACTTTTTTACCGAGGTAAAAACCGCCCTATGGCTCACGAACAAAAGGCTCAGACAGGCCGTGGGAAGAGTTTAAGCCCGATCCGAGCACTCTTGAAACACTAACCCTAAAAAGAACCATTTAATTAAAAAATGAAGTCGAAAATGGCACTTTCCATTTGAAATAACTAAGTTTAAATTTAATATCTACTTCCAGTATAACAGAACCAGCAGTCACATATGGATAAAATATTTGATAAAATTCACAACATACACTCTACCTTATTCCTAAATTTTCAGATTCGTAACTCTTCAGCACCTCATAAAAGCTCTAATGTAAAACCCTGATGTACTATATAATGAGAAAAGAGAGAAGCGGGGCCGCGCCTGGTCTAGACTCCCCCGTACATCATCGGCCTTTTAATTTAGCGAAACGTGTAATTTAACAGCCCCGGCTTCCTGAGGTGCGGTTCGTGTTTCACAAAAAGTCATTGTTTTCGAAAAAATATTTTTCGATTAGGCGCGATTCAGCGCCACCCTAATTGATATAAACGATCCGTTTTGACGGGTGTTGCGCGATAACGCCGGCCGGTGGAGAGTGCTGGTCGAGTGGAGTGGAATGGAATGGAGAGAGGATTTTTTTATCTTCACCTACCTATATTGCAAAAATCTTTTCGAATACATGCATAGTAGTTGTTTGGGTTATTTGTTTTGAATTGTCCACCCTTAAAGTAGGGTAGTTGAATTTCAACAGGTTAATGTGAAGAACGGGGTGGGAAATTCACGTGAACTTAGATTGTTAAATGGCCAAGAATCGATAAATAAAGGAATAGCAGAAAAGTGTACTAAATTGTAGCATAAAAAAGAGCAAATTTTTCATCCGTATATACTCAAAAAACTACCCTTAATATCTCCATACTCTACACAAAAGTAAATTTAAGCTGAAAAAACTTGAACCTGAACCTGAAAGTTATTTTAGATATCTATACACTGCAGAAAATTTTAATTATGAGCTTATCCTAGGTCACCAATTCTCCCAAATGTTACCCCTAAGTTTTATTAAATTTAGAAATCTAATTAAGTACTCTATTCATCAGCAAAATCTATTTTTACAAGGGTATTTTATGACATAAGCAAAATGAAGATTATGTACCAAAAATGCACCCCTAAAGAAATTATTTTTCATATTTTTTAACAAGGAGTTACCATCTAAACTAAAATATATCGGTCTATTTTATAAACACCCTTTAAATATCAAGCATTATATTTTTGTGAACAGAATACTGCAAAATATCAATTTAAAAATCACATAAAAATAACCCGAGAAATTATTTTTCGTCTTGTTGAAACAACAAGGCATTTTATTAAATATGAAATATTTGTAAATTCTTAAATTTACATTTTCACCACAGATATTCCTAAACCTACAATACATTTTTATTATACATAATAAGATACCCCTAATGAAAACCACGAAATTTAGACGAAGTAAGAATAATAAGTTGTTTTAAAACTTCAATTATTCAACCCCTTGTCCAATTTTTCTTTGTATTTCGAAAAAAAAATCTCCAACCGCTGCGACGCTTTATTAAACAATAACCAATTCAGCGGAGGACTTGCGCCCGCGATGGCCCGTTTAGCCGTCGAGCAACACATTTCAGCATTTTCAGTTTCCAGTCGTCGTTTCGAAACGGTTTCAGGACGATTGAGGATCAGATCCTGCGAGCTCTCGTCACGCCCACCAAATCGCGCTCCTCGCCGGCTCCTATCAAAACAAAAGGGATCCCGAAGAGGAAGATTAAGGCTCGTATCAGACGTTAAGGGGTTCGTATTTTTTTAATTTAAATAAAATGTAGTTTTTTTATTTATTCCATTTTGTTATTGTGTGCTTTAGGATATTGGTAATTTAATTTTGCAGCTTGTTTTAATTAGTTCGAAAATTGTTTATACTGGTTTGAGTATGCTAATTGGGCTATTATACAGAGAAGTTGTTGGTTTACTTTATGATGTGGAGTGAAATTGTTGTAGATAAGGGTAGTGGTAATTTAATGAATTTTTAAACTTTTACATAATTTTTAAGCAATATCTTGTAGTTTTAAAGGAATTTTCGAGTTTTTTATACACCGTTTTCGGAATTTTCGGAAGGTTTCGGATTGTTTGTATAATTTCAAATTCATTTTATTAGGATATTTTCATTAATTGTAGTATCTATTTAAAATAATTCTAACAAAACTGTTTTAAAATCATTTAATATTTTTTTAAGAAATGACCATCAAAATCGTGTAAAATTTCTTAAGTATTCAAAAAAACATTTAAATTTCTAAAAAACTGTTAAATTTACTTAAAACCATAAACCATGAGTACTTAATAAAATTATTATATGTATACAGGGAGACCAAATAACTAACAATGTATTTAAAAAATCTCAGAATGGTGTAGGTACATCGAAAAGCACCATAAATTAAAATATGTTTCATTTAGTATATACTACTATAAAGTCTCCTAAAAAATATACCGATTGTCTTACAAGCCAAATTTTAGATACAAATATTTCTGTTTAGAATAAATGTTGATATACATACAGATATGTGCAAATTTGTACGCAATATGGTCTATAGGTGCAACAAAGACAATTTCCATTAGTCTCATTATAAAGGAACAAGAAAGAGTGATATTGTGGGATTGCATAACTTTCTTACTCTACCCACTGTTATTCTAATAATCTTCCTTTGTTCAACTCATAGAATTGACCACACATTTGCACTTACCCATATAAAATAACTATCTAAAGAGTTTTGTTATTATGTTATGTAATTTCTGATCTTACTACAAATATTCCTCATTTTTAGGAATATAAAAAATAACAGAAATAATATGCATTCGTTATCACACCGTTATATCAAAATTATATTTTTTATAAATTGACTATTGTTATATTTTACAAAATTGACAGCTCAATAAAAGATTTTACTGTTTATCATTCATTGTGCAATTTTCCAAAATGCGCGACTTTTGTAACATTAACATAACTTCCGAACCAATTTTTATTCAACATGCTATATACATAGAATAATGCATACGCGATATCCAGCCGGAAAAAAGCATCGAGAAAAGCGGTCCGCACTCGGCGAAACACCGCACCGCATCGTCGAACATCCCATCGAACAGGAAGGAAAGTCTTTATCGCAAATTTCCTCCTTATTTTACTACCATTACATGCACACGAGCACTCGCAAAGTGTAACGATCGCGCCGCGAGGCCGGGAGGCCGGGAGTTCAGTTTCAGCGGCAACTTCCACCGCCGGAATAAATAATTGAATTCGAAAATATAAATTATTCATAGTGGCCGCGATGCGCCCCCGGCCCTTTTTCGCTCCGGAATATTTTCTAAACGAATTTCGACCGAACGGTTTAATTGCCTTTTGATAAAGTTCAACCTCCCGCAAACTCCAGTGCATTAGCATAAGGCGCAAAACGTTTCGGATGTACCGGCGAGGGATCGCGTAATTCGCGGCGTTACGCGTGTATGTAAATACGCACACCGGCGATATCGGGAATTAGGATTAATGCGAGAGCGAAGGGCGCGAGGTCAGGAGAGCGGGGTTGTTGTGGAAATTATAACTTTCTCCCTGTGCGGAATGGAATAAGAGAAAAAGTTTGTCGGTTTGAAAACCCACGCGTTTGAAGCAAAAATAACATGTACCGTATTAAAATTGAGATAAATTTTACCCTTAGGTGTTAATTGACTCTTCGCTGCAAATAAATGACTCTTGAGTACAATTTTACTGGCTCCCATGGGTCTGTAAATGGTTCTCTCATGCTGGGTAGACTCATAATGTTATATTAATGATTCTAAAATGTAAAAGCACAATAATATACGCGGGATAAATCGTGCTCTTAGATGATCAATTGAATCATCACTTGCTTATAAAATGACTTACTGCAAAGGTTATTGGCTCTTATTGATGACTGATTTAATGGCTCTCCTAGATAGACTAATGATATTATTAATGATTCATTAATTTAACCTATGGGGTAAATCGTACACTCTTCATTTTCTAATTATTGACTCGAAAATCGGTCTCATATATGATTAATTGACCTTTCACTGCAAAAAATGACTCTTGAATGTAGTTTAATTGGCTCATAGGAGTCTGTAAATGACTCCTAGGCAGACTAATGAAATTATTGATTCACTAATTTAATAGGAATTTAATAGGAATATACGAGATGAATTATTATCCTCTTAGATCATCCATTGACTCTTCACGACCAATAAATGACTCTTGAGTGTAGTTTAATTGACTCCTAATGGGTCGGTAAATGGCTCTCGAAGCTCGAAGGTAGACTAATGATGTTATTATTGATCCATGAACTTAAAGGAAAAATAATACATGGAGTAAATCGTCCTCTTCATTGATTAACTATTGACTCTTCATTCCTAAGTTAGTTAGGTGACGACTCTTCTTGGTAGAAAAATGACTCCTTCAAACAGAACAAATCTGAAATAATTATTTACCTAAATTGTGATTCTCTTAGAAGAACGATTGACTCAAATTATTAGATATAAATTAATTGCAAAAACAGTAATATTCTCTTCTAAGTAGACAAATGATATTATTACTAACCGCAAGTTAAAAAAAATAGATATAACATACAGTGCATGAACAAAAAAATATTCATCAAATTACAAAAATTCTTAATTTCCTCCACATAAATTCGCCCCTTTGTCAAATAATTCAACTCTTTAAATATTTTCCGCAGAATAATATCTGGAAAACGTTGAGCAAAAAATCGAGCACACCGGCGTCCGGCATCGCATCACGTTTCCATTAAACGAAACGCCGGAAAATCCCGCGGCAATACCGGCTCGCAGGTACCGCATTTTCGCGCAGTAATTACCGTATAATGAGCGAACAATAGTCCGGATGCGTCCAGCGTCGCATTGGCCGAAGGCCCCGGCTTTCGCCCTTCTGCTCCTCAACATCTGTAAGTACCGGCCGCATATCCGTTCTCCCCGCGGTTTTCACAGAAATTAACTTTCAGCCTACAGCTCCGCGTTCCGTTTAACCAGCATGAACGTGCCCGCGGTCGCGGATCCCAGAGGCAATCTCGAACTCGATTGTCGCTTTGATATGGGCACCGAGGAGCTGTACGCCGTGAAATGGTACAAGGACGAGCAGGAGTTTTTTAGGTATTCTAATTTTTTTTCATCGCCGAACACCGCCGGCACGTACAACTCCCACATTTCAAACGGGAATTTGAAAAGTTGCGGGGCGGCTGCAAGAGGAAACTTGTTTTCCGAATGTGGATGTAAACGGGAGGTTTTTTATTTTCTCGTACGTGCGAGGTGTACTGTACAAGGCGGACAAATTTCGATGTCGCTTTTCGAAACGAAGAGCCAAATTTGGCAATTATGCATCGAAATTTGGTCGCGTATAAGCCTATTAATAGGTAATTAAAACGCCGATAAATTTCCAATTAATTCAGGTACATGCCCGGGCAGGATCCGTCTATCATGTATTTTCCGGTGATCGGCGTGTCGGTGGTGCGTCGGCGGTCCGGCTGCGATAACAATTACTGCAAAATCGAGCTGGATAAACTGTCCAGGAGGTTCAGCGGCGGGGCGTTCCGATGCGAGTTATCCAGCGAAGCGCCATCGTTCAAATTGGCATCGGAGACGAGGAACGTGACAGTAGCAGGTGAGACAATTTTCACGCTTCTATACTGCGATATTTAATAGAGTTGATGGGAAAGATGTTAGTTTTGAAGAGAATGGAAATTGTAAAATGTAGAGAGAAAATTGTAAAAGTAGGGAGAAAAGTGAGGAGTTGCTGTATTCGATGAAAATTGCGCTGTCTTTTTGTTAAGGTCTCCTTGAATTCGTCCATAATTTATTAGATAAAATTGAATTTTAACACTTTTACTAAGTACACTTAATCGATTTGATGGGGAAGGTGTTAGTTTTGAGATTAATGAAAATTGTAAATGTAGCGAGGGGAATATTGAAGATTTGCCGTACTGGGTGAAATTTTGTTAAAGTTTCTTTGAATTCGTCCACAGTTTATGTGCAAAATTTAAATTTAAACTTAATCGATTTGATAGAAAGGTGATAGTTTTGAGAACAATGAAAATTGTAAAAGTAGAGAGAAAATTGGAAATTGCTGTATTGGATTAAAATTATACTGCCTTTTTCTTAAGATCTTGAAATTATCCACAGTTTATCAGTGAAAATTAAATTTTAAAACACATTTACTAAGTACACTTTATCGAGTTGATGGGAAAGGTGTTAAGTTATGGAAGAATAAAAATTGCAAAAGTAGAGAGAAAATTGAAATTTGCTGCATTGATGAAAATTACGCTACTTTTTTCTTAAGATTTCCTTGAATTCGTCCACAGTTTATCAGTTAAAATTGAATTTTAACACTTTTACTAAGTACCTACACATAATCGAGTTGATGGGAAAGGTTTAGAGGAAGAGAAAAAATGTAAAAGTATTAGAGAGAAAATTTTAAAAGTTGCGAGAAAATTGTAAAACTTGTTAAAAATTTGAATATTAATGGGTGAATGCTTAGTTACTTTTTTTCCAAATCCTCTTGAATTCGTCCACAGGTTACCTGCTGGAAATTATTTTTAACATTTTTATGCACCAAGTAAATTTTATCGAGTTGATGGGAAATGTGTTACTTTAAAAAAGAATAATAACTGTAAAAGTTGGGAGAAAATTGAAGATTATAGGGTGAAAATTATGTTAATTTTTTTTGTATCCCCTTGAATTCGTCCAACAGTTTATCTATTGAAATTTATTTTTAACATTACCGCCAATTAAATTTAATAGAGTTGATGGGAATTGTGTTATTTTGTGTAAAACTTGATAGAAAACCGAAGATTACACTGTTGAGTGAAAATTATTCTTCCTTTTTCTTAAGACCTCTTTATGAATAATTCGTTCCATAATTTATCAGCATAAATTAAATTTTACTAAAATTTCCACATCACAAGGCAAAATGATAATAAGACGATAGCGCCGAGTAAAGAGGTAGGAATTAATTTCGCAACCGCCCAACTGAAAATAGAGCAAGAAAAATCCTAAATCTCTATTTATATTCGGCACACTGGCGATGTCTGCGCTCCGCAAATAAATTTCCCGAGTTAACCATCGAAGGGTGTCCCATCGGCGAGATTAGGACAGATAACGACGATCGGTTTTTCATCCTCTTTTTCTTCTTTCGCTAACGATTCGAAATTATTGCTCGGAAATCTCCTCCATTTCTGTCCGACCGTCCCGATAATGCACCGTGTTTGCCCTTATTTATGGCGTAATGGCTCTACTTATCGGTCCGATTCTCGGCGCATGTAGGCGCTACATAAATCCCGATATGTAGGTAAATGAATTCGGAATTGCGGGCGATAAAATTTAATCGAAACGACCGAAGGAGTTTAATGCATTCGACCCGACTTTAATTGCAGCCGTGCCCAAGGAGAAGCCCAAGATCGAGGGGCTGAACGCTCATTACGTCGAAGGCGACGTTCTATCGGCTAATTGCACGTCAGATTTCGGGGATCCCCCGCCTACGCTCAGGTGGTTTGTCGACGGACAATCGGTAAGTACATAATTGCTCGTTCATATGTATTCATCAATACTACTTTCCCGCATTTTGGGCTTCATTTCCGCACGTACAAAGGCCTGTTCGACTGTTCGAGGGACAAAACCGAGGTTTGCATATAAACTAGGCGCAAGAGCAACCGGCGCCCCGGGAATCCCACGGGAATCGGGGCCCCGAAAGTTGCGACGCGACGCAACAAGACGTCGAAAAAAATTATTCATGGAAAGCGCCTTAGAATCCTGGAGGACTCGGCGGGAGTTTTATTAATTCACGTTGTTAGTTTAACGGACACGCTGAAACGTCGTTACGGAAAATGAAAAATAAATGTCTCCTGTACTTATTGAAATGAAAACGTAATGAATAAATTAGGTAAATCGGCATTAGGGATGTCGGAGGGAAGTGTCTTCGGATTTGAGTGTGTAGTATTTTCTTGCATAAAATATTACTCTTTTGATCGAAAGATTACCCGTTTAGCTTGTTTACTTTAAAATAGGGGATTTTTTTCATGCCTGTATCAACTTATTTAATATTAATTTAACGAGTTATTTATTATTTTAGAGTAGCGCTTCTTTATACTTACAGTCAAAATAAATTTATTTTTCCACTTACTTTAATGGAACTGCACATAACTTTAGATTACGACGATGCAGGTACGGTTTCATTGGATCCCTGAATCAAATTTACTCCGCAGCAGAGAACGGAAATCCCGCACAATCGCGTCCCAGTACAAAGCGCATCGGGGAAATAATAAATAGAGACATCCGAATGAGAAATGGAAACTATTTGTCGGCGCACTTTCGGGCCCAGGCCATCCCGTCGAGGAAATTCGAGTTGACTTAGTCGCGATGTGACGGGGCAAGTAAAGGGCCGCTTTTTTCCGGCGGGGCGGCTGTCAAGCCGAGCAGGAAAAAGCTTTTGAAGCTGTGGGAAACAACGCGGTAATTTTTCTACAGAATTTCCTCTATCCGTTGCACTTTGGCTTCGATTCGCTTTGGGCAAGGATTTTTTGATGGCTCGAATGTCTGTTGATGGGTTTCGAGGAAATCGAGTTTGTTTTTTGGGCATTATCGGTGCATCTATATGAAGACCTATTTGTTACAATGAGGAACGGAGGTTTTATTTTATGAAGAAAATTCTTAAACATTAATATGAGGATGTCCCATTATTGTCCTTTTATAATTGTTAAATTCTGTACACTTCTGTGTTATATCATTAATATTTATAATTGAAAACGTAAATCTGGTGATCTTGATGTATTTTTTATTGGCGATTCAGCGTGGTATAAAGGAGATTCGAATGGTAATTTAGAAAGCCAAATCGAAGTAGCTACAAAGGTTTAATGCAATTCGAAACTCCCGTCGGTGGTTTACAGCGTTATTTTCTTTCGACTTTTCTGGCCGGTCCGTAAAATCCAATATCCCGGACGTTATACTCGCGCTCCACTCCGTCTCCCATCCGAGCGAAATTAGCGAAGATTCCGCCAGCGACGCGGAAAGATTAACTTCTAAGAGTGAATTCGGCCCTTTACGGCTAATTTCCACTTTTTATTAGAGTTTTAGACGAGATAAAAGGAGTTATATTGCAAAAGAGCCCGGTTAACCTCTTCGAGTTTTATCGGAATTCGCGGCGGATAATTCCAATAACGCTTAACGAGTTTTTGATATGCACTTTTTGATTGTCTTTGATTTACGCTCGCCTCGGTCTGTTAACTGGCCCCTCGCGATTAGGGTTAATTATAATGTTTGTTCGCAGACGGTGCCGGTGTCGAGGCCGAGTTACGCTGAACGGGAATCTGACGGGCTGATGGCTCAATCTATATTTTTGAATATGGTTGTGACGAACGTGTCCAAGTCTACGTTGGAGATCGGTTGCGAGGCTTCAGTGCCAGGGGTGCCGTTCGCCCCTCAATTAACCGCCGCTGTGGTCGGTTTGATGTCCAGCCAGGAAGCCGGAGATAATGAGAAATTTCAATTGTGGTGAGTTGCTATTGTGCTCTCGTGACACCATACAAGGTGAGCTAAGAGGGTTAAAGGTAGTTGGAAAAATTGTGAGATTCTAGGATGTTTGTAAGGGTTTTTTAAATAATTTTGAATACTAGTATCCCCTTAAAAATTACAGTTTATTTTTTAAGGAATTTTTATCTCAACAGTAAACGTATAATAATTTACCTTAAAGAGTCTTTCACTCAGTAGAACTTTATATGTTTTACAGGTTATATGTATGTGATTTTTTCATGTATTATAAGCTTCTAATTCAACTATGTATACCTAATTGTATAAATAAACAAATAAATGTATGCATATTATTTAACGTAATAAAATAAACATATTTTTGCAGGTACAGTCCTTTCAACAGCGGCATCACATCACCGGCGTCTTCATATCTATCCTGTTTAATATTCTCAACAATTTTAATAAATGTTTTGATTTGGACCTAATAAGTAATATCTATACACTTTGTGAACTATATTATTACGATATCGGTACAAAAATGTTTACCTACATATGTATGTCCTTTCACTTGATCATTACGAAGAATTTCTTTAAAGATTTTTTCAGCAGAAGTTTTTCGAAAATATTTTCTTAAAAAGTGTATACTGAGCCTGTTCAGTGCAACTTGATGTTCCTGGATTTTTGTTATAAATTTTTAGGTATGAATTTTAGAATATCCTACTTGACTACAGCTATTTTTTAATATATCTACCTAATATAAACCAGTGTCTAATAAATTAAAGTGAATTTGTTAAATTATAACCGTAATATAAGTGTGAATCATATCATATGAGATTTATAGGACCCTACAAAGGTACCCTGGGGAGATATCAAAGTTGGCGAAAAGAGCACTGGCCTGTGGGGCCCTATACTCAAATCATTTACTCGAAATTTAATCTGAATGATACTACATAATAATATATTATTAGGTAATTATCTACTTATCATCTGCAGTCACTCATCTATTTATTTTAGAAAAATTTTTCAATAAGTTAGTATTAGATTTAACGGGTATTTCATTTAATTGTGATGGATATGAAATGGTTCAATGTTTCCAACTTTTCTAGACAATGAAGGCAGCTTTTTTGAGTGTTTTTAAAAGAGAAGTTTAAAAATATTTGCAAGATTTATATCGGCATATACTTGAAAAGAAAATAGCGCATAAATATACTTTTTTGTTTTGTATGATACAAATACTTTATTATATTGTAAAAATTGAAATATTGAGAGCTTTCATTATCTAGAACTAGAACCAACTGGAATATTTTAAAGTTTTTAAAACAATATTATAAAACACTCTGTATGAAATATTTGTAAGCACAAGTACCTCCAATTTGTTATGTATAGTTAGTACGTACTTATTATTTTAAGTTTGTGAATGTGATTAAACAAATTTTTGAAAAAAAGGGCTTTATTCAAACCTCTATCCTATATCAGTACGCCCTATGCATTTTATGTTCTATGGTTAAGTTATTTATGGAGTTTATTATTATTGAGAGCTATTATTTTTAATTTTGGTGGATTACTTGAAAACCGAGCTCGATATATCCACCAAAATTTTAAGTACTAAGTACTTGTACTTCACAGTTACAATAGATATTGCGCAGATATAAAAAAAGGCGAAACATTCAAAAAAACGACAAATCCTCAATCTAAATTTAATTTCTGATATACAAATTTTTAATATACGCCTCTCAAATCAATATTAAAAACAAAAAAACCCAAAATATCTACTTTTGTTCACGGATTCGTAATCTTAGACACTGCCAATTTTGACATTTCGTTCTGTCAAGTTCAAAACATATTCCAAATCATTACTAATTATTTCCATCTCTTTTCGATTCATTCGATTACTCGGTATATCTATGAAACGTAGTTTTTTTTATACAAAAATTATACCAAAACAACACAAATGTCGAAAACTAAACGTCAGTGTCAACTCAACGGGTGTTTGATATCGAGTTTTAAGTTCGAGTTTTAGTATGTAGAGATAAAGAATTTAACGAAAAAAACTGATAGACTAACAAGAAATCGCAAGAAATTATCGCAAAATACCCGACCTCGACATAATTTGTACATTTCGAATTCATTCACACTAGGTGAGCCTGTTGCATAGATAATTTATAGGTAACGAAAGTAGGTTATTTTTTTTTAATTTCAATAAAATTTAACCGAACCAACTTTCAAACAGCTCCAAATGGATAATGGCCACGTACGGGACTTCTCCGAATTCTGCGAGCAACTCAACGAACTCCGAATCAAGTTCCTCAAATGGGACAATTGCGAAAAAACCGTCGGCCTCTACTACCTGATGGTGGGCCTGCCGTTCGCCAACGCCAGGTTCCTGCAGCACACCCTCGAGCAATGCATAAACAACGTCAACACCCGGGAGGCCCAGACGCTGGAAAAGAACGCCAACGACACCATTTACATCTCGAGCTTCCTACTCGAACCGCCACAAGTTGCCCTTACTTTGCTACTAACGCATTTGCCTTTGTTGAAACCGGATAACAAGAAAACTGCCGACTGCTACCTGAGAATCATCAAGCAAGTCTTGAGCGAGTTCATCGCACCACCCGTCAAGATTTACAATGATTGCGTCGAGATCATGTCCTATTTGTACATCCATCCTGCTTTCAATAACGAAGACAAAACCGCCTTCAAAAATCTACTAAGACGGGTAAGACTACTACCAACAATCCTATTACATCTGTTACATAATTATTTATTACAGGTTTTGACCAAAGTGAATCCCCATACGTTCGTTCATTCCTCCGCAACGGAATCCAGCGATGAGTCCGTAAGCCCCAATCCCGAGTCCCAGCAAAACCTGAAGCAGAGACGCTCCAACAGCCTTACGCCGGCGCCCGACAGTTCCATTCCCTCCCAAGACAACTGGTACTCCCAGGAGAACCTCAGCGAGCCCATCGCGAAGCCTCGAAGCTACTCTTTATCCAGCGAGAAATCGTTGCTGACTAATTTGACCAACCTGCAATCGAGCAGGTCCGAAACGAGGCTGCAGGACTTGAAATTAGCTAACAACTTACCGGCCATGAAGAGCATAACCTCTTGGTTAAAATCATTGAGGTTGCACAAATACAGCTGGGTGTTTAACAATTTAACCTACAGCCAAATGGTTAACCTAACGGAGGACACTCTGCTGAGGATAGGGATCACGAAAGGGGCTAGGCATAAGATTTTGTTGAGTCTTAGTAAATTGAAGGAGCGGGGAACCACGTTGACCGAATTAGAAACGGAAGTGATGAACGGTGGGGATTTGAACATCGCATTGAAGAAGTTGAAGAGCATTTTGCAGAGCCCTTTGCTCATTTCGGACGGAGAAGATTTACCTTCGCAAGTGGTTAAAGTCATGGGAAAGGGTAAGACATTTCATCTATAAATTATTAACAATTAAATTAACGTATTTCTCTATTTAGTGTGCACTCAAATGCTAATGCTGAGGCAACCATCTGATGAATATCTGATGATGTTCAACTCCTTATGTGAAAAAGCCGAAACTGTGGACGCCTTTACGGACGAGCAGAAGAAACGGGTGGTTATGTGGAGGAATCAGCTGATTAAAGACGATATCTTACCCGCCCCTAATTGTAAACCTAAGAAATCCAGCAATCATCATCACCACCATCATCATCATCACAGGTATAAAAAATACATATTTGAAACCAATAATATTCAAAGAATTGCTAAGTTAGCTATGAAGATGATGTGGTAAAGTAAGCTGGGTAAATAAAAATGTGTGTATAATACAGGGTGGTTCATAAAAAACAGAAAAATTTGGAACATACAAGGGTAAGGTGAAAAGTTCTAGGTCCGACAATGAAAGACCGCCATTTTCAGTTGAAAATTTACATTATTCTTATTATTAAATTGGTATTTTTAGTTCTAGACAGTTCTAAATTGTTCTGAAGCGTTTTAAACGGTTATATAAAGAAAAGAAAGGGTGATATTGTGGGATTTCAACATTCTCGTTGAACATTCTCGTTCTTCTCAAACGTTAGAGATTCCGCATATTCCTCATCAGACTGGTAAAACTTACATAAAATTGTTGTCATATTTTTTCAGGGTTTTCTCGGACAAGCAGAAGTTGCAAAAGGTCTGCGCTGTAGTGCAACAGAGCTACACCAAAAAGAGTTCTTCCTTCCCCAACATGCAGCACAATTTACAATGGAACGCCCATCGGCATTCCGTAGGTAGCGTAACGTTGCAGAATCACCTATTCGCGGCGAATATGAGCAACCCCGTGAGGACGCAGAACATCCAGAATTACATCAATTTTCCGATCGAGCAGAGCCCCAAGCAGATCAGCTTGCCGAAGTTCAAGCAGGACAGCACCGATATCGAAAGTAGTTTGGAATCGTTGTGTATACAAATGATGGAGCATGCTTTGGGACCTTAGTGACGATTTCCGCGCGAGCTTTCGATGTTTCGAACGCACCGAGAGTTGGATGTTCGTTTCTTAATGTTTCTTTGTTGTCGTCTCGAATTGTAAAAGAAGTATTGTAGAGTCCAACTCTCGGTAAAGGCGACAGTGGAAATAGAAATAGTGGCCTATTTTATCGACGATTGCGCTGCTGGCGCGATATTTTATTATTTTTTTGTGACTTGTAAATACATAGCTGCTGGCGGATTATTTTATTATCTATACGTACTTTGTTTTTGCCTTTAATTTTTGTTTGTTGTTGAACGCACTCACCACGTTTTTGTGTAATTGAAGTAATCGTTTTTTAAAGACTGCTCCGGGTATTTGTACTTGGATTTTCTGTATGGTTCGACGTTAAGTTTTTTATGTAAGTTTTTACTCGAAGATGTTTCGGGATATGGTCGTACGATCTGTTTGGGAAATTGCTGAGACCAGGTACGTTCTCTAGTTTCAGTGCTTATCGAAGAGGTTGTATATCGAAATGCCTTTTCATGCCGTTATGTTGACCATGGAAAATATGAATTTTCTCTATTTTTGTTACATCCCAATGTTTATAATCAGTCTTTCGCCTTGCAATAAGTTCCAACTTGTTTAAAATATCTTTAGTATTGCTAGATTTGTGATAAGAATACTGGAAAGTTCTTATCTTTTACACGCTTGCGCTGTAAACTTGTAAACCGTTCTATATTTTTGTGGAAGAAATCTTGAAGGAATTTATTGTGTTAAGGCAAAAGACTGGTCGTCGAACAAAATAAATATAAAATTTAATGAATTGGCTGCACAAATTGAACTAATTGAATGAAATATTCATGCTGATACGTTCCCCCACGATTAATTTTTGAACAATTAATTCCACATTAACAATTTCTTCATAATAATTCACTTGCAGGAATATCAGGTGAAGATGAAAGTTGTAAAAATTAAATGTAAAGTATTCATGAAATTTCACCGGCTTCTTCGGAATATAAACGTTTTCACCTGTTTTTCTCTGAATGAATTAGATTATTCAAATTATTTAAAGTAGGTCAAATGTAACAAATACCTATTTTGAATCGAGAGTATTTTACTTGTATAAAACACACGTTAATTTAACGATTTTATTGAAAATGTATGTATTGGATGATATGACATATTTCTTTATGAAATCCAATGAGTTTTCGTCAATTTTAAACCATTTTATTAAAGAAATATTGAACGTATGTAATAGATATACTTATTAACTTATTTTTGTAAACGCTAAAGTTAAGCCTTTTCCTTATTTTTTGCTCTTTTGCATCGCCGATGGCGCCTTCGGGTATTCGTCCGTTGTATGTTTTAGCGTTAATAATAAATTAGAAATCGATATTCGACGATAAAAGGTTTCAAGTGCGAGCGCCATTGGTACTTAATTTCTATTTTTTTATTTCTTTGCCTAGTCCATTTTATAAGAAGAAGATGACTTATCTGTATACTGTGGATAGTGCATGTAATATGTGATTGTTCGTGTGATAATGATTGACATTTTTTGTTTAAAAATGATACAAAAGACTGATTTCTCTAAATAGATATGAACTAACTAATACTTATTGTTTTATTTAGATTTGTTTTTTATAGATTATTGTTGTAGAGAGTGCATTAATATTCGACATTCTACGGGCTAATCTATAGGTAAATAATACAAGGTACTAAAGGGTTTGTAACTACAGATAAAAGAACTCTTGTTCTGTGTTTTTTAACCACTGTTTTTTTAATAATTTTTCTTTGTTAAACTCATAGAATTGACTATATTGCAAACACATTTGCACTTACCCATATAACACAATATCCTTCGTTCGAATTTTATCATAAAGGAACACTGCAATAATAATATTTCTTTTCGCATTTGTAGCCATTATCGATTATTGTACTCGAATTGGGAAAGTACTCGAAGAGTAAATTGAAGCCTTTCGCAGCGCTTCGGCCTCTTTCCTTGAGCGCCCTTTGCATTTCCCTTATAAAGGGCTTTATTTTGCAAATCAAGAGTTGTATGCAGCCAGTTTCCTCGTCGAGGCTCCTTTCGGTGATGTAATCGATGACGTGCTCCGAAAGATTCATATTCTCGGTGTCGGGGATTATGTGGGACACCCCGGCACTTTTCAACATCCACTCGAAGGGCTTGTCCTCCTCGATTTGCGGCGACTTTTGCTTCAATGGCGAATTTAAGGAAGAGCCGATCTGAAAATAATCATTTCAACTGTAGGATATTCACCATAATTTGGTTACGGCGTTATAAATAATACAGTAACTGGAATCTTTTTGTGTTATAGTTAGAAAATATTACCTCTAATTAGTTGTGGTACTTACTAATTTCGCTATTAATATGATTGTATTAATGGCTATGGCTGTAATTTGCCTGGATTCGAAGCCGAAGAGTCTCATGAAGCCCGAAAAAATGTTGGAATTTTCCTCGTTCTTATCCCGATTGGGTTTTCTGCCGAGCGCATTGCTCACCAAATTGGCAACTTTACTGGCGTGGTCTGTCGAAAAGAACTCCCCGGCCATTTTAAATCCTAAAAAAGTTAGAAAACATTTTAACTTGTCTCCGCCACACCAGAAATGTTTGTGTACACGGGATTTGGTACCTAATATCAGGTGCAAATTTAATTTAATTTACAATATCCAATATGGGCTTGTAGGTACTCACCGGATTTGATTTTGTCGAACATGCTGGAGTCTTCGTGGTTTTCAACTGGATTGACGAATATGAGGAAAAACAGGAAAACCGTGTGCATTAGCATCAGCATTTTATTGAACAGGTAGGTGATGTTTGAGTAAAAAAAGGCGACTCTTCGCATTCGGTTAGTGGAGTACGAAAATTGTCGGCGTTAAAAACGGTACCCTCTTCTTTCGCTACAGCGGTGACGAGAAAAATTGTTTTCGCTACAGGTCAGTTCTTTTCCTATAAATTAGGTAACAATGATATTAAAGATCCGTTATTTTTTGTGTGTTAAACGAAGTGTTCAACAAATGTTTGTGAAAGAGTAAATCTGCTAAAAAAATTGGAATAATAGTGGAATTTTTCCTTCAAATCTGGCTTCATCAATTGATTTAAATTTTTTTTATACCTAATATAGAGACTTTAAGCAATGGTATCTGGTATTTTTAAACTCTTCTACTTCATTAAATAAAGTTGGATGAAGAATAGGTACTTATTACAGAACGATGTCTCCTATTTTATATTGATCCACAGGCTGTATTAAATTGAAAAAAAAACTAATTCAAGAATTTTAGATAATGATGATGATTAATGATAAATGATTAATTTTTTATAGAAATATTACAGATGGGTATATTTCTTCTGGTGTTCTATATTTCTACGGTTTTTCCATAATGAAATATTTCACTTTCCGGAATTTCTCTATTCAAATAAGTTAGGTATACATTATTTACGTATAACAATCATTTTATCGATTCATAAATCATATTACATTTATATTCGGCTATTTGGGCAGTTGATCACATGGAAACGATATTGGTCATATGAAGGTCACCTTACCAAATACATTTACAAATTGGAAATTTTTTAATATACTACATACTACATGATGGTATTTTATCAAACATTGATGATGATTTTTATCATTGTTTTCCGTATGTTATAATGACTTTTCAATGTTTATGTAAAAAATACTGGTCGAAAACCTTCTGCAAAAACAAGAGAATTTTTTAATTGGACTATGCTCTGAAATCATCCCTAATGAATTGAAAAATTGATATAGTAAAAAGATTTTTTAGCATCGTTTTCTCTATATTATATAGCCTTTTTCAATGTTTATGTAAAAAATACTGGTCAAAAAACTTGTTGCAAAACAACAGAATATTTCCATTCAACTACCATCTGAAACCATCCCTTGAAAAAATGCATAGAATAATTTTTATCCTCGCTTTCTGCATGGTATAAAGTCTTTTTCAATGATTGCGTATCTAAAAAATGCTGATCAAAAAACTTTTGCAAAAACAAGACACATTTTCCATTCAACTATACCCTCTAAAATCACCCCCTACTAATTTAAAAGCTAGCTGAATTTGAGATTAGCGTCGAATCCATCGACAAGTAAACGTTTTCATTTTCACCGGGTAAAAATGATTGGGAATTGAGAAATAAAACGGTCGTCGTTAAAGGAAAACCAACTTCATCGAAAAACATAAAAACGTCGGGTCGCCTCGTTAAAACGGGCCGAATACAATAACGCTGGAATCGGATAAAAAGCCATCAACGTACCCACTGACACCGCAAGAAGCCGGAGGAAACTTCATTTTTAAAGCGATTCTACAACTTTAACTTCGGTAACTGGATACGGCCTAAATAGTGAAAGCGCTCATTGTGGAACACAGAAGTGTGTTCGCATCTGTTTGTTTCTTCAGTTTACATGTGGTTTTTATTTCTGTTGTAATTTATTTGTCTTCCATCCAATTTAGGTTTAATATAACGAAATTTGTGTTTGATAGCCTTTCAACACCTACAATAGTAGTCACATTGAAGCTTTAAAAAAAGCTTTTAAAATACGATTGTGGGTCAAAAATCCGGGACAGAATTGATTAAAGATTTCTCCTATATTCTTGATTATTTTTTTAATAACAACAAAATGGAGCTTGTTTAAGTGTAATTACCAATATATTTGCTCAGCAATAATATTTACGTAACAACCAAGCCCGACAAATTGTCGACGTATTGTTATGAAAAAATCGATAACGCAAACTAATTTGTATCAGGTAGGTCCGCTTGTCTTTACCTTTTATCGAATATGTCAAGCTGTTTTACCCCCTCTAAATTATTGATGAGCCTCTGACAATAGTCACTTTCCAGAAATTGTGGATTTCTCATTGGAATAAGTGCTACAAATCTTTAAAAAATATTGAAATATGACCAATAAAGATAGAAACGCATAGATAAAAACCTTCACAATCACCAAGGTTTGAAAAAATGAAGCCTCAATAAACCATCAAATAATTTAAAACAGCACATGACATTTTGAAAACTCCTTGGTAACTACCAAAATAAAATCATAAAAAACCCGTTGATCATTTAAAATATTTTTTACTCGCTCGAAGCGGTAATATTTATTTCTTAATGCGTTGAATAAATCCGACCGCAAGTAGGTAGTTATCATATTAATATATTCTTTCGCCTTCCTCAGGATACCAATACGAGCCCTAAGGAACACGCATTAACCGGTAGGTAATAAATAACCGGGCATTTTGGTGGTCGTTTCTTGCGAGGACAAGAGACGAAGTGGAAACGAATTACAGAATTTAGAATCAACACGGCGATATATTAAGGGTACCTACTCATAAAGGGGTTCCAATAAAACGATCGTTCCTTTACCAGTCCTCATAAAAATAATCCTTACGTCAAGATAATTTTTCAAGTCGAAATTAATGGGCGCGATATGACTTTTATCAATATTATTCAATAAACATACAGTTGAATTAAAATACACTGCTTCGAAATATGTACTTTGATGTGTTCCCATATTTGTACTGAGAACAAAGAAATTCGAAAAACCCATTAACAATAATTAATTCTATTCTATCATTTAGTCATATGGGTTTTTTTTATATTTCATTTTATTTTGATGTTTTTTTTTGGAACTTCTTTGTCTTTTTTGGATATTTTTGAAACGTGTATTTTACGATTTTTGAAGAAATGATCTGTTATTTTAGTGATTTCTGAAAGATTATTTTCACCAATTTAATGATTTCTGAAGATTTTTTCCTAAGTTTAGAGCCTCCTTCGAGTTTGAGCCGATTTTCGAAGCTTTATTTACACTATTTTAGTGATTTTTGAAAGATTACTTTCACCAATTTAATGATTACTAAAGATTTTTTTCTAAATTTAGAGCCTCCTTCGAGTTTGAGCCGATTTTCGAAACTTTATTTAAGTACGCTATTAATGAGCTTTTAAATTCATTTTTCAACAAAATATTCTTAGTTCCAAATATTCTATAATCAAGAGTATAGAAAGTTAAAAAAATTAAATGATTTTTGTAACATACTTTTGAACTCATAACAAACTAATAAATTTAGAGATTTAAACTTTCCTCCTTACAATAATAAGGCTGTTAAATTATCAAGGTCTGATGCATATACTTGCAGCTCAAAGGCCTGACGGTCTTCTACGCATAAAACAATTAAATATAAAGATTGTTTCCCTGACTAAATTTAATAAAAATCCTCTCGGATTCATCATTTTCTCTTTCTAGCAGATCTCTACTTTTACTTTCAATTACTGTTTAAAAAAGCCTTCGAAACTCAAACCTATAGTACCTAACAGCAGGATGTTTCCAGAAACTAAACTCCCTAGATTTTTCTGAGCTATCTGAAAAAAATTACTACAGAATTAAATTCTGCTGGATACGGTTTAGTTAGAGCAGTGTACATCCAGTAGGTACCTACCGAGTGAAAAGATATTCACTCATTGAAAAAGCGTGTGCACGGTTATTTAGTGAAGGAGAGGATGCGATCCGAGCGATACGACGGTGACGGTCTGATTAATACAGCGCGTTCGCATGGTCACAGGCTAATGTGTCCGCGTTATTAGCATGTAATAAAGTACATAGTTATTCATTTCGGCAGTAATTCTCCCCGCGGGGGGCGCTCGATCGCCTGCTGCTATACCTCACCTTTAATGGTATTATTTATGTCGAAGTGGTCGCCTCTCAGCGAGAACACCATCGGGACTGCGGTACTACGAAGTTACGATTCCACGACACTCGACTTGCGTCTATGCGATGAAAACGTATATCGGGTACTATTATTCAGGGCCCGGTGCCAATTATCGCTTTTTTATTGATTACCCGCGGTGACCGTAGCCCACCCAACTATCTCTCTAAATACGTGATGATAAATTATTATTGTATGTTTAGATTTTCTAACTAGTTTCGAAACGTTTTAATGAGTGGTATCATGAGGATGTAATTGATGAAAATGACTTATAGTCACACTTTTACTAATATTATTTATTTGCTGAGAACTCTTTATAATAACTCAGGAAAGGTAAATATTTAGAAAAGAAACTACCTATGCATATATGATGTGAACATACAAGAAAATTATTATGTACGAGTAAGTTAAATAATTATTATCGACGCTGATTATAAAATAATTAGGTATGTTAGATTTCGTAAGTTCTGTGGAATTATAAAAAAACGTAATTTAGTTTGACGTTTAAGTTTCAATTGATTTGACAGTTGAATGACAGCCATGACATATTGGTAGTATGTGGTAGAATAATGATGAAAGACAGATAATTTTAATCATATCTAGAAATATATTTTTTGAAGAATGATTTCAATCAATTTCGAAAACTTACCTTAAAAATGCACTTTATTTTTAATACCTACGTACTTTGTAAAATTTAATATTGTCATAAAAATTATATTTTGACGTTTTAAGTTCTACTATTTGATTGACATTTGGTTGACATGCATGTGATTGTTAATATATCAATGCCTACTATTAAAATTCTGCAGAGAAAAAAGTATTTATTCAAAAGTACCTACTCAATATAATGATATCCATGTTCTTGTATATGTAATATTAATAAATTAATTAATTTTATACATTTAATACAGTAAATTTTATTCAATTAAATACATATTTAAGATAAATTGACAAATCATTTACCTCCATCATAACAAGCTTGCCTAAATCTTCATTTATTTAATTCAATATCTAGTTTTATTATATCGCACGTAATCTAACGTATTAAATTTACTATAAACCTCCGATAAATCAACTAGGGCATTGTAGAGAGTTTCGTCTGTCATCAAATAACCACCAGCAGTATATTCACCTTCATCCCTCTTGTATCTAATATTAATCGGCCTGGGAATTTCCGCGTAAATGTAAGAATCTTTTATCGGCCTCGGTCTTTTCTGTTGCTGGTTCTTGTTCACTTTATTCGCGGTTCTATTAGGTCTTTTCTGCAATTTAAAAAAATCCTATAATACCGTATAAACGAACTAACCTGGGACAGTGAATATGTCTTGAGAAGCACCTAAATTTCTATTTAAAAATACTTGTATTTGTAATTTTATCTCAAGTCATCTTCTACTTCAAAATTCAAAATATCAAATTCCACTGACCTGGTTACTAGCACTGGGCCTTTTTTGCAACTTCAAGTTCTTCTTGCGCTTGTTCCTGGGATTCGGCGTCTTCTTCTTCTTCACGTCGCGAATTTTGGTGGCCACGTAGGTGGCGAAGGTTTTTATCATCGCCGCGTTCGTCATCACGTTGTTGTTCTGCTTGCCTTTGATGGCGTGAATGAGCAAGCACAGCAAGTACCCGCCGAAGGCCAGGAAGGCCAACGAGGTGACCGACAGCTGGAAGATGGTCTGGATTTTGTTCTTCTTGGAGTTCTTCTCGTGGTCGTCTTCGTAGTAGTAGTGACCGCCACCGCGGTCTTTCAGGTTCGTTTTCACCTTAGGAAATTCAGTTTGGTACAAATCTCGTTAATTATTCAAAAAGTTACCTGAAGAGCCAGGGCTTGCGGTAGAGTCCTCGATTCCAAACCATCCGCGTCCTCGGTGCAATTCGCGCAATCCTCGTCCTTCCCCAAAACGTATCCTTTCTTCAGAAACAGCAACCTCTCCATCGGGAGCTCGCTCAGCACTTTAACATCCTCCACGAAAGTCAGGTCTTGCCCCGAAGCGAATCCGTACAGCCCCAAGATCAATGGTACTTCTACCATCAGCATCGTACCGGCGCGAATGAATCGGAATGGAATCGCGAACCTCTATTTCCCATCGTTGCTTTTTTATGTCGCTTGTTATCGTCAATTTAGCGTTTCACGCTTCTTGAACTGTGAATAGAACATCTACTGTTTATAACATTGTACCGGGTGTTTCTTCTATTCCTCACGAGCCACTATAATTGCCTTTATAAACAAGGTGCGTCGATACAGATCGCAAATCGGGAAATCTCGGGCTTGTAAAATTGATCTTATTAGCTCCATCATTAACAACTTGTCGCCCGAGTTAAGTAGCGTGCTCAAAAAAAGCGATCGAATCGAATCTCGTCCGAGGAGCTAATATAAAATCGACCTCCTCGGTTACGCACGAGCGCAAACCAATGAAGTGCGTCAAGCACGGCGTAAGCTCCACCTCGAAGTGGCTTAAGTCGCTTCCACGTACGGGACCACCTATCGCAGAGGGATTAGCTGCTAATAAAGGCTCATTAGTTTATAGTAGCGTGTCCACGGTCGAGCGCGTTTAGGTCCTTAGGTCGCGGGAATAACCTGCTAGTACTTGCTGTGTGGATGAATGATCTTCAAAGGGTGGTTTTTGAGTAATTATTATAATATTGCGAGAAGTGTTGTGGTGTTGGGGGAGTAATCGTTGGATAATTTGGGATTGTTACAGTGTGAGGTGTGTATAATACTTATGATTAGGTAATAGTAAAGAGTGGTAGATAAATCGCATGTTATCTATTTTCTTTAGAATAAAGATAGGTGTTAAAATCGCAAGATTGTGGTATTTCAATTCAAATAACAGATAGTGGTGTCCCTTCAAATATTTCAGATTTAATCCATTGTATTTAATGTTATAAATAGTAGATCTTCAGTCCATTAAACTGTGTTAATATAAAGTTTCACTATTTAGTTGACTTCTGAATAAAATGAATGAGATATTCTTTAGTAACTGTTGCATGAAAATCATCAAAATCCTCGTCACAAATCTCACAAAAACTAAAGTAAATTTCTAAACTAATATCCCCCAAATTAAACCGTTTCTTTTTGGATAAATCCACGTTTAAAACCCACCCTTATTTTACAGTAAAATTGCAAAATGGACACCGTTCGAAACAGTCCGTTCGTGCAACTCTCCGCCGAAAAGCAACCGTTGAAGCTGAAATTCGGTATAGATCAGCTCCTCTCATCGACGTCGAGAGAAAAGCACCCGGTTTTTCCCAAGGGAATCGCGAAACCGACGCCGACGGTGGCGGTGCCTTGTTCGGATTGCGTTTCTTCGATTTACAGGTGCTGCAAGATGGGATCGACGGGCTGCTCGACCGGCAGGGAAGCCCCCGAGTATATGGCGGGGCACATGTTCTGTACCGGCGGTACTGCGTATACGATACAGCCGATTAGGCCGTTTCCAACGCGACCAAGTGAGTGGATTGGATTTTTATTAAATTTGTTATTATTGGATCTATAAAAATCCATTGATTTCAAAATTGATTGATTCAGGGTCGGCTGGGTTTTAGAGGGATTTATGAGAAAAGGTATTTATGTGACTGCTGATTCAGGATGTATTCAGTACTGCGTTAATAAGAATTTTCGAAAAATTCACCTATTTCAGGACTAAATTTGTTTGAGCTTATTTGTTTTGCGTTATCGATCAAACTATGTTCCAATTTATAATTCAATTTCCTGTGTTGACAATATTTATATTTCTCGTTTATTGGAAATCAAAAAAGTATTAGTTCATCACTTTATATTTTCTTTTATATGTAATCCTAAAATAATACCCATTCTAAAAAACATTTTAAAAACGTTCCCTTACGAGAAAATCGTGTGATAATTCATTGTAAAGTACACTTAAATACTCCATTAATGTGGTTTGTTTATACAACATAAAGAATTTTTTTCTAGAATTGTCAAGTTCACAGCGGATTAATTCCCTTGTCCTTTGCACGCTTTAGTTCTGTGTCAGGGTGTATTGATCAAAACTGACCATTACTGTGTGGCTTGTCGAATAAAATTCGTGATATTAAAATCCAATTTAACGCACATGTGTAACAAATCTATACGTTCATGATCCTACATCTGAAAAATAAACAGCCTTTAATGATTTATTTTTTCCTCAAAAAATATTTTTTAAATTTGTTTATACAGAAGACCGTTAAGACTCAGTAACGCGCTTATTAAAATATGAATTTTTCTATAGAAAATGTATGTATTTAATATAATGTGTTTCCTTTTCAAACTTTTATTGATATGTAGTTACCAGTAGGTATACGCCCTCTAAAATTATATTTGAATTGTTTTTTTATTCCATTTCTCCATTTTAAAAGGATTTATTAGTTTGACCTACGCCTCTGTATTCGAATTGAAAGCGCTTATACGATTTTCAGCGCATCGATAAAACTCAAAAAATGTGTTTTAAATAATTTATGTCGTTAATGGCGAACATCACTCAGCGTTGTTTGTTGTGATAATAATTATTAGCTGTTAAAAACTAGTAAAACTCCTATATTTAACGCATAATTATAGGAGATGCTGTATTTACGCTAGTCCAATATACGTTTCCAAATTTACTGCTCTTGATAACTGACGATATCCTGTTAGCGCGAACCTTCTCTGAATTTAATGCCTTGAGGTAATTTATTTTTTACAACGATTCGAACGTAAATACTCGTTCCAGAAATAACACCGGCCTATGTATACCTGTGCATTATTCGATATGTTACTTCGAATTATTTTGCATTTGCACAGTAGATAAATCGAATAATTGAAGAGTAAAACATTTAAAAAATATTGAAGATTGATGTTTAATTCTCAATTGCCAACTATAGTGGAGAGAGTAGAGACAATAGAGTGTAGAGATAGTAAAGAGTAGTGACAGCAGAGAGTAGAGTAATTAGTTAGTAGTTAACAGATTCAATTTTTTCGTCTCAATCGTCCATTGAATAGTTTAGTATAATTGATATCATTTGCAACTGTCATAAAAATATAATCAACGGACTGTGTTTTATTTTTAAATACATTTTTTTTGGAGCCATAAAGGTGTTAATTTAAACATTACCTCTTTTCATAAACATGCACTTATACCTTCAAAGCATTAAAATATTACAAAATAATGAATACCTATCTAATATGCATGAGAATATGAATAACTAAAAATACAATAGATATTCCCTATAGATTACAAAATACCTACTCAATAACGTATTGAATTATTTATGAATGCATATCCTTTTATTAATATTACATTCTTCCCTTAACTCAGTAACCATTAAAATATACTTAACTAATAAATTATCAATTAAACCTCCAATATAATTTCGAATATAAACGGATTCCGGCAGCGGCAATATCTATCAAACCGTACCAAATGTTCTGCTGCATATATTCCTGTCTATTGCCATCGCATAAACACTTAACGAACCTTGTATATACAAGTAGAATACTTAAATCTCGAAATTATAAACAGAGCAAGTGAATCTGTTTATAAAACCATACATCAAGAAGGCTGTTTATGCTACCCTACAAAATTTGGTACTCATCAACAGCTTCCAGAATTTATTTACAAGTCATAATGGTGCTCGTTAAGGAGCGTCGCGTCCGGTGAGGGCGAAAGGTGCATGAAATTGTTCATATAACAAAGTTAATAATGCTTTAATTGTTCGATGATTTCGATTAGAAATCTGAGACATTTGCTACGCTTACTCGGCATGTACAGGGTCTCAAATATCCTATCTCGATTTACACTATTTCAAGATATAGACAAATTAGGATACAGGGTCGGAAATGCCCCAGGATCGCAAAATCGCATATGCCTGATTCATACTAGCGTTATTTGTTCGTGGGATTCCCCGATTTTATTTTTTAACAGGTAATTGTTATATTGAGTTTGATTTGATTTGATTCCATACGCCCCTGGTGGAGTTTTTGGATAATTCCGGCGCTCATCGCGGGATTTGGTAATTTATTTACGGAGCACGCTTAACATTTTTATCGCCTCTAATCATCGGAGCGCACTGATTCGCCTTTACCTCTCGTTTAATTTTTTTATTGTTATTCGTTAGTGAAACGCGTTCGCCAGAAGCTCGATATCGGAATGTTTTGATCGCCGTTTATATCGACATAAATCTGTTGGAACGGAAAATTCGTTTCATCGCCAGTTTTATCTAGTTGTACAAGGTGTTTTGCCGACGCATCATCGTGAATACATCTCTTGAAAAACTGTTAATGTACTCGCAAAAGTCCTTGTACAATTTTCGAAAATAAAACAACGACTCTTTCAGATATACGAATACCCGATGTCCATTCGCCGCCGCACGGGGGCGGCGGCCCGAGCGGCCAGAGCAAGCGGAAGCGGTCTTGGTCCAGGGCGGTGTTCAGCAACTTGCAGCGCAAGGGCCTGGAGAGGCGGTTCCAGCTGCAGAAGTACATAACGAAGCCGGACCGGCGACAGCTGGCCGCCACGCTGGGCCTCACCGACGCCCAGGTGAAGGTGTGGTTCCAGAACAGGCGCATGAAGTGGCGGCACTCGCGGGAGGGCCAAGGGGGCGAGAACGCCGCCGCCGATTCCACGCAGGACGAGCTGCATATCGATGTCGATACTGTTACGGATGATGTTGATTGATTAAAGTATATTGTATGATTTTTTTTTATGTTTTTATGAATCCTCAAAAGATGTGGAGCGATGAATCAACAGGCATCGTAGGAGGGTTAATAAATCAACGTTTTTAATGAGTATTAAGGGCACATTTAGTTAGAACCTGGAAGAGATTCCTCAATCTTAGAGCTTGAATTGCAGCAATATCGATGGCAAATATACTCTCACAAGAATTAATTTAAACTTTAATTGAGATACAGAATGATCCATAAAGGGTATATCTTCAGAAAAAATTCCACCATTACTCTTTTTTGCACCAACCGAAAATGAATACCTATTATATTAAAACAGTATACAAGGATAGTTCAAGGCAACAATTCTCTTTAAAATCGATTCAATTGTGGGTTAGAAAAGTGATTTTGATCCAATTTAAAATATTGTGCGAGGTGTTATGAAAGCTAACAAAACATATACATCATCGTTCAAAATCCCTTTAAAGGTTTTTATCGAATCGACAACAATAGTCGCCTACTTAAAGTCTCGTTATTTACGAGAATCGATTTTCCCCTTTTTATTGCTAATGACCAGACGGACGAATGTGTGCATAAGGCGATAAAACAGTGAATAATGTGGGCTTTGTGAAAAAACGCCGATTTGAATTTTAAACGCCGCTGTATCGCGTTTTTTTATTATCGATGAGGAAAGATATTGCTTGACGAGAAAAGAGGAAAAATTAATAGGTTTTTTGGAGAATGGAGTATGGAAATTTCAAGGAAAAGTTGAATAATACGTATAGAAATTTTCGAAATTGGTATTTTTTCATTGACAATCCAAATTTATTATCTATTATTTATTAACGGAACACAAGAATAAAATTGATTTAAAGCGCAACAATATAACAACATAATGTGGATAAATTAATAAGTTAAACAAATTATAAAGAAGATTAATTATGTTCTTTTTTAGAGACTAAATTATAGAAGAAGAATATAGGCCGTAAATTACATTTTTTGTAAATGCGTATTAGATACCTTTAATAACATTTTTTTAATTTATTACCTTTGGATAACTACAAGGTTTCATTTGAATAGTCAATAAAAGGGCAACCATAAAAAGTTTCCCTATTTAAATGTAATTAGTAACTTATAAAATATTAATAACACTCTAATATTGAGCCGTAACACGTGTATGAAACATATACAGATAGGTGTAAATTTGTAGGCAATATAAAATTATGGCACAACAAAGATAACTTTCATTAGTCTCATATAAAGGAAAAAGAAAGAGATATTGTGGAATTGCAACTTTCTCACTCTAACCATACTGTTTTTTCAACTGCTAGTATTGACATTGACCATATTGCAAACAAATTTGAAATTTACCCAATTATCTGTACCGTAATATGTGATGGCTAAAAATATTTGTTCACGTTTAAAATTATTACAACCTATAATTTAATACCCAATTAATTTTTTCACAGCACACGAAATCTCCGCATAGCATGATTTATGCACGAACATTTTACACACATGCTTTCTAAATTTTTATCAATGGAATTTTCCCCAAAGCGTGTGCAACTCTTTTTTAAAATTATGGCGGATGAACTAAAATATTCTACAACCACCCGATTTTAAATTTCAATACAAATTGAAGTAGGTGTTAAATTAGGTCCTATATTTTCTGAAAAAATAATTCCACAATTTCATTCGCGTTTTCAACATTTTTCATTATTATCAACTCGATGTTAACGAGCTGATATAACAGATAAATATACACGTTTTAACTTTCTTTAATATTATATTTATATCGCACATGTCATGCGCTCGAAAAACCGTTTAAAACACTTCGGTGGCGCGATCACAACAGTGAAAATTACCCGCAGAGAAGCGACAGGACTCGACACTTTTCCCCCTATTCTTATGCCGGACGGGGGAAAATGAAAAGTGGCGTCAAAGAAAAATCGAGATGGGTTACGCCGAAATTTTCTTCGCGGGATTGTGCTTAAATGCTACTTGCGATGTTGATTTAGATAATGGTAAGTTAACCGTTACATTTTTATTTTCGTTTAAAATGAATTTGAATGATTTATTTAGATAAACTCATGTGAAAATTAACTAAATAGTTAATTAATTTAAATTTGGTGAATTATTGCTTGTATTTTTTGGATATTTATTTATTTAAAAGTAAAGAGGTGTTTTTTTTTCAGTCACAACTAGTGTACCTAGTTATTTTCAATTGAAATTCGCAGAATTAGAAGAAGAGCTTAAAACAGAAACACTTGTATTAACCACTATACAGGTAGATAATACAAAATTTATTTATTAATAATTATTGCTCAAGGATTGGTCAAAAATTAGGGAAAGAATAGGTATAGGAGAGAATCTGAGTGAGATTTTTGGGGAATATATTACTCTTTTATTTGTAATTTTTACTTTTATATTGCTATTTTGTTTGGAAATTCATCTTCTGGTGAAACTAAAATTGAGCTGATCATTTTTCTAAATTTGAAAAGAAAACAAGAAAATTGTATAAAAAATTATACTTAGGTATTTTCTCTCCACATCTATATATGAACTCTAATTTTTGACCAATATAATAAACTCTCAAGCGAGATTTTATCGAAATTTTCGTTACATATTTTCCATTTTTCAGAATGGAGAACTAAGCGGCTACCAAAAAATAGGAGACGATTTAGTTGGTAATGGAATAGCCTTCGATATCATACAAATCCTTCAAAACAAATACAAATTCAACTACACCATAGTCCTACCTGAAGATGAGACTTTCTTGGGAGCATCCAATCAAAGAACAGCTAAAAGACTTTTGGAAAAAGAGGTACCGTTTTGTATATAATTTTTTAATAATATGTCCTAATTTTATTAAGAAAAAAATTGTACAACTATCGAATCCATACAAGTTTTTATACAACTGAAGCTGAAGAGGGCAGCAAACTTATATATTGTTACTGTGTCCTGCTCTCTTTCTATAAGTAGGTACCAAACCTGGGGAAAAATGTGCTTAGATTCTAATAATCTAGACATAACTACTCCTGGAACTCCTAAGTTTCATATTTATTGGTGATGGTGAACTCTAGCAGAAAGAATGTCCTCAAAACAGCAGGATCATATGATCCAGGTTGAAAAGACCTGCCCGTAAACAACAACTACTACTTTTACAATTCATATTAGACCCTTCCGTACAATTTCTATTGCAGGAAGTCGACATGGCTGTGGCCTTTCTGCCGATAATCGAAAGCATTCGCAACGAAATCGTCTATTCCACGAGCTTCGACGTGGCCGAATGGGTGGTGCTGATGAACCGGCCCAAAGAATCGGCCACCGGCTCCGGCCTGCTGGCCCCCTTCACCACCGAAGTCTGGATCATGATCATCTTCTCCATTCTCACCGTCGGCCCGCTCATCTTTCTGATGGTGCTGATTCGCGCACGCCTTTGCAAAAACGACGACAGCGACGTCTACTCGCTGTCCACGTGCTTGTGGTTTGTCTACGGGGCACTGCTCAAGCAAGGTTCCACTGTTAATCCTAGAACAGGTACGCAATTTTCCTCTACTAACTACCTCTAGATAATACCTAGTTGGTGCATTGATACACTACAAAACAACGTTTTGTTTTCTACTAATTTGTGGTGGTGTTTCAGATACTTCTAGACTTTTGTTTTCCACTTGGTGGTTGTTTATATTAATATTAACGGCGTTTTACACGGCGAACTTGACAGCTTTTCTGACCCTGTCCAAGTTTACTCTGCCCATAACGGCTCCGGAGGATATAGGAAAGAAGCATTATCGTTGGGTGACGAACAAAGGGAATCCTGTAAGGGATCAAATTCTGGCTGATAAAAACGACGAGCACATCTACCAGGAGAAACTGATTGAAAAATTGGGCAATCTGAAGGTGTTTGCCAATTACCCAGGTATCTATGAAAATATTTTTATAATTTAATTCAAAATGCAATGGTTTTGCTTAGATATGGAGATACTGGACAGCTACGTTTACAAAAGAGACATGATGTTCATTCGAGAGAAAACCGTCATCAACCACATAATGTACAAAGACTACAGGCAAAAAGCCAATGGAGGCATGGAAGAGAGCAAAAGGTGCACTTACGTTATCGCGAAATTTCCCATAGTCAAATTCTCCAGAGCTTTCGCCTACTCCAAGAATTTCAAATATAAAGAACTCTTTAATTACGCGTAAGTTCCATCGCACCAATGAAACATCTGCAAATCCTCTTAATCTATAATTTCAGGATACAGCGATTGATAGAAGGCGGTATAATAGAGTTCAAGTTAAAGGAGAACCTTCCGGATGCGGAGATATGCCCGCTGGACTTGGGCAGCACGGAGCGCAAGCTCAGGAACACCGACTTGCTGCTGACCTACATCATCGTCGGCGGCGGCTTGGCGGTGGCGCTGTGCGTTTTCCTCATGGAAGTGCTGTGGAGGGTGTGCCAGAGACGATACAGGAAGAGGAAAGCCGGGAGGATGCGAGCGAACGGCTGGCCGAACAACCACAAGAGCCGCGCGTTTAGGTCGAATTTGCAGGTTACTCCGCCGCCTTCCTATCAAACGCTGTTCAAGCCGCCGTTTTACTACGAAAGAGGCGGCACCAAGAAGTTCGTGAACGGGAGAGATTATTGGATAGTCGACGGGAAGAACGGTTTGAAGCAAATGATCCCACTGCGTACACCGTCCGCTTTGCTTTTTCAGTTTTCCAATTGAGCACAAGTGTTTTATTGAAATAAAATGTTTGAGGTTGATGTGTATTATTGTTGTATTAGGAAATTGGAAATGTGGAGAATATCAACAGTAATAACGATAAATATTTTATTTTCTCTAACGCACATTGCTTACAAAGATGTTACAATAAAATATTCAATATTGGTCTTATAGGATTTGCAGTGATAATTTGAGTACATACATAAATCTTCTTATTAAAACTATAGGTATATATTTGTGCAATTAATATTTTATATCTCTTATCATATACATATAGAATTTAAAATATTTTCGCATTAAATGCTTTAAACTGTATTATACCTAAACAATTACACTAACATCACAAAAATTAAGTCTTCTTGTATCGGAACCGATAAAAACAATTAAAACATGCTAATAAAAATTAGAATAACAACCGTAATAAGTTAAATACAACAATCAAGGGTTCCTACAGATCAACATAGATACTTATTAAGGTACCGGTCTAGTACAGTCTACCCAAATTTATTTTATACAAGTGTTTATTACAAAGTATAACAGCAACATTTAAGCCAAAGAAAATACTTTACTGGTATTATATTATTTATAGAACAGCATGGGGTTCACAGTATTATACAATAGCACAGTATTATACAGTAAATTTACCGATTAATTGGGGAAGTACCAGTTTTTATTTAAACGTAAATATTATCTTCATTAAGCAAACGAAGAAGGTAACGAATTCAAATTATTTATAATTACAGAAGTATAATATCAGAATTATACAAGGTGAGTTTTTCAGTTTCAGTTTTCGAAATATGACCTCTTAAAATATTTAAATATACCGGGGCGGCGAAATACAGGTTGTTTCATTTTAGTTTGCAATATAGGTTTTTTAGACTATGGGTGAGATAAAGACAACTTCCATTAGATACTTATAAAGGAAAAAGAAAGAGTGCTCTTGTGTGATTGCAACTTTTTCACTCTAACAACTGTTATTTAATAATCTTCCTTTGTTCAACTCATAGAAATGACCATATTGCAAACTGAAATGCACCATAAGGTATGTAAGTAGACCGCAAATATTATGGTAGACCTCATACTAGATCGGCACTCTTATTAAATGTTACATAGACATATAATAGAGGTTATGAGGACTTTATTGTTTGGCTGCGCATTGTTTTTGTGCGATCGATACGCAACACTCTGTGCCAGGATATTTGGGTAAATCCAAATTATACTTTTCCTCCAAACGAGGGGGAACAAAGCGGCCCCCTAAGTAATGATATTTTCCAGTATATAGCTTGGCGCATAATTTAGGTGCTGTTAGCGATATGAGTAGGTCGGGCTTGATTCCGTCCTCCGGCGGACCTGTTTCCACGTCCCAACCACTCGGTATGTCAATGCTAAAAAATATATTTCAACAACATACAATATTTTACGAAAATAATTAATTATTTACCTAGCAATAGGCACTTTAGTTTCCCGCATTAGTTTGATGATTGGAATAAATTCCTCCCTTACAGGCGGTTTGAAACTGAAGCCAAACAAAGCGTCAACGATGAGCCCGAACTCGCATTCGACCGTGGAGTTTTCAGGTAAACTTTGAATCACAGGTATGTTCATTAAAGTGCACTGTTTGGTGAGGTTATTGTACAGCTGCCTTTCTGATCGTTTCGGGTAATATACTATCGGTTTGTAGTTGAACAATTTTAAATGCCTCGCACACACCAAACCGTCCCCTCCGTTGTTACCGGGGCCCACGCAAACCTATAGGAATTGTTTATTGAATAGTACAACGTGTAATGTGAAGAAACCTTAACATAAACTGACTTAAATCTGAATGAAATGTCTAAAAATATGTAAAAATGTAAGAATGTCATTTTTGTTTACAAGTCATGTTTTATTTTTGCTTATTATATGATTATAAATTTATTGTCCAAAACAATAGGATATATAAGAATAAAGCGGGTGAGTTTATTCAATTTTAATTCTTACAATTAGTAACGTATTTAAATGAGATTAATTTCCAAGACTTACCATTACAGATTTATTACCCAGCTCTGATTGTGGGTAGCATTTCTCAATTGCAACTGCACAACTTAAACCGGCTAATTCCATTAATTGGTCAACAGAAAATGAATATTCATTAAAGAGCTCAATATCTATTGATTGGGCCTCTTGTTGTCCCAGGTATCGAACCATTTTGGTGTACGAAGTAGAAAACGATCTGTTATGTACTGTTCTTAAAATCTGCAACAAATTCATCGCTTATTACACCAATTATATTGTAATAATGCAACTTTTTACACCTTTTCCAAAATAAATATTTATCGGCTGTCACCGCTGTCAGTGTCGTGAAATTGAGGTTAGAACTGCGTTCCGATTTTCAGATTTTTTTAGAATATCTGTTTGTTTGATTAACTCCGAATTTTACGAACAATTTTTGAACGCATCCAGAGCAGATTTCGAATTGAGATAATTGAAAATTATGCACATAACGTACGAAATAATTGGCATAACTTTCATATTTTAAAAATTCGAGTTAATTAAAATAAAAAAATCGTTAAGAAACGATCAAAAAACCAATTTTAATTTTTGACATTTGCGATTGTCATTGACATTAATGACAATATTGACATTGACGTTTCAGAGGCCACGTGCATAAACGAAAATTGAGCAATAAATTTATAATTATTAATACGATTTTAGGTTTTAAGTACTCTCATTATAACAGAAAAGATAAAATGCGGTGTACTTTATGAATAAAAGCCCAATGAGAATGACTGTATCCTCTTAAAGTACCTGTTTGTTTATGAGAAAATAGAGAATCATTCGATTATACGTCACAAAAGTTCAAAGTGCTCATTTATGATATATCTGCTGTTGTAAAAAATTAGTTGTGGATGATCTAATTGAGTAATTGCTAGTACAGTTATTTCTCAGTGAAGTCAACACGGCAGCGTTCTTTGCCATTCGACTTAGTTATATTACCGTTTGTGCTGCTCTATAAAATACATCATGTTCAAAGGTATGTTAACAATGTTCTGAAATTCCCAGTTCACGGCTATATAGCAGAGAGAATTTTGATTCCTATTGAGATTTTAACTTTTGTATATGTAAATGATAAGGTCAAGGTCAAAGGAGGCATGCTAGATTGAAGTATGTTCATATAAATGAATATGATATGAACCATTGGTTCTCATTCGAGCAAGTTTCGCTGATGGCGTTATAGTTATAATTTATATGTACAGATATTGTTTCATATCTTTCAGTTGATATCATTGTCAATGGCGCCACACAGTTGTAAGGGTTGTCTCAGGGACGTAATTGCTTCGAAAATGTCTAAAAAATCATCAAGCGCATCTGATACACCGATGGAAGAAAATGGAGTCGAAGATGTCCCTCATAATCCCTGTAAGTATTTCTTTATGTACATTGCATTTAAGTTTTGTTTGCTAATCTGTTATTGTGCACCTGTTGAATTTAGGTGATGTATTTGATTGTTACGAACGGTTTGGGTACCATATCAAGATTAAATCTTTCATTTATGTTTTTTTAAGTACTGACATTACATAAATTTGTAGTAATTATGCAGTTAAAATCTGTAGAACGGTAGTGTAGTTGCTTATTACTATAGCATGTTTACATGTTTTGAAACTTGAATGTTAATTGAAATTAGACAAAACAATGAGGTATAATTAAATAGTTAAAAAACTTGTTTATTTTATTATGGCGTTGCTAAAGAGTTACTTATTATTTTCAATAATTTTAATCGTAATTAGTCAGTTAGTTCAACGGGCAATTTTATGGGAAATGGAACAATGTATAATTAGTAACTGATTCAAATACAATATTTTATAAAGCGGTGATTCAATAAAAATTTTAACAAGAAACTGAACAAAAATTTATCCAATTAACCATCTATCAAAAGAGATTTTCAATTTATTCAGGTAAGAGATATTCCCGTCTTTATGCCTATTAATTTTTTTCTTAAATTTCACAAAATTTATGATGAATAAATAATAAGCTTCAGTATTGTATAATAATATTAATCTTACATAATTTATTTACTACAATTTTTTAGTATTATCTAACAAAAATTAAAAAACTTTTATCGACTTCTAAACAAGTTGTTAAAAAAATCGTATTGATTCGCCTTTATCTCAATATTTAATTGGTTTAATTGGTATCTAAATAAAGCGCATATTTGATCATTTTTTCTGGAAACTCGATTTCATTAATATTTATTTACGAAAACTATCGAATTCCCGTGCACGAATTTGTGCATTTTTTACGGTCCTTCCAATTTGAAAGTCCATTTATCATTCATTTATATCGTGATACAATCGTGACCGCTTTGAATTTATCAATTCATTTAAATAATCGTGAAAATGTTCAGGTCAGTTATTTATAAAACGATAAACTCCACGTTTATTTATTTATAATTAACGCCTTAGTGATTGAATGTTTAATTTGTGTATTAGCAGTGATTAAATTTACAACTAATTGCACAGGGAGTGTCTAAAGCACCCAAGCAAATGATTAAAATACAAATTTTAATGAAAATATATCTGAAAATCAACTATTTCATCTCTTAAAATCCGTTTGAAAATTAAATAGTAGTTAAGTAAATTATCATAAAATATTTTAAACTTAAGCAATTGATATATTTTTGGAAAAATTCATAATAAATAATGCGCAAATGAATATTCTTCAATTACTACACTAAATAATAGTTGATGCAATAATTAGATTATCTGATAAATTATATTTGAGACTGTTTTATCTCTACTCAATCATTACTAACAGGTACTTAAAAGATCTTAATAATTTATTACTACGTCTTGAGCAGATTCAATGCATTTAAATTACAATACAAAATAATTAAATTCCTATTTTATCAGATACCAGATGTTGATTATTTTTTTAGTTCATAAATTATATATAATTGTATATTTATTTAATTATTTGAGACCTTCATTAAATACATAAATAATATTTGTCATTAAGGGTTGGAATAATGTATCATAATTTCCAGTAATGCAACCGTTTTAAATGTAAATTTTCAAGTGCATATGGATAATGTTTGATAATGAACCGACGTCATTTGACGGGGAAAAAAAGTAATTCTACCGGATTTGGTTAAAAACAAAGCCGAAAAACCGTGTAAACTCCAAATCTATTGCATAATAATTAAGCGTCTGACGCGGGAATTGTTTAGACACCTATTTGAAATTCAATTCAAACCGAGCACAAGGCCTTTCATTTTAGTATGTACATTTTTACCTTTTGCTCAAACCTAATTTAGTTTCGTTGCTATTGCTGTAATAGAGATTTTTAAGTAATAAAAACTGTTACTTTTAACAAACTTCTAGTGTACCAATTGATTGACAAGCTACGAAAAGACTTCTATTTCAAGTTTGTACCTTTAGAATTAGAAAATAAACATTATTCTGTATATTTTTCAGCGATGCCTTGGTTCGGTATGGACATTGGCGGTTCCCTGTGCAAACTAGTCTATTTCGAACCGAATGAAGCCGCAGGAGGCGAGAGCGCCTCCGAATTGGAGACGATAAGGAACATCAGGCGATACCTTACAAAAAATTCTGCTTATGGGAAAACCGGCCATCGAGATACACATTTACAAGTAAATAGATTTCTGTTTAATCGTTTAAATACAGTACAGGAAACTAACTACAAGAAGCGTTCAAAGTATGCATTTAATACGAGCACCATGAAAAGTTTGTAAGCACACCCTATTATAATGTAATAATATTAACCCATGATATTAATTAAAGATTTTTTCCTCCTGGGAAACTTTTTAAACATTGTAAACTAAATGGAATTTTGCAATTATGAAGACATTGTTCGCATACTTGTTTTTTAATTGAGCATTAGAGCTTGAAGTGGCTATATTTTTTTTAACAATGAATTATTAAACTTAATTGTATTGTAATTACCACACGATTTTAATGTTATATTCATTTTCAAAAAATTAAAATTGCTTAATTATAGTGTTTATTCGAAAACTCAATAATAGATTACTGTCGATTAGAATTAAATAACGAGCAAAATTTATACCGGGTGAAATTGTGTAATTTACCATTTTTTCGAAGGGATGCAATCGATAATTTCGCAACTAATAGAATTTTCTGTGATGTGTTTCAGATGGAGAACGTAAAAATTAGAGGTATGCTAGGAACGCTGCACTTTATCAGGTTTCCCACGAGCGAAATGAAGAAGTTTTTAACATTGGCCAGACACAAAGGGATGGCCAAGTTGGTTTCCACCGTATCGGCCACCGGCGGGGGCGCTTACAAATTCGAAAACGACTTCAAACGAGTGAGTTTTGCCAATTAAAGACGTATTGTACGAAGCGTAAAACCATTTCCTCGTAGGAAGTGAACCTAAGGTTGGCTAAATTCGACGAATTCGATTCGTTACTGACCGGCATCCACTTCATCGATAGACACAACCCTACGGAATGTTACTATTGGTCGGATCCCACCGATGACAACAAGTGCACTAAAGTGAGATACGATTTGTCGAGTCCGTATCCGTTTCTGATCGTAAATATCGGCTCGGGCGTCAGCATATTGGCTGTGTATTCAGCTACGAACTATAAGCGAATTTCGGGAACTAGGTAAGTTTCATTTCACGTTTAAATTCAAAGCTGCTTGCACAAGTTGGTGTGGTTAGTAATGAAAATTAAGGAAATATAGGGTGGCACTGTATGGAGTTGAAGAGAGGAACGTAGATGTAATTTTATGAATGAAAAGTCATTCTTTGTTCTGAAATCTGTTGAATAAAGTGTTGTTGAGGTAAAGAAACGTTAAAATGAGTCGGGAGAGAAGTACCATTATTAAATATTTTCAGAGCAAAATGTTATGAAACAAGTTGTTTTCATTCAAATTAAGGGCGTCACTTCAGGGTATTTTTAAATGGGAAAACATAAATTCAGTAATTCTAGTAAGATTCAAATTATTTGGCTATATAATTTGATTTGAATTTTTTTTATACCTAATATGGAGACTCCAAGCAATGATATCTCCTATATTTAATCTCACCTACTTCATTATATATTTAAAAAAAAACTGTCATCAAAACTGCCATTTATTTGCAATGATTCTTAAATGGCTAAACGTAATTCTAATAAAAGTCGAGTTTTACTAGAAATACTTGTGTACATTACAAACCATAAGTAAATTTACAAATAAAGTGTACTTACTTGTATGAACTCCCGTAACAACCCGTAACAACTCCCTGAACAACCGTATTTTTACTCTTTGCTTGACTTTGGTTTCACTTTATATACTAATGGAATGCTTGCTTATCAATTTCCTTCTTGTAAACGAAAATATTTACTCCATAACCACAATTTCCAAAAACATTTATTTGCGGTAAAAAATACTTGGTTTTTAACATTACATTTGTTTTTCAATACTCTTACATTCTACATAACATTACCCAAAATCACTAATTTTGTTGGTTTTTAGTTTGGGCGGAGGCACTTTTCTGGGATTGTGTTGCCTTTTGACCGGTTGTAATTCATTCGAAGAAGCGATCGGTTTGGCAGCGGAAGGTGATAATAGAAATGTCGATAAATTAGTGAGAGATATTTACGGTGGCGATTACGAGAGATTCGGTCTTCCCGGCGATTTGGTAGCTAGTAGGTGAGTATCTTGTTAATTATGAGATTTGTTAACTTTACTCTATTTTAATTTTTCTTTTAAATAACAAAACGTTTAATGGAGCTTGATTTTTTGATTGAAATAAAACACGTTTTTAGTATTTTTTTAACTACACTGCATTATCGCTTGAAATTTATTAATTTGTAATTAGCGGGTAGTCTTGATTAGTTTTATTACAACTACCTTGCCCGTATAGTGATATTTTTTAAACGAACCAGTAGACTATTTTAGACATGTTTAGGTATTTACTAGTGTTTGTTGCTTGCTTTGTTTGTAATTTTTTTCTTTTCGTCTTTCCCTTCTTTTCTGCTTTTTTTCGTAATTGGTGCACACTCTGAAGTTTCTCGGCCTTGTGTAGCTTTGGACAGATGAACTCGAAGGAGAGACGCAACAGGGTGAGCAAACAGGATCTGGCTAGGGCGACGCTGGTCACCATCACGAACAACATAGGCTCGATAGCGAGGATGTGCGCGTTGCAAGAGAGAATCGGAAGGGTGAGTTCCATCACATCGTCCAGGATTTATTACTGATTATTATTCGTTGTAGGTGGTGTTTATTGGGAACTTTTTGCGGGTGAATCCCATAGCAATGAAATTGCTGGCCTATGCTATGGAGTACTGGTCGAATGGGACGATGAAAGCTCTGTTTTTGGAGCACGAAGGGTACTTCGGGGCCGTAGGATGTCTTTTACAATTCCACGAGGAATTGAAGAGTTGAAAATAGGCAAACGGGATCTTCTTGCCGCACATATATCTTAAAAATATAATATGTATTGAAATGGTTACTTAGACATAAAATGTATGTAATTTGGAATGGATTAAAGTTACAACTTGTGATTGGTATGTAGGAAAATGTGTAGTTGGAATGTACATTTTATGTTTTTGAAACTGTACTTGAAATTATTTTATTCTTTAAACATTCCTATAAAAATAGTTGCATTGGGTAAATGGAATGAGTACGGTAAGCAGTAAGGGTCAAAAGTTCTCATCTTTTTATGACCGGTATTTCGCCCGTAACAATTGTTGGATGTATTTCTTAGGAATTTATTTATTTTTAAATAAACTTAAATGTAAAACGAGAAAATGTGAAATTCAAAATTTCAAAAACGGTAACTACAAAATATATAAATGGAAGCGAGGAACTTTTGTTTCTCACTGTACAAAAATATACACGTTTATCTTTAAGCCGCTTTGTACTAAGACAATTATTATTTTTTAATCTACCGTTTATATTTTTATGTGAAAGTTAGTATTAATAAATTTTTTGGTTGTTAATAAGCAGTCATTTTGTTTTGTTTGTCCAAAAGTTATTTTTTTAAAACTAGTCATTCACTTTATCTGTCCTTTTATTCATCACATATCAATTTGGAACGTCTGTTAAGTTAATACCTACTGCTATATAAAATAAATATGCACTTAAAATTAATACAAATAAGTAATAAATGGCACTTATTAATTACAATTTTAACTAATTCTAGATAACAATAAATAGCTTGAATGAATAATACTTATTTGGAGCCTTTTATTTCAACTCGACTTTAATACTCGGGCAGTGTAAAAATAAACAAAAACTAAATAAAAGCAATTAAGCATTTCCTAAACTCTTCTGTTCAGTCCAAACAGTAATCAGTTCATTAGGGTCTCCATAACCATGAGACGCTATTGTATATTTATAATTCAATTTTTTATAAGATTGCTTGTAAAAATGAAATTCATCACAGTTTAAAGGATTAATTTTAGCCTTATGAGCCAAGAGTCCCACGTAAATATCGTCAAATCTGAAGTGCTTGGTGTAGAAACTCGTATAATACATATCAATTAGGGCTTGTTTAGATAATACGTAACTTCCTGCAGTTACGTACGGAGGCCACATGTGATACGGGTATTCTTCTAGTGACACGTACCATTTACTAGTATAATGTCTATGAGGGGAGGATTTAAAAACGTAGCCTGCGTACAATCTCGAAGCATCATCTTCGTACTCTCTCAATTGCCGTTTATTTTCTATTAAATTGTTGACTAGCCCGAAGGTATCTTTTATATACTTCGGATAATTTGCAGGGTTTCTCAAAAACCGTAAAACGTTTTTAGTAGATACGTAGTAATCGTCATCAACGAACATATAAAATTTCGAATTAGAACAATATTTAACAGCCCAACGCATCCCCATCATTGTTTTGTATGTGTTATTATAGTAGCTATCCGTGAAATTCGCTGCTACAAGGTCCTTATACACTTTGTATTCTTCGATTAAAGCTTGCTGCAGTTCCCTCGAATTAGTCTCTCCTATTAGAAATATCGTTCGAATTTCTACATCGGAGAATCTCTTCTCGTATCCCCAGGTTTGGCGGATCCCCTTCCTTCTGTTGGAATTCTCGGGCGCACTTTTGATTATGTAAACCAGTCGCAATTCGTTCACATGACTGCACTTGAAGCTGCACGACGTGGAATAATCAAAGTAATACGAATTTATCGGAGGCACCGAAGGGGTTTCGTTATGTTTAAGTTGTTCCACTAACAATTCCACGTCTCCGTCGAAGGGATAATGAAAATTTTCGTAAAAATCGATTTCGTATAGGTGATTAAAAAGTCCAAACGCGTACAAAGTTACGAATAAAAAGAAAAACAGTATAAATATGCGGTTGAGTTTTCTCGTAGGTATCCACATCTTTAGACGTTTAATCATTGTCTCGTCCGGTTCTTTTGTATGCGAAAAATAACAATAATATAAATATTAAGTTCGGCAACTATGCATTTGTAAATTAATTGAATAATTTAATTTGAATTTTGTATTTATTTACCTAACCTATTAAATTTCCTGTCAAATTTAAGTAAATAAAAAGAAGATAATAGAGAAGGTCTAATCAGTTAGGTCAATGTTTAGAGAAGAAACATAACAGTATTAAGTCTTATTAAGTGTAATATTACATTTAGATCATTTCGGTTAAGTTTTGTACAATTTTCTTTTGTCTAAGAATTGTTATTAGTTTTTTTATCCAAATCAGTATCTGCAATACTTTAAAGTCGGAGATCAACAATTCTGAGAATGACAAGTGACAGTGACATTAACAGAAAAAAGAAGACAGTTTTTTCATTCAATGTTTAGATAAATCTCTATCATTTTTCTCATTCATTCTCATTTTACGGTAAAGTATGTCAACTAATGCCTGGCGCTGCTTAAATATTTCATCACAGTAGTTTATAGAAAAACCCAGATCTGACAAAAATGCTCGCTTGTTTGAAGCAATTCAATTACGCCGGACGCTTCAGAATATTGTATCGAGTGTTTTTAACAATTTGGCTCCTAGTATTAGTGATATCCGCTTTTTCCGTGTTAACGTCTAATATAACGTACTCGGACACCAAAGTGGCAGAGAGATTAACCAGAGCCTTAAACGACTTAGAAGTACTACGTAGACAGAACGAAGAAATACATGAAATATTTAAGGACATAAGTATAAATAACTTAAACGATGAACAGAAAGAAGCGATTGAAAACTTCCAGCTAAGGTTGACTAAAGTCGAACATCCTTTTGGTAAGGATAAGTTGGACAATATATCTTCTAAAGAAGAACCTAATACTCAATATGAATTATTAAGACGAAGGATTTTTTCAAACACGAAGGAACTGTTTTATTTCATCAATTCAGGATTACAGGACTTGCAAAAGAAAGCTAGTAATGTAAGTAGTACGAACAATAACAATACATCATTGCAATATTGTATTATTTCAGGTTGCACCTGAAATCCTGGACTCCATTGGGTTTTTACTAAAAATGGGAAACGAGCACAAAAAATCTCTCCTGCACGACATTGAACGATTAGCAGAAGTCGACGGATACGCGGAGTGGCGCCAGAAGGAATCCAACGCGCTGAGCACGCTGGTGCAGAACCGATTCAAGTACCTGCAGAACCCCGAAAACTGCGATACCGCCAGAAAACTGGTGTGCAACTTGAACAAAGGCTGCGGCTACGGGTGCCAGCTGCACCACGTCGTCTATTGCTTCATGGTGGCGTACGGAACGAAGAGGACGCTGATACTGAAATCGAAAGGTTGGAGGTACCACAAAACCGGCTGGGAGGAGATATTCAAACCCGTAAGTGACACTTGCGTTAATCCGAACGGCCAGTCCATTGCCAGCTGGCCGGGTAACTCAGAAACCCAAGTCATCAATTTACCTATAATAGATTCTTTGACACCGAGACCACCGTTTTTACCTCTTGCTATACCCGAAGATTTATCGCCAAGGTTGATTAGACTGCACGGTGATCCGATCGTGTGGTGGGTAGGACAAATATTAAAGTACATTTTAAGACCCCAAGAAAAAACTGCCAAGATGTTGGAAGAAACGATAGAAAAGATGGGTTTCAAGACGCCTATAGTAGGCGTTCACATCCGTCGAACTGATAAAGTGGGCACCGAGGCCGCTTTTCACAGACTGGAAGAGTACATGTTGCACGTAGACGAATACTTCGATTACTTGGAAACCAAGCAAAAGGTGAACCAACGGAGGATTTACCTAGCTTCGGACGATCCGAAGGTGTTCCAGGAAGCCAAAAAATTGTACCCGAACTACGAGATAATCGGCGACCCAAGCATAGCCAAAACCGCCGCGGTCTCAACGCGGTACTCGGACTCCTCTCTATTCGGCATCATCAACGATATCCACATGTTATCTTTGAGCGATTATTTGGTGTGCACATTCTCCTCTCAAGTGTGCAGGATCGCCTACGAGATCATGCAAAATTACTATCCCGACGCGTCGCACAGGTACCATTCGCTCGACGATATTTACTATTACGGGGGCCAGAACGCGCACAATATGATAGCCGTGTTGCCGCACGAGCCGTCCAGAAAGGGCGAGATGAGCGTTAAAACTGGGGACGTCATAGGCGTAGCCGGTAATCATTGGAACGGATACAGTAAAGGTAGAAATCTTCGAACGAACCAAATAGCGCTGTATCCTAGTTTTAAGGTGAAAGATAAAATCGAGACCGCTAAATTTCCGACGTATGCAGAAATGCATAAAAAACATTCGTAAAATATTTATGTTATAAGGAGGAGTTTCTAGGCATTTTATTTATTCTAGCAAACTTTTCGTTTGAAGTAAAGTAATCTCATTTCATTGGTAATCGCCAACAAAGGTTCGAATTAACTTATAATATACGGAAGAACTATTGTTAATAGGTTAATTGAACTCTTTGGTAACTTTTAAGCATTTTTAGTTTACCAATGAAACACTGTATGTATATTATATAACAGATCATTTTTCCTATACAATTAAGAAAATCTCTGAATAATTTTAATTTTTTTATACGCAACAGTTCATAAACTGTGATTCTTCCAGTGCAATATTTTATACCGAAACTGTCCCAAGAAATTCCTCGAGTTCATTTTAAATGGACGGCATCTTTTTTGAAAAGGTGGTTTCACTCACAGGGTCACAATTAGAAGCAAAACGAAACGCTTTTACTATTTATATTATATTGATACATTTAATTTTAATAGTTATTCGAATAGTATCTGTGGTATGTTTGACATTATTTTCGTGTAACGTGAAACTAGAACACGAGTTTCCGAGCACTTATGAAAATTAATTATATAATTTACCGCGGTCGTTAGGAAAATACTCACTCTAATGAGATTTTGTAGTTACATAACTCGAATATTTTTTTGTGTACGCAACAATTTAATTCATAAAAGTCGACAGTTTGTAATTGTGAAACTGCTCACAAATTCTGCTCAAATCGTCTTATTTATGTCTATAAATAATCAAATCTCGAATTAAAAATAACAATTTAACATAGCTTTTACTAATTTATTTAGATTTATTATTAATTTTATGTAAAAAAATTATATAAAGCACTGATAAGAGGTTGATATCTCGCATTTCAAAATTTATAATTATCTGCTAAATATACCTCAAGGCAATATGTGGATAAAAAGTTTTAAATTCATTAACACATTTTATGTGAGAAATTGATTAGACCAAAAGCTTTTAATATATTATCTATAAATGAAATTTGTACATTGTTACTTTAAGTGGGAATATGTGTCAGGTATAACGGAAAAAATAACGTTAACTGCAATAGGTTGTCGCTTGATTAACATATTTTATCTACAATCACTAATTTAAACTTTATTTTTAGTTTACTTACTAGTTAATCAAAGAACATGTGTAATCAAAATAAAATTGACTTTGGTGGAAAATTAATAAGTGTTTGTAGATAAAATTTTGCATGCTTCAAAAGGAAGAGAATTTTCATTCATAAAATGTAAATACCTACCTACACAATTTGATTTAAGAGTAGAAATGTGTCGATGTTTCCAATGTATTCGAACATTAGTGAACACTTTTGTTATAAAAAATAGCAATTTTATACTTCATAGATAGATATTGTCATTGTTAATACTTTAAGTTAACTTTATTTAAACAAATATTACGTGTGTGTCCTGAATTGATAATATTTATATGCAGTTTTATGTCTCTGTAGATGTTAATGCACTAAATTGAGTAGGTATTAAAGTTGTTAGTCGTGAAAATAGCACATACAAGAAAAAAACCACAGGTTTAATTAACTTAGATTTAAGTGGATTATGCAATTTTTTTAGTAATATTTTATTATGCACATAATTGGATTATATATACTCTAAAGGGTGAACCAGGAATAGGCCAAAAATAATTAATTTCTATTGAATTTGCCAAATAATTCGTCGGGAATGTAACTTTAATTATACTCAAAATTACATATTACATACTTTTGTGATATGTTTAATAATCAGCATAATTTTTGTTTATAATAAAAATATTTTTAACTTCTATCAGAATCTCATAACTCATGAATGAAAATACTCGAAAAAAATATGTAATGAATTGGTATCATTTCAATGGTATTTGACCATTCATTCCTGTGGCACCCCGAATTCTACAATTTTATGACTCGGGTATAAGTATATTATCAATTTCTGGCACTCTCTATTTTACACTGTGAAGGGTAACTGTTATATTTGTAATTTATTAGTGTAAGTTTTATTTTATTTTACTTGACTGTGATAATGTAAACAACCATAAAAATATTTACTTTTAGCGAAAATTTCATTTCAATTTCATTCCCACGAGGAAAAAAACTACAGTCGTGGATAAAATATATTTAAAAAATGACTAAACACTTCCTACATTAACCGTATCAGAAGATTTGTTGTGTAAATGTTGCACAATAATACCGAATAGCGCCGACAGAAAGAACAATCCACCTGAAACGAAAAATGGAACGCTGTACGAGTGCGCCCAATTCAACATCACGCCTCCCAACGGTGTACCGATCAACGTTGAAACCCCTCTGAACAACTGGGTGATCCCGAAGCAATTTGTCACTTGACCCATGCCGACCAGGTCTATCAAAATTATCAAGCTCAATGAGGAATACGCAGCTGAAAATCAAATTAAAAAAACGTGTAAAAGTGCGGTGTATACAGGGTTGAAAATGATTCCAGATGATTGATTTGCTATTACCAATCTTCTAGTTATTATAAGGGAATAACTCCACTTGTTCCAATGGTGATTGCAATAGCAAATTCACATGATTTGCTCAAGTGAACTCAATCGAATATTGCATATGAAGTAGTTCCCAAATTACAGATCATTTTGGAAAACATTTATACAGATAAGTGTCTCAATTCCAAAGGTATTCAAGGAATAATTAAGCTCTAGAATCCAAAATGTAAGATCCTCCTTTTTTGAAACAATGTTGATATCTAATATTTTCTTTGGACTATCATATCATTCAGTAACATGTTTTTCTCAAAATTAAAATTAATTAGGACCAGTCTCATCTATCATTACCTATTGAAAGACCGAAGAAAACTGAAGCAAAAACGCACGTTATGAAAGTTTGGCAATAGGGCAGCAGAGTGATGGCGGCTGCTCCGATAAACAGACAAATATTATTAACCGTAAGCGAAGAAACTGTTGGGAAATTCACGATGTATCCGAAAACGATTCTAGCTACTATATTAACGATTCCTATAATGGAAATTAGGAATGATGCCTTGCCGTCTTCAATACTCTGAAAGGAAACGAGTGTAATAATTATACCAGAATGTTTACAAAATTTGAGTTACCTACATTACTTTTAGCGTAATCCACAATATAAACGAGAGGAATGTACAACGATATCATCGACAATATGTTTAATATGCAGAACAATAGAAATATCCTGTCCTTCAGTAAAGTCAAATCTAATATAGATTTAAAACTTGTAGTTTCTAGAAACAGAAAATTAGCTACATTTTCTCGCAAAATCATCATCACTTACTTTCCCTAGGTATAGGAACGTTGAGCTGCACCGAACTCGTATAAAAAATCTCTTTCCTAGTCAAAAAATAATGCCGCTTAAACGCGAAATACTCGGTGACGTTGGACTGGCTCCGATTCCTCGCTTGTCCCAAATTCTCCACCGGCTTCCTCTGCTTCTTCGGCGTGACAATCGACACCTACAATTCAACGAAACGTTTCAATCTCCCTTTAACCGACGCCCCCCTCGCTGGACCCACCTTGTGACAAAAAGGTAACCGGAAATTCTGATTTAAATTATCTGAACTTAATATTTCTAGCTACTTCAAGTTTCTTTATGTAGGTAACACTGTTCTTAATTAGCATGCGAAAAATTAGAGGGATTTCTCTATCAGTTTGGTTGTGGCAGCGGATTGAATCAGTTCATCTCAGCAATGGACAAGAATAATAATGAACGAAGAGTTTGTCTCATATTTTGGGTTTTGAACGGAATTTCGTGGGCCGAATCGATGGAGAAGCTTAAGGTGATTCTGTTTTATCGAAAACTCATATTTATGAATGATACAAAACTTTTAAAGACGGTCGAGATCGCTAAACTTTCCTTGTACCGGACGGGCCTCGACATCTTCGACCAATGACAACGGCGAGAAAATGATGGAAATTGAGTTCGAAAATCATCATGCTGGTATTAGAGAAGTAGCACTTGACTTCAACATCTCCCGTTAAACCGCTCGTTTCGAGGCTCGGCTCGTTCCGATAGAGCTGTTTCTTCAAAAACGCTTTACAGCCGCTTTACTCAACAGATTTAGCCTGGTGCGACTTTTTTTGTTTCCCAAGCTCAAATTTCCTCTTCGGGGATCCCGTTTTGACTCCATAAATGACATCAAAGAAAATTCGTAGGAGCTCTAAAAGCCGCACCAGAAAAGGGATTATAAGAATGATTCGATGATTGAAAAAGGCGTCTGACTATGTGTATCGCTTCAAAAGGAGCATATTTTGAAGAACACTGAAGAAATATTAATGAATATTAGGAATTTTACGTTTTATTCCAATTTTCCAGGTACTCTTTTTGTCACTGTATGAATTGACCCTTACATCGACCGCGCTTTTGCTCTCTTCGTTCTTCGTCAGCCGAACCTGATGGTACTCCGTCTCCGGCGGCGGAGCCTTCAGCTTCAGCGGCTTCATCAGCGCCCCGAATACGGTGCAGCACAGCGCGCACGCCGCCAAGTACGCGTTCGCCATCTTCCAATCGCTCGTGCGAAGGATGTAGGCGATTATCGGCGGGAAAACGAACGTGCCGAATCCCGAGCCGCTCATGCTGATACCTTATGAGAGAATATTTTTTTGTAATGAAGAGTGTAAATTGAGCAGTGCAGATGTTACCTGTCGCTAGAGCTCTTTTGGATTCGAAGTAGTACCCCACGAAAACTATAGCTGGTAGTTGTATCAACCCCAAGCCGATACCGGCTATGAAATAGGTCGACATCAGTGATATCACATTTGTACAGAAAACTGATAAGCATAGCGCAGCTGTTGTCAACAAGCTACCTGGAAAAACAATTAGTCAAATAAATCCAGTTCACAACTATGTGGACTTAGCACTACATGAAATTGCTAGTGAATTAGGATAGGTGGAGAAGCTGACTATTTCTAGGTGTTCCAGGACCATGTTTTGAATTTTTCTTGAACTTTTTTATATCAAGTCAAATCCTCTTGTGGTAGTTTTCGCTTGCTTTTTATGTTGTCTTGCCTCCTGTATCTACTACTAAATAGAACTTCAGGAACCTTCTGTATTTGATTAACACCCACAATTAGTGGATATACTCTTGCAGTACTCATATATCATAAAAGTTCCTTTGTATGCTTTACAGTCTAAGATCACCTAACATTGCCTCTACTTGAACCACAAATTCACATAAAGAGTTTTAAAAGATTTTTACACCACCAACTCTTCCACCATTAAACCTCTTCATCAACTAGATTGAGATACAAACTCGGTGCTTTACAAATTCATTGGCCCGTATTCAGCGCCTCTGTTTAGCTTTAGAGTTACTCTAAAGTCGCGTCTTTAACTTAACAGATTTACATTGTTGTTGTGGAGTAACTAGGGACTAGAGACGCGACTTTAGAGTCACTCTAAAGTTAAACAGATGCGCTGAATACGAGCCAATGTCTTTTGTATAAACGAGTGCTAAGTATACGTATTGAACAACATCTCACCGATAATGCAAGTGGCTCTGCAACCGTATTTGTTGGTGAGGGCGCTGGCCAGAGGTCCCACCAGCAGGGTAACGCCGGCCAATATGGAGCCCACCCAAGCGATGATGCCGTCGGTGGAGTCGAATTCCTGTTTCAGGTACGAGAGGAATATGCCGAATGAATTTATGACGCCGTCGACCACCATGATGGCGAGGAAGGACGCCGCGACGATGACCCAGCCGTATCCGCCGTCTGGTGCTTCGAATTCGCTCGTCTCCGACGCTTTTTGGGATCTCTTCACATTGCGGTTTTCGTCGGCGATTTTCAGTTTGTCGGATGGGAACTGCAAGAGTTTTTTTGTTGGTAATTTCACAGTGTGTGCGAATGGATGTGTGACGATTTTTGCAAGTAATATTTAAACATTTAATCGTATCCTTTGAGAATATTGCGAAATGTATCTAAAGATTTTTTTCAAGGTTTTTAGAGAAAAGACATAATATTTTTGATGTAATTGATGATAATAAGTTTGGTATGAGTTTTAAATGTTTAAAAAGAAGCTTTAGTAGAGCATTCTCAATTTATTTTGTAATATTTTAAATGATTTTTCTAAGCCCATATGATTCTATGGGATTTTAAGATGTTTTCATAAATTCTTTCAAATATCATTAAATAAAGAGTCTAAAATTTTGTGTATTTATCTAAGGGTAGAAATGTTCTTAAATGGTATAACAGTTATCATTTATTTACAAGCAGATTCACTTGAATGTTGTCTATTATTAGAATGTCGTGATAATGATGCAATAATTAGTGGTAAAAACATAACATATATAGAGAAAAGTGGGTTAACGACTTGCATAATAAATTGGTTCATTGTTGAAAAGCGCTTCGATTAATTAGGTAGGTACTAGATTTTACAAAAAGTTCCTACACTTACCTGATTATTACAACAACGTAAAATTTTTTTGAGATACTGCGAATGAAATATTTTGCAGGATGCTAACTACATTTTTCTCTTATTTTTGGTAAATCACTGATGTACTCTACATTTTGTGTATGTAGAAAACATATTGAAGATTTGATTCATTTAAACAAAAAATTCTAATAATTGATTAATGCAATATTATTTAATTTCTTTACTGTAAAGTGAATATAAATCAATAAATAACGAATCTAGGCACCATTAAAATAAATCATATTTACCTTCAGTGGCTTCGTTTCTAAATTATTTCTATTATCTTCCATTGTAACTATTAATCGATTAAGTCTCAACTAAACTTCAGTCTTCATATTGAACTATTTTGTTCAAACGGCGATAAGTTTGAAAGGAGCTTGTTAACTCATCGTTGTTCTATGATCGTTAAACTTTATATATTTCCTTTTAAGAAACTAATACATACAAACAACGCATTTTTAAAGTGACGATTTGAAATCGAATTATTTGTTAATACGATGTGTTGCGGTAGATAACTCTTAACAGGGGTCAAATGTTGTAATCTCGTTCATTTTGAAATATGACATTAAGCGATGTGTAGGGACGATTATGGATTGTTTTGCACTTTAGAGTTGGTGTTTTTCCTTTGTTTTCAAATGGTGATAATTAATGCTATGCTACTTATTATAGAGGCATATGGTTTGTCCCAGAAATGCACTTGAACTGGTATAAGATACATCATTCTTTAGTACCTATATGAAGAGTCTGTAGTTAAGGTACAATTATCAATGTTATAGTCAATGTTTGAAAACTTATATGCACAACAAGGTTATTATGAAATTCTCACCTTTTTTTTCATTTGCAAACTTCCTCATACAATGTGTTACTTAATATGATTTAATGCGCGGTTTAAATAGTTACATTTGGTATTGACATGTGCAAAAAATGTACTGATTATTAATTTCTTGTGGTCAAAAATCTTATCACAATCAAATGACCTTTAGACCTTTTAAAGTATGTATGTAATTAGATTAAATCGGGTTTTGGTTTTCGGGCATTGTAGTACTAAATATCGGGAAAAATTAATATCGATGCTGATTCAATTATGTCTATTATTTCAAATGAATTGTTAAATGTCTACAGGCATTTGCATGAATTTAAATCGGAAAGAGAATATTCTCCGGCTTTGATTTAGCAAAAAAATACCTACCTGAAATTTTTGAAATGTCAAAAATCTGTTTTTTCATTTCAACTATTTCATATTTTTAAATTTTCCGCCATTTGTTACTAATTTTCCAGGGATATTAGTTTCGTGAAAATTTATGTTGGCTACACACATATATTATTTTAAATCGTAGAGAAATATGATCTAGAAATATTCTCTATGTTTTAAATGCAGTTTAATATTTTAATACGCATTTTGTAATAGTCATAATTTGGTAATTAATATTAAAGTTGAAAAAATTGAAGTAGGTTTATGCCATAGACAAAATAAAAGCCATCTTTCTTTCTCTATGTTTACAAGTTAAAATATAGTTCAAAGTTGGGGATTTTAATTGTGCACTATAGTTTTGTTGGTACTACTTTTGTGACTGAACTAAAATTTAAAATTCCGGTAGCCATTTTAAATTCAAAAAGACTTGCAACCAATTTCCTGTTTGAAGTTAATTAACTATTATTTATAATTACTCGAAAATCATGATCACGACAAAAACGACCGTGATATTTGTAAGTACAATTGAATTTTTCCGTTCACACACTGTTTAATTGAGGATTCTATACATTCCCGACTACTTTACTTGGAGTTTCAAAAATGATTCTTACAAACTCAAATCAATTCCATGTAGAAAAATAAGATTATAAAAGTTTCATGTTCATCAAACAACAAATTCAACAAATAACAAATTATATGGGTACCTACTTAAGTAACAAATTTAATAACAGTGGTTAGAGTGAGACATTTGCAATCCCACAATATCACTCTTTCTTTTTCCTTTATATGAGACTGATAGAAGTTGTCTTTGTTGCACCCATAGCCTTATATTACAAACAATTTTGCATCTACCTGTAATGGTGTAAGGTTTATTCTTTTAACAAACCACTCAATTAATAAATTTTCTTTTTTATTAACGAATTTTCTTTAATATTTCTAGAATCTAAATGGACAGGTTGTCACCAAATCCTGCGAATCCTTTGTACTTTCTAAGAAGTACATTCACATTATTACCGAGGCGGCTATTTTTAATATACTGTGTCAGCGTATGAATGTGGATGAATCCGAGCTCGAATCGAGAGAATATGAAGGAGTGCCCTATTTTGTCATTAACCCTAAGTCAAAAAAACCATACGATCCAAGAATTTCTCAGTTCCTGTCCTGGTTGAAAGGAATTAAAGATGCCATTAATAAAAATTATGTAAGTATGTTTAACCCTTTTGGGTTAAATATTATTGAGGTTTGTTCTTTTCAAAATCACTAAAAGAAAAATGTACAATTATGTATAGGTAATTAATTTATAATGAATTTTTGATGACATATTTCTAGCTGAAAGTAATTTACCTGTTTCTGCTAAATCCTGAAAAAGATATTCTCGAAAGCTACACTCTGAAATTCAAATACAACACCGATCCGAATAACAACACTCCTGATAGAAAAACCCCCGATTATGTTAAAGAGTGCACCAAGACTCTACTGGCAGCTATATCTTTGTTATCCGAACAACGGAAAGTCAATGAAGATTCGAGCATTTCCATCGAACTTCAATACAATAATGGTATTTATTGATACTTGCTTAATTACAACGATTTTAATTTGTAATTTTTAGGAACCCCGGCGGATTACGAGCCCCACAATTTCGGCGCTAGTTCAAACGCATACTGTCGGAGATTCTCTCAAAATACCCATTTATTGGGTATATTAAGCACAGGATATCATAACTTAAAAGCTTTTTGTTCTCAGGTAGCTAATGTACCCACTTTTAAATGGGTATAATGATGTAACATTTTTAAAAATTGCTCTTTATTAGACTAATGTATTGCATATTATTTCTTGTTTCCTTTTAGCGGCCTAAAACACCTGCATTAAGCTTGATGGAAACTGAGGATACATTATCGCATAAGGGTAAACGGAAAATAACTAACAACGGTAAAATTGTATTTAAATCACTTACGAATTTCCTAGTGTATTATTTTTTTAGATGACGAGGAAAGAGCGGAAAAAATTAAAAAACTTGAGCACCATAACTTATTTGATACAAGCGGCATCACCTTATCTGGTACAGGATATTCTAAAAGAATTATTTATAATAGAATATCACACATTTTGCAATTTTTTAGATCAAGAAACAGCTTCTTCATTTTTTCATGTGAATAATGAAGAAAACGAGCATTGCATTTGCGAGATCAAATTTTCTCATGTCGATCTCTTCAAATGTGCCGAGTGCCTGCATTTTTGTCATATACCTTGTTACGGTTTGCTCTACAGAAAGAAGTCTGCAAACATTTTATGCGTAGACTGCGAACTGGCAAATGGGACAATTGCAGCAGAAAATTTAGTCGATATTAAAATAACAGCTTACGTTAGGCAAGAACACTTCAGAAATATCTTTACTTTGATTACCATTCACTGTTAAATTTATATTTTAGATTAGTGCTCTACTTCTACAAGAAAACGGGTAGGGTACCTAAAGAACTAGACGGCATGACAGATGAGGATAAGTATGCTACATTTCGGAAATTGAAACGTTGCAAAATCATTCCAAAAATGTCTAAAAAGGAGATGCATAAATGGTAGGTATTTTAGGATAATCAAAAGGGTATGCCGTTAAAATTACATTGGACTAATTCAAAATTGATTTCGCTTTAGCAAATTTGAAGAAATTAAAGTTAATGAAGACGAAGCAAACGCAACTCTGTCGCTCTTATTTCCAGACAAAGATCCGGATTCGGCTGCACTCTAATTTATTGTATCTGCAAGTATTAACAAAAATTTGTCCAAGATAACAGATTTAAATGGAAAGATATTTTATGTTGTTAGCGTTACTTTCAATTATTTTGTCGTTATAGTATTAATTTGTTTTTTGAAATTATGTTAAGGTTTAAGTGTTGATTCAGTTTTCATTAGAATAATGTATCAGTTATTAAAAAAAGTTTACGAAGTGTTGTATTATGATTAAATGAATTTACAAGGCATGATTTTATTGCGTACTTAACTCAAAAAGTTATGTGGTCTTTTACTGTTTTTATAATAATTGAATCGTTTACTATGGATTTTGAACAAAGACTATATTGCGTACAAATTTGCACTTATGTGTATACAATATAGCTAAAATCTGCTCTAAGACATCCTGAGTTATTAAATAAAAATTTAGCAATATCAAGGATTGATAGTGATATCTTTGCATTTTATTAAATTTTAAATTTACCGCCATTTATGAGAGGTTGTTGAGACTTCAAATACACTACAAATGTAACTTTTATATGATGTATTGTAATAATTCATTAGATCGTGGATATAAATATATAACATAGAAGAATTGAAATAATCTAATAAAAATAATTTACAACTAAGTTAGGAATTTTTGTTGAAGATTTTTGTTATGTTGGTAATACTGTCCCGACTAAACCAGTAGCCATTTTAAATTCAAAAAATATTGTAAATTGCAAGCCTATTCTAAAAACATTTACAAGATAGTTAATTACTTTATTTTGTCTGAAAATCATGACTGCTACACAAAATGCCGTTACTTTTGTAAGTACAATTTAAATATTCCCATGTACAATACTTTTTCATCAACTGTATTATCCAATAAAAAAAGCCGCATTAAAAAATTGCTAATTTTCAATTTGTTTAGGTCCTAAATGGGACAATGGTTAGCAATTCCTGCGAATCCTTTGTACTTTCTAAGAAATACATTCGTATTATGACCGAGGCCGCTATTTTAAATATAATATGCCAGCGGATGAACGTAGACGAGTCGGTGCTTGAGTGTAGAAAATACGAGGGGGTGCCGTATTTTGTTGTTAATAGTAAATCAAGATGGCAGAAGGATCCTAGAATTTCCCAATTCCTATCCTGGTTGAAAGGAATTAAAAATGCCATTAATAAAAATTATGTAAGTACATTTTAGAGGTTTGTTAGAGGGTAATTAATTTATAAATATGAATTTTTGATGACATATTTCTAGCTGAAAGTAATTTACCTGTTTCTGCTAAATCCTGAAAACGATATTCTCGAAAGCTACACTCTGAAATTCAAATACAACACCGATCCGAATAACCACAGTGGCGAGAAAAGAACGCCCGATTATGTTAAAGAGTGCACCAAGACTCTCCTGGCAGCCATATCTTTGTTATCCGAACAACGGAAAGTCAATGAAGATTCGAGCATTTCCATCGAACTTCAATACAATAATGGTTTTAATTGATGCACAATTAATTACAACGATTTTAATTTGAAATTTTTAGGAACCCCGGCGGATTACGAGCCCCACAATTTCGGCGCTAGTTCAAACGCATACTGTCGGAGAATCCCTCAAAATACCCATTTATTGGGTATATTAAGCACAGGATATCATAACTTAAAAGCTTTCAGCTCCCAGGTGCATAATATAAAGATACTGCAAAGTTGTACACAATATCATCTATGGGTACAACAAAGACAGTTTCCAAAATAGTCTTATATAAAGGAAAAAGAAAGAGTGATATTGTGGTATTGCTACTTTTTCGCTCTAACAACTGCTGTCTTCAATAATCTCTCTTTGTTCAACTCGTAGCCCATATACAGGGTGTCCCGCATAAGAATCGATACTAAACCCGTATTTAACTTAATACATATATACAAACTTTTAAATTATTGACGATTTTAAGTAACATTGATAGTGAACATGACTTTGTGATAAACCCTTTAAAATGCGTCAATTGATCTTTCCTAACTATCGATTAATGCTCTTTAGTACACTCATTACTTTTGCTTGTTTTTAGCGTATTACTGAGACATTAAATTTGTAACTTCCCTTTGAAGGCCTATAACTTCTTAGAAATGCAACTTTGTATTAAGTTGGGTTAAACAATATACAATTTTAATAAGCTCCGCTACACGCCTCTGCTCTGTGTCGGTTCTTATGCGGGCCATCCTGTATTTAAATTTGTATAATTTAACACGTTTAATAGTTTTACTAGGTTATTAATGCATACTATTTTGTTTTTATAGCGTCCTAAAACACCCGCATTGAGCGCCAGCGTCGTAGATATGGAAGAATCTTTCTCCCAACGCAAGAGAAAAATTACCGACAACGGTAAAAGTGTAGTTAAAATTATACATGAATTTTTTAAATATTATTTTTTTGCAGATAATGGCGAAACGGGAAAAATCCGAATACTCAATACCGCTTACATTGACAATCCAAGCCGTATTACCATATCTGGTAAGAGATAGACACTGTAGAATTAACCATAATGTAACAATTTTCTTTATTAGATCAAGAATCGTCCAATTCGTTTTTCCGTAAAAATGAAAAATACAATCAGGATAATGTGAATGGTACTTGTGACACGTCAAAATCGAGTGCTAGCGTCGTTGATATTGAGGAATCTTTCTCCAAACGCAAGAGAAAAATTACCGACAACGGTAAAATTATTGTAGTTAAAATATCCATAATTTTTTTAAGTATTATTTTTTGCAGATAATGAAGAAACGGGAAAAATCCGAATACTCGATACCGCTTACATTGTCAATACAAGCCGTATTACCATATCTGGTAAGAGACACGCTGTATAATTAACCGTAATGTAACAATTTTCTTTATTAGATCAAGAATCGCCCGATTCGTTTTTCCGTAAAAGTGAGGAATACAATCAGGAAAATGTGAATTGTATTTGTGGCATTACGTTTTCCAAGATTGATCTATTCAAATGCGTAGAGTGTCAGAAACTCTGTCATGGACCATGTTATGGATTGCTATGCAGCAAAACTCCTGCAAGCCTTTCCTGCATAGACTGCGATCTGGCGAGTGGGGCAGCCAAGGAAGAAAATTTGATTGACAAAAAAATAAACGCTTTCGTTAGGCAAGCAAATATTCAAGATATCTTTCTTTGGGTAGTATAATTTACAGATTGCAATTTTTAGATTAGTACTTTATTCCTACAAGAAGACGGGTAAAGTATTTAAGGAACTGGATGGCATGGCAGAAGAGGACAAACTCGCGACCATTCGGAAATTGAAAGACTGTGTCGTTCAGAAAATGTCCAAAAGAGGCCTGAAAAAATGGTAAGGATAGATTCATCAAGTAAACAAAAAACTACAACAACAAACATACATTTTCTTCCAGTAAATTTGAAGACATTAAGATAAATGAGGCGAAAGCATTTGAAACTATGCCTCTTGTATTTTTAGATGATGAAGCTGATTCGGCTAGATTTTAATTGTTTCAAAGAGTTATTTTGAATTGCTATTTGTGTGTTCTAATTGTTTGCTTTTGAAATAAGTTGAGGGTTATTTTGGTTTAAGTTTCCTTTTAAAGATTAAGTTTAAATGAACGTTTGCTTTGTAAAAAAGCACTTATTGTTTGTATTTAGTGCCATAATTAGTATTAATGGTTGGCTTTTCTAGTTCATACAGCATAAAAATGTTGATCATTTTCTCCAATGTATGTTTAATGAATTCATTTAAAATAAATATTTAAAATTATCCAAATCCAGTGTGTTTCTATTCAGATTGTTCCAATATGCATATAAAAAATATTTACTTACTAGTACATTTGTCTTTTCACTCTTGACTGCAGAATTTACAATTTACTGAGTTTATTTAAAAACGAAAATGTTGTTACATCAAATAGACTTTTCCGTGTACTCGGGCTTTTTGTCGTTTTTCCAAATTCCATTTCCGGTAAAGTGATATTCCTTCTCCATGAAATATAACATTAAATTCAATTTGTTAATTTGACTTAGTGATTTGTAGTTATAATTGCTACTATTCCTTAATTCATCATGGGCCTTCTCCACTTTGTCACTATAAAAAGCAAGATTAGTTTTTCTTTAATTTATTTTTGTTTAAAATGAAGGAATTAAGCTTAATTATACACTTACATAGGGTATAGAAGAATATAAACAATTTTGTAAATACTCTCCTTAGAAAACCTATTCATTAACAAATAATCATAAGTCGTTTGCATATCCTTCAAGGGTACTTGCAAATAATACGGATGACGACTGATTTTCTTTTTCAATTCATGCCTCGTAATAGAAAATAATCTTTCCAGATAATGTAACAGGTCAGACACTTTATTCACGTCTTTTCCTTCTTTCACGTATTCTTCATATTCGTATCTCACGTTAGTTTCTACAAATATTAATACAAACATTTCAATAATACGAAACAAGTTACTTTACGTACTTAAAATCGATAAAGTCGCGCAGCGTAATTGAGATTGTTGTAAAAAATCCAATCTAGTTTTGGCTCTATTATGATGTACAACTAAAGCTAAAAACTTGGGATGTTGAAACAGAATTTTCATGTCAGGACATTTTTCAATTTCTTGCAATCGAAGTTTAACAGTCTCCGGCGACATGTGGAATACATTTGGTTGTTTTCTTATGATTTCATCGGAAATATCAAACTCCTAAAAATGATAATATTACATCGTAAAACTCCATAATTCCATGATCTGAAATTACCTTCAATATTCCATATATCTTAATAATATTTCTAGGAGGCGTCATGATTAATTTGGGATACTGCCACATTGCTTGCCTCATATTCATTCCAGCTAAATCACCGAGGTCTCTGAGCGTAGTTTCCGTGTAACTCGGACAATTGGCTAACAAATATCCGTGTTTAATAATCTTACGAGCCCCGAAACCCAATTCTTCGGCTATTTTGATGTTTTTCTGAATTACTCTAAAGCTTTTATTTCTAACAAATGTGTGTATACGGAGTAGTTTTTCTATTTCTTCTTCGGTGCCGTCTAATCTAAGCACTGAAATTTAAATATTAGTAGCAAAATCTATGGAAAACAGATACTGCTAATTTACTTAAATAATTCTTTAAGACTGCTAAGTGAACATCCTTCCATAAAATTTCGTCTGAGTAATCTGTTTTCATTCTTGTAACAATATTTTTGTCTTCTATGAACGATACAAGATTCTCCGATACATTTAAAGAGTACGGTATTAAATTTATGCCTTTCAATTCCATAATTAGTCTTCTCATAAAAGTCCTTGCCCTAAAAATCAATAGTATCATCTTATACTTCACAGATAACACAATAAAAATGGAAATTTACGAATAATTTTCTCGAAACTATGAAAATCTCTATTAATAATACTTACTTGGCTAAAACATGTGCTGTAATATTACTAAAACCTCCTTCTTCTAAAGCTTTATAATGTTGTTCTAGCTCAGTCGGGTGCACAGATAATAAGCTACGCGAATTTAAAATATCTTTGTTTCGGTAACCGATTGACTGGCATATTCGAATATTTTGGGTTAATAACTCTCCGTCTTTATTAAATAACTTATATTTATCGATATACAATTTCGCTTCTTTGTGAGATATACCTGAATTTATAAGAAAAATTTAGTAAGTATTGTGTAAAATTGAAATAATCATACCTAATAAATCGGTTAAAATTTGGCTGTTTACATTAGTATTGGTATTGTAACATAACGTTTTGTATTGTTTAATGTTTTTAAAACGATTTTCCAGTATAAAATAAAAGCGTAACATCTATAAAAAATTAAAACAATCATGTATAAATAAATAATTGTCAAATTGAACTTTTCAAGTTTTGAATGTTATATCTTAGGTTATGTTTATTTTAATTATTTTATTTTTCTTCTTTCATGTAGAAAATTTTTCCCTTTAATGTAGGCAATAACTTTTACTTGTATGTAAAATGAGTTGCTGGGATCGAATGTGATAGAAGAGTATTTTTTATTTTCGAGGGTTGGTATGATTTGTTTTTCATGGTAACCCTGAGAAACGACCAATCAAAACAAATATCTCAAAAATTTTGAAGACAGGTCGTTGAAAAACCGTTTATGCCGTTACCGTTTATCAAGTATCTGTTTTCTGAACCGGTGTAAGTGTCTTATTATCAAAAACTGAACGAATTTTAATGTGTTCATATTGTTAACAATTAACATCCTCAAGAATAATGGATACAAGTGGTCCCACCACCGAAACTGATTTTTCAATTAGTTTAATGGATAAGTAAGTTTTGCACGATTCTTTGTTATTACAGTGCTTTTATTGATCCTAAGTTTCCATTTAAGATATTTCGAGATATTTTCTACGATTTACACGTTTAGTGATTTACGTATGTACTCCACAACTCTGTTTTCAGTAATGTTTGAATGACCTTTGTGGATTTAGTGCTTTTGATACTGTCTATTAAGATCAATTAAACGATCTACCTTTAAAGACTATGAACAACATTTATTCCTTGATAGTACATTTGAAGCAGTATGTTCCTCGACAAGTCCTAACCATCTTTTCATTTATGCTGTACTATAATAATCTTTTCGTAGAGTACTTTTGTACGGTATGCTGTTCTTATTTAAATCTCATATCATATTTATTTTTTGAAAGAAGTATTTTTTTAATTTGAACTCAACTGAAAAGAGTCTTCCAACAAGATGGAGCACCTCCTCACTATGCTGTTGCAGTTACATGCATTAATCGGATACTATAATATACTTATCCTAACAAATGGATTGGAAGGAGATGTTCTATTGAATGGTCACCAAGATCACCAGACTTAACGACACCTGATTTTTTTCTATGAGGTTACCTAGTTAGGTTTTGAGGCAAAATTTCTCAATTTGGTGGTTGGAAGTGCAGCAAATCTTCGTCTTGAGCTCGATTGCATTAGTCGCCCCGGTTCTCTAATTCATGCACAATTAATGGTTTGATGGTGTTTTCAAACTTCATAAAATTTGGCCTTTAAGGCAAGGTTTCACAATTATTTATTCACCCTGTACAATTTATTATTTATACCATTGGATAGCATTTTTAAAGGTTTACAATGATGTATCACAAATTGGGGGTCGCTATTTAAATTTCTATTTTTGGGGTACGTGGGGTGTAGGGGGTTGATAGGAGTGAATTCTAGTTCTAGTCATTTTAGTTCCCCCTAGAAACGGTTTTAGGCATTTTTGATATCATCTTTTGTTTGGGAAATATAGTAATTGTATGTTTTTAAATTGTCATACTGTATTTTGGTACAATGAATGAAATAAATTCGAGTAATACAGACATAATTTATTTCTAGTCGTTCTATACCTCTTCATATATTTTGAATGGGGAGGTAGATGCCTTATTTACCTATACCTGTATGTTATGATAAACAGTCTTATCACAAACAATTACAGTTCTAGGTAAACTGGAGGATTAGCTTTTCCTACAACTGTTTGCATATTTATTGCTTTGTATAAATGCTTTAAATTTCTTCAAAAAGTTTCGAACAAAATTTGAATATGCCTCAAAAAGCTAGAAGCTAAAATTTCCCATAAAAAGAAAAATCATTCAAAAACTAATATCTTGTCAAAGAACAATACAACTCGAATTAAATTCAAGTTGCCTAGCTTATCCTACCACCCCTAAAAATAAACACAACAACCCTTTTTATTTTAAAAAACCACACGCTCATTTATCACGTTTATATCTCATTTATAACTTGTTACAAGCCGTCGATTGACGCAGGCATCCTTTTGTTGTAAAAACTTCCTCCTACGCCTCCACCTGGCTCTAAAAGATCGATACCATCCCTCAAATCAAACGTAGCAAATGAAACTCGGCCTATTCGCGACCGACGTTCCTTCGCTCTCTCCCTATCCCATCGCCGGGATTCGAACGAGACGAGCGTATCGAACGGCGCGCGCTCTCGCTTGGTCCACGAGGCTGTTTATTTCGAAACCCAGGAGTTGGCTTGGACTCAAGATTTCGATTTCGGCTCTCAGTCTGGAGAGCGGTTTGCGGTGCACGGTCGAACGTCGTCATTTATTCTCCGCTTTCGTCCCGATGCATTTTTTCATATCGCCACTTTGATGTTTATTTTCTATCTATTCGTAAATAATGGACCGAGTGCGTGACGTATTCGTTCGATGAGAGTTTGAATATATCTGCGTTTTGTTGGTTTGGTTTGCGCGATGTCGTTTTTTAATTTCGGGGATATTTTGAGTACCCCGAAGAGGCCTTTCGGCGCCCGAAGCCCTCCTATTATACCATTTTAGTAAGTCGATTTTGTTATTTACTCGTGTAATAAATTGCGTGGAGTATTTTTCGATTTCTTTAGGTTCCAACATTTTTTCTAAGTGCATAGTTACTCGTGTTAAATGATCCTTTTCAGCAATGAGATAATAAATTGTATGGATGATAAAGTGAGCGTCAGATGTTGGTCCGTCTGATGTTTCATTGGTTCTATTATTTCTCTTAATAAATAGACATTGCAGGATGAATTAATTAATTGTATTTAGGAAGTTGTGTGGTATCTCATATTTATTTGAATTGGAGGAAAACTCGTAATTTTGTGGACTATCATGCTGGGTTGCATTATGTTGTAATCTAAACATTTTCTATTCGAATTTAGGTTTATTTGTAAATTCTAATGTATAGGCGCCAAACTGTTATTTTCCACATCATGAATAAATAATAAATTGCTAGAACAGTTGATCCACAAACTACAAACTTTAATGACATTTGACAAACTTTTAAACAAACAAAACAACTTTCAAATGTTTTGGTATTTTGAGTTAATTTCAAAAGGGCCATTAAATATTTTATCATAAAATATATTTATAATGAAAAATTGAATATTTCTTAGTTATCTCCACTCTAGCCGATTCAACAGTTGAAGCTTCTTTTAACGAAACTAAAATTAGATGTTCACATGTTCAACGGTAGATCTTATTTTAATTTAAAGTAGTTTGCTTTTTTTTTCCTTTATTTTATTCTTCAGCTTCCTGCCGGTGCGTGACGAGCCCCTTTGAGGGGACATTTCCTAATTCATTGAGTAAAAATACATCCTCTTGTTCCTCTTTGTAAGAGGATCTTTACGAGTTGTTTACGTCGATTTAGAAAAATATTATTATACAGGGCACTCCGAAATTAGCTGATAGATGATTTTGTCATTATTATCGAGACACCCTGCATTGATGATAAATATTTACTCTGATAAAGATAGTCGTTTCCTGTTATTTCTGAAGAGTATTTAAAAAGTCTTGATTGCATTATTTGATATTCGATTTTATCAATATTCTCTATTTCGTCATACCTATTATAAAATTTATTGAGATTGACTGAGATTTATTGAGACCTGAGATTTATTGAGTTTTTTGACTGTGCCTAGGACACTATAGATTCCAACAGTTTGATTTTAATTTAGAGTTAATGAACCCTCATTGTTATTTATCTTAAAGTGTTCCACGGTTATTGGTCGAAATATACAAATTTGTACTTTGTTTTTATGCCTTCAATGATAACTGATTGACATAACGTAAGCAGTCAAGCGAATTGATAAAAAACATTCCATTCGTACTATAATTGGATCAACTTTTAATACCTATATAATTTAGAAAAATCCATCTTTGCGCAATTTAATTAGCGGGTGAAACAATCGTTTTGCTACGCCCTCTCGCCCGGTTGACTTATCGCTAAACAAAGCCAATAAAATTAGTGCGATCCCTAAACGATCTATTGTAGTTTGTAATTGCTCGAAACGGAAATGATATCATTATCCAATCAAAATTGTAATTATTTGTTCTTTGATACGGCGAAATTGCTCTGACTTTCTTACTAGAAAGACAAACATGAACGCTTCACAAGATTGATAAATGAAATGTAAAATGATATACTGTAAATGTATAGTTTACCTTAATTTTGATTACGAATCGTTTTCTTGGAATATTTCAAGGGTTAATATGGAGATATTTAAGTATTATTACATACAGGTGTGTCATGCATTATGCTGCACAATCATGTAAAATTGTACAACATTAATATGTTAATATTGTATTTATGTTAGTAGCAAATTTGGCCTTGTTTCATTAAGAAAGGGATTCTTTTTTTAAGCTTTTTGAGTTTTTGCCAAACATATGATGAATGTTATTTATTATTTTTGTTTCAGTCCGAGCCAAATCCAAGAAGTAACTTTAGATCAAGATGGATCACTTATAAGTAAGTAAAACTTTGTAGAAATAAACACCGCATTTTCCCTACTTTTCCTATCCTCCCCGTATTTTCTCACATTACTTATTATAGAAAAAAAACCCTAAGCTGGATCGTTATTTTTAAAATAACACATGTTTACGGTAAATAAACGTCGCCTTTGATTGATTTACCTACACCGTTGAACTGTTTGTTTTTTCAATGACAAATACTTGCAAACAATTCCAGCATAAATTATAACCTACACTTTCGGTGATATTTAATTTGAGGTGTCGAAACTCTTCACCCGTCTTAATTGGTAGTTATTAAGGCTTATCTCGAACGAGTTAATAGAGATGATTCGTGTAATGCGAGAATCGTTTTGAATATGCATTTGACCACTGAAAGCGTCCGTGATAATTTCATCGAAACGACCTATAATTAATTAACGGGGTCAGTGCATTCCACGTTACCTTATAGCGTAAACAAAGCAGGATAAAATAAACTGAGAAATACAAATAAATGTTTAAATTTATGCATTTCTTGCGCCCCTTTATTGGTCGCGACGTATCGAATTGAGCAACGATGGAGTGGTTTATAGAACGATTTTTTTTTGAAAGAATGCCTAAAAATTGTGCGTATTTTTGTCTCGAAGAATATTCTCTGGCACGTAAAACGTCTTGGCTGATTTCCACGAATCCCGCTTGCACATGCCTATTTTATAGGTTAATTATTTAAACATTTGCCGCAGTAATTAAAAAATTCGTAAATGCGCGTTGCGTTCAATATCAACAAGTCTAATCATTTTTATTTAAAGATCCAGGACGTGCTGAATCCCGTACCCGTATTTTTGCGCGTATTTTTCTTATAATTTTTTATGCCTAACTCGTAGTCTAGTTCAATCTTTACCATGGTCGACCCAGAAATGGAACAGAAAGGTCGGCGGTGTTATGTAATTGTATGTATATTACTACTGTGTAAAAATATTGATCAAAATAGGAGGCTGTTAGTTGCCCACACGTAAAAAAATGCACAACGAACGACTCGATTTACACATTACATCATTTATTTATTGTTATTTAGGAAATTGTATAAGTTTACTTTTATTTGTCCAGTGAAATCTGCTTATACACATGTAATGTGTGGGCTCTTTAGAAACTCTTTAGAAACTATTTTATAAAAGACTGTCAAAAACTTTGGTATCTTTCACTGGTAAAATTTTCGAAGTGTAAATCACTTAAGTTTCTTATTACGTTTCCTACGAATCTTATTCACATTTCAGTTAACTATTGCCCATATTAATCGATAGTGCTAAATTTAAGTAGCATGAAAAAATTGGCTTCTCAATTGACAATCATCAGTTCGTGCTATGATGACCTTTAGCCCACTTTAAATCTTTAAACAATTGATATATTCGCGAGTTACGTTACATTTGATATACATTTTATATCCTACTATAATTTTCTCTGTAAAAAAACCTTGAAAGTTTGCGGAGTAAAGCCTAAAAATAAGTTAATTATTTAAACGTATGTACGCCGAATTCAAATATTTGCTCGCCGCTGTTTATGAACTAGATCAGGGTTGTGGCGAAGCAAAATGTGATTGAAAACTTCAAAAAAATATCTATTGACAGACTTTATTTTCGAAGTAACTTCATTTAAATCAAAAATTACATGTGATACTTGTATATGTGTCTTCCTCATTTAAATTCCGCGTACGCATTCCATTACAATTAATCCCAAACAGTAACTCAGCAGCTATAACTCAGGTATATGTTTTGTATACAATTTTAAGTGCAGTGATCAGATTAATTTATAAAACACGAGTTTAATTAATACTTAAGATAGTATCTAAAGTCTAAAGCGTTTCTTTTTAAAAACGCTTTATTTTTAGATGTATTAAATAGTCATTTAAAATAGTTTTGGTTTCCCTTTAGGTTGCATATCTTTATTAAGGAAGCATCTGTTTGGGGTTCACTTAAATTATTTTAAGTTTTCCTCTAACCTAATATAATATCAGGAAAAAATCAGTAGAATAATAATAAACTTCACAGTTTGCGCATATACGATTTTAATGATATTAAAAACAAGAATTGCCACTTTCAAACACAATATACCCACGGTTATTTTACACTCGTGATGTTTTAATTCACCCAATATTTTGTTGGTTGTAGTTTTATTTCTGTAAACGTGTAAGAATCATTTTTAAACAAATTCACTGAACTTTTGTGATGAATTGATCGAGTTTTGCATATCATGGATTTAAAAAAGGACGATGAAAAACGCCCAATTTCTGCGACCCATTCCGTTAACAGTGTTACCAGTTTGCCCAGCGAAGAATTGGACGTTGATGGCGTTAACGGCAGTAAGATTATTTTATTCCCTATTTCCTATTTCCTCAAAAATCATCTTACTTACTCATCAATATTTTTTGTTTCAAAATGAATACAGAAGTCATGTAATGGTTTGCTTTATACAATGTTTTGAACGGTTCTGTATTTTTGTTGGGACAATTCTAATATACAGGTCGTGCCGATTGAACTTAATGGGAACTAATTGTGTATTTTTTTTCAGATAGTACAGGTTTGCGATCGCCTGGCGGGCCGATGCGCGGTAGGTCTGTGAAGGAATTCGAGGAGCAACTTACCAGTCTAAAAAAAGAAAATTTCGAACTGAAACTCAGGATATACTTTTTGGAAGAAAAAATGGGAACGGATTTTTCTCTGGATAAGGACAATATAACGAAAAAGTACATCGAATTACAGGTGGGTGTCGGTTTATGATTATTAAAAGACGATGTGTTGAATTTTTATATGCTTTAAGGTGGATTTCGCGAATTTGAGGAAAGACATGGAAGAGAAGCAAGAGCTGCTTTGTCAAGCAGTCAAGGCTATGGAATTGGAAGATAAAGAGCATAAAAAGTACGTTTTGGAAAAGGAGGAGCAGCTAAATTCGTATCAACAAGAAATCGAAGACCTGAGGGTTCAACTAAATGTATGTTATTGTATTAAAACGTAGATTAAATTAATAAAAAAATGTCGATTTTGTAGGATGTGAGATTCGATACTGAAGCAACCTCTGCGAAATCAGAAACTGGATTTTTCAGCAGCAAATCATACGGATTGCCCGCTAATGATATGCTAGAAAAAATCAAGATGTTGGAAAATGAGGTATTCACTTATTTTTTGCAATATAAATTAATCATTAGTATAGAAAAATTGTGGCCATTGTGGTTTGTTCATGACCAAACAAGAAATATCAATAACTGTAAATGATCTACGGAATTTTTATAATAATCTTTTTGTAGGTCTAAAGACTTGTCATCTGCAAACTCATTTTTACATTAACCTACATAAGTTAGATGTCTCTACTATCTCACATATGTCACACATTCCATTGAAAATTGAAGTTATTTTTAACAAATCTGTTAATTTTTAGTTGCATTTGGAAAAACAGAACAACGCTTCGTACCAACTGATGTTCCAAGCGAAGGAAGAGGCCAATAAGATGTTGCGCCAAGACATCGAATCCAGCAACAACAAAAACACACGTCAAAAAAAAAAAAAAAAAAAAAAAAAAAAAAAAAACAAAAAAAAAACAAAAAAAAACAAAAAAAAAAAAAAAAAAAAAAAAAAAAAAAAAAAAAAAAAAAAAAAAAAAAAAAAAAAAAAAAAAAAAAAAAAAAAAAAAAAAAAAAAAAAAAAAAAAAAAAAAAAAAAAAAAAAAAAAAAAAAAAAAAAAAAAAAAAAAAAAAAAAAAAAAAAACAAAAAAAAAAAAAAAAAAAAAAAAAAAAAAAAAAAAATCAAAAAAAAAAAAAATGTTGAAAGTTCCTTTAAATGCCTTGTTTAGCGCTAATCAATCGTTTATTTAAAGAGTCTTTATAAGTCAAGTTAAAGAGACTCTTTAAACGATTGATTAACGATAAAAAGAAGCTCTGAACTCGGGCCATTGTAGCTATAGAAATCTGACCAATCTCTAGTTGAGTTTTAACGGAAGCATTTAAATAAATATTTCAATATTTTAGGTCGAACTCGAGCGTGAGTACAAAAAGTCCGAGCGCGTGAAATCGGCCGGCCACAGTCGCGCGAGCGAGCTGGAAGCGGAAAACGAAAAACTGCGCCATCTGCTCCGCGAATACCAAGACAAACTGGAAACGTCGTTGACGGAAATTCGGAAAAATCAAAACTTAGCGGTGTCGACCTGTCCGCCAGCGCACAACCACTGTTCACCTACTGACGAACCTTGTATTTCAGTTCAGAACGCAGCAACACCTGCAGGAGCTGCGCAAAAGGACGCATTACATGTACAGATAGTGTCGTCGTCGAGCGCCGGCTTGGACAATTCACCCTCGTCCGCGTCTATCAGTTCATTTCTCTCATCGCCTAAAAAATACGATAACGTTGATTTAGAGTACCTGCTGGCGGCTGCCAGGCATGACGAAATTCGCAGTGTTTTTGACTCGCTTAAAAACGTATGTACATACCGGGTGTTGATTGATTGAGTGCCGATACTTCAGGATGTGAATATTTAATATTTGGATCATTTTAAGAAGAAAAGTTTATATCAATATATGTCCTAAATCTCTTAGTTTTCGAGCTACAAGGTGTTACAGTTTTAGAAAAAAAAAAACTTTTCTATCATAATTTTCTGATTACTACAGATATTTTTATGAAATTTTGTACACTTTTTAATTATTAAGAAGCATTTTTGGTGGCATGATTTTATAAAAATTTTACCATTCTTACCTTCTAAATATTCACATGCTGAAGTATCGGCACCCAATTAACACCCTGTACAACTCAACTACGAAATTCGTTGCAATTATTAATCGAAACGATTTTATTTTTAGGATTACAATAACCTAAAACAAAAGGCGGCTAAATTAAAAGGTGAACAAATGAAGGTATGTGACATGCTAGCAACAATGGTGTCGTCGAAGAAGAAAGTCGACGAGGAAATACAGCAATATCAATTGAAAATCAAAAATTTGGAGAAGGAATTGGAGTCTGTTGTGTCTAAACCGACCAGTGACGGTGACGGGGACAATTCTCTGCTTCAATCTCAAGATGTAAGATTTTTTCTTCTATTTTTGTCTAGGTCTATGTAGTGTGAGATATAGGGTGGCCCATTACTCTATAGGGATACTTTAAAAACGTTGATGTAAACCAAAGTTCAACTCCTAAGGGTGTGATAATTATTAGTTGATGTTTTTATGGGTTTTCTCAAAAAGTTTTGTCGTTCTTTTGAAATTCGACATTTTTCAAGTAGACGAATAATTTGAGTAAAAGATTTTAAAAATAAACAGATACATTAGGCCGTATTTATAAAAAGAAGCATAATTTTTGCTTTCAAAAAACGAAGGAATTGCTTCGAGGTATATGTATAAAAAGAAGTGAAGAAAAAGAGAGGTTTTGTTTCTAGGACTCTGCTGTCGCTTTAAAGAAAAAAAATATGTTTTTCGTATCTATAAAAAGAAGCATTTGCTTAAAAAACAAAAGGATTTGTTACTAAAAATGGAATCTAAGTTCATATCAACTAGTCACAATCTTTTCAGTAGTTACTCAGCCATCACACAGCTTATAACGTAAAAGAATCATCTAGGACTGCCTAGAATAATTTAGAACTGTCTAGATCAATCTAGAACGCACCAGAATCTTTTAGAACTGTTTAGAATCATTTAGAACGCTTCTGCAGAGTCATCTAGAACTGTATTGAATCATTTAGAACTGTTAGAAAAATTTAGACTCGTTTCGACTAGTTTGACGAAATCGCTAATCTCTTTACTTTTTACTTTTACTTTATTTATCCGAAGCGTTTCCTTGCAAGGAAAAGGCGGAACCTTTTCTTCTTACCTTTTACTTCAGTAATTGCTTCAATTTTATAAATATGAACTAATCTAAAGTATACAAGGACCTTAAAGTTTTTATTACAGTATGGGACAGTACACATTTTTTAAAATACATCCTACTTTTCATTACAAGTTATGCCAAACCAAACACATCTACTGGGCATTGTTTGTTTCATGAAAATAATTTTAAAAAACCACAATCTTTATTTTTAATAGTAACGAAATACTATCAATATAGCTCTCGACCTATAGGGTGCGCAATACTGAATTTTCTATAGAAAATTCTTAGAGATAGTCGTGAGTAAAAGATAGCAGGAAGTTGTTTGAAAATAGTAAGAGAATCGATATTTATTTTTACTTGTTTGACCCGTTTTTGAAATATTTTGTTTGATTGAAAAACCGAATTCCGGGCGACAATATCATTCAGAAACGCGGAAAAGAGACGGGAGAGATCGAACGCTAAAAATTTCCAAGAATACATTCTGTGGATAAAATTAGAATTTTACTAGTTCATACACGAAGCGCTCGTGGTTTTGTTCGTACTATTTCTCGACTCGGTGGCGAATGCTACAGTAGTATTTTGAAAAAAATAAATAAAAACTTGAATTTTAAATGAAGATTTTGTAAATAGTGCGTTTTATAGAAATGGAGGTAAATAGATTAATTTGTGTTTATTTTTTGTAGTGTCAAATTTTCTTTATTTTAATGAATTCATTCACTCATAAAATGTTTGCCGTATATTTATAGTATTCCTTTAATATTCCAAAGTTCAATAAACCGATGAAAACAATGACAATTGAATAAAATTTATTGATCACTAGTGAAGATTAATGGGTTTATTTTAAGATGTAAAGTTTATAAAACATTTTTTATGTAAATACAGTTGAATGTATTAATATTGAATGCATAGACTTCCAAATATATTTACATATGTATGTTTACATTATATGTTGTGATTTATATTATTCAAATTTTGTTTCAGAAATCTACCGATGAATCGGTTGTAAATGAAGAACAAAAGTCGTTGGAATCCGATAATGAAATAATCGAAGAATTGAAAACTCAAATAAAAGTTAGTATTTTTTTAATTTCTCATTATTCCGAATTCTTCAAAATTCGAATCAATAAAATTGCATGTGTTTTTTCAGATATTAAAAGAAATTCAGAAGGAAAAGGACCGGCAATCCCAAATAATTAAAGAGCAACACAGCCAGCTTCTAACGGTCGTCCAAGAAAAGGAAAACAAAATTGCACAGCTAGAAAACGAACTAACGGAAAAGGACGAAATCGCTTCGGAAAAACTATGCAATTTCTACAAAAACGAAATAGAAGACAAACAGAAGGAAATCGATCGCTTGGCCGGCCACTTGAAAAAATGCTCGTGCTACCTCCAAGAAATCGTCAACAAAGAACTCTGGGAGAAGAACAAAGAGATCGAGAAATTGCACAGCCGCCAGGTGAATTCCCCGGAAATCGTGAAACTGAGAAAAAAGGAGCAACAGTTGAAAGTACTGGTCGAAAAAATCTCCGAACTCGGCTTGGACACGAAACTGAAGCAAGAGCTCGACATCAACGACCTCCCTTCGTACCACAAAAACCTCCACGACGAGCAAAACACTACGCACAACAAACAACTCGAATTAATCGAGCAACTCAACGCCCAAGTGAAGGTGCTCGAAAACGAACTCGACAAATCCGAGAAGCTCCGGCACGAGTCCAACGAAGTGTGCAACTTGTTGAACATCAGACTGGAAGAGCTGGCCGTTTTCCTCGACTCGCTACTCAAAAACAAATCCGTCCTCGGTTTCCTCGGCACGCAGAAGGAACGAAAACTCCGAGAAATCGTCAACACGAGCCTAGACCTGTCCAAATCCTTCAACATGAGCCTTCTTCTAAACGCCGACAACAGCCTCACCCATTTATCCAATCTCAGCTCGATTCTGAAATGCTCCAACGCGAACGAAGAGGAGCCCGACGGAAGCTACGAAACCCTCAGCATCATTCCCGACAACGTGACTCTGACCTACCAGAACCACTTGCACAAGAAGCGCAGATCCCAGCTGAGCAACGACGACGTGGTGGCCGTATTGAGGAACCAAATCGTTAATCTAAAATCCGAGTTACAGCTGAGAGACATCGAACTCAACCGACTGAACGCCAACAGCAAACTATCCGAAACCGATGACCTCGCGTGCAAGAATCTCAACCAAGAAGCTTGCAAAGTGGTAACGTCCCAGAAGCACCATTTGGCGAACTACCTAAGCGAGTGCGCTTCGGAGTCCGAGGGCTGGTCGGAGCCGGATCGAGCTGTGTCCAGGGCCCGCATGGGCATCAACGAGAGCCTGAATCTCAGCCCCAACGCCAAGAGCGTGCGATTCAGCGAGTCCACCGACGACGACTCTCTATCGGTGTCCGCGTTGTGCAAGAAGCGCTTGGAGGCCGACGAAAGCGACGCCAAACTCGAGCTGGTCAAGCGAACGGAGCAATTGGAGGATCTGAAGAAGCAGTTGGTTAATTCCGTGACCAAGGAGGAGCACCAGGACGTGATCGAACGAAAGGAGAAGGAGATGAAGACCCTCGAAAACAACCTGAAGAAGAACCTGCAAGATTTGGTCGATAAGCTGGAAGAAGCGCGACGGAACATCAACGATTTGGAGCACTCCAATTCCGAAAAACTGAAGAGCTTGAAGGAAAACTACGAGACTCAGATCAGGAACCTCGAAAACCATTACGTCGATAACTACTGTAAGAAATCCGATGTGGAAAACAAACTCGAGGGTTTGAATGGGATAATAGAGGAATTGACGAAGAAGATAAAGTGCTACGATGACATACTGGAAGCCAGCAGAAATAAAGAGCGAGAATATGACAACAAAATCGTGGAGTACCAACAGATGGTCAGCAACCTGAAGAAAGAGTTGGACAAATCGAACATGGAGTATTCGGATGCTGTATTGCAAATGAACCGGCTGGCCAACATAAAGACCAACTTGGAGCAGGATTTGAAAAGGTTAGTTCTCAGTCTTTCCTTCTACGAACAGTAAAAATTGATCACCTAAATCATCAAAAATTTGCTCATTGTAATAAACCGTGATTCAAGGTGCGTGGATAAGGAGCGGGAATTGAAACAACAAATGGAGGAAATTCGAACAGACGTTTGCAACCTGAACGCCGACTACCAGCAGAAAATATCGTCGTTGCACAAACAAAACTCCGAGCTTCGGGTGAAAATCAGCTCATTGGAATCGAACAACGCCGAGCTGCATAACCGGTTCGTTAGAGGCAACGAGGCCAAACAGCATTTGTCCGCCACGATGCCTAATGTTAAAAACGACATTCACTTTCAAGATTTTAGCGGGTAAGTCTGTCGAACGAAGTTTGTGAGAATTGTGTTGATTTATTATGTTTGTAGCTTCAACGGTTCGAGGAATAGGGAGCGAGTGGAGACCGAGAGACAGGAGGCGAACGCTTCTCCTGATTTAGGGATCGAAAGCGACCAAGGAAGGATGTCCAGTTTGGAAATGCTCGGTCACGTAACCACCAGGCCTCTGCTTCAAACGCTCGAGTTGACTGAATCGATGAACAACATGCTCGAAGAGAACAAACCCATGCAAAATGTTCCATGTTGTAAGTTTTTAAAACTCTATGTTACTGCGTATCGTGTTATACATTCGTTATTTTTGAGAAAACTGTTTGAAATGTGTTTGTTACAGGCCAAGTTTGCAGCCAGAAGCTAATAGAGATGGAGAAGGACAATACGGATTTGAAGAAGAAGCTGTTGAGAATGAGGCGAGCGCTTGAGGAGAGCGCCAACCAGTTGAGTTTGGCGAATCAGCGGAAGAAGGAGGTGGAAAAGACGATTTGCAAGCAGATACACAAGACGAGCCAAGTGCTGCGCAAGGCAAAGGCCAATCTGGATTCCGGATCGGAGAATGATGTTTTAAAAATGTAACGGTGCGACCGAAAGCGAAAATCGCGTGTAAAGTTGATTAAAGTTTAAGACTTAAAATAAAATTTTAGTAATAGTTTTGTACATAATTGTTTACTTCGAAAGTGAAGCTGTTTTTAAGAGTTTTTAACGTTTGTCCGATTTTTGTCCACTATTGTACGTGCCAATGTTTGTAAATGGACTCGGAAAATATTTAAGGTGTTAAGTTAATGTAAAGATTTAGGCAAGCGATTATGGTTATTATTGAAATCCGCAGTATTTTGTGATATATTTAATGTATATTTTTGAAACTCGTACCTACTTTTTAACTTTAAAATATTCAATTAAAATTTTCGATTTTTATAATCATTTGTTTTTATTATCCTTTTTTCTTCATGAATCCGTAATAACATTAGTTTATTACATTAGAAATGGTGAGCATTAAATTTTTGTTTTATGCTTTTGAGACTGATTTCGCGGTATACAAAGCTCCAGACTCATTTAGAACTATTTAGATTAATTAAAACTGTCTAGAACCATTTTTAACGCTCCAGAAACATTTAGAACGCTCCACAAACGTTTAGAATTGTCTGGTACCATTAAGAACTATTTAGAACCATTTGGTACGCTCCTGAACCGTTTAGAATGCTTAAGGACCATTTGGAACAATCCAGAACCATTTAGACCTGTCTAGAACCGTTAAGAATCTTTTAGGTCTGCCTCTAGATCCATTTGAAACTATCCATAACCATTTAGAACTGTAATTTAGAATCATTTAGAACCTTTCAAAACCATTTAGAACGCTCCAGAACAAATTGGAACATACTCAGAATAAGCACGCCAAATTCTATTAAAAAAGTTGATTTTATGTTATGCCCTAAAATTTGCAAACTAATGTAAATCAAATTTCGTATAATGTAATATTTATTTACAAGTTTACACAAAGATTAGTCTATCGCAAACATTTTCTTTAGAAGGCACTCAAATTAGCAATATAATAATCATACAACAAACTACTGGTAGGAGATCACATCGAAATTATCGTTATAGCTATTTACATTGTTAATGTTAGGAACGCAGGCGTTGACTTTGAAGTCTATGTCGCCGAAGACGTGGTCGTTGTTCGTTTTGTTGTCGTAAACGTTCATGAAACCGTGATATTCGTTGTATTGCACCAGGTCGACGTATTCGTCTTGGAAGTTCTGCTTCGAGTACGCCTTGGCGTGCGCCGAATCGAACTTGTGATCGTTTTTCGCGTCGATCAAATCGAAGTTAATCGGAAAACACTCGGCCGCACTCTGCGCGGAATAGTAGGAGTTCTTGTGCAGGGCGAACAGCGGCTCCGCGGGCTTCGCCTCCAAGTACAAATGGTGGTTCATCGGCGCCTCGCCGGCGACGCCCATCAATTGACTTCCGTCCGGGCTCTGGTTCACGTTGAATCTGCTGTTGCTGCTGTTGTTGCTGTCGTCGTTCAGCATGCTGTGCAAGGCGGGGTGCCAGTAGTCCTCGTTCTTGAACTCCTTGTGGATGGTGCCGCTGCCCAGGTCGAGCAGCGTCGGCGGGCTCCTCGCCAGCTCCGTCTGGCCGGCCGCCACGAAGTCCGGCTTGACGGGCTGGTCGATCTGGAAGATCTCCTCCGGCTGGAAGATGTCCGTCGGTATGTTGTTGAAGTCGTACTGGTGGTTGAGGAGCGCCGCTTCCGGGGGATTCTCGTAGGTCTGCTGCATCGACGGCTCCTGCGTCCAGTACGGCTCGGCGCCGTGCGACTGCTGGTACGCGTTCAACGGCGATGCGAACTGGTTCAGCGGCGTCAGCATCGATTGCTGATAGCGGCAGATGCATTCGAAGGGTGGACAAGAACAGTAACCTGCAAAGATGGTGTTGTTGTAGAGATAAACGTTCATACGCGCGGTGTCGGTAATTCTACAGGGTAGCCCTAATTGGACACTCATGATCATTTTAACTGAGTTAGAAAGGATTGGGATTTTTGCTGAAATTTGTATGAAAAACTTGTAACAAATCCATGAAATTTAGCTTTGTTTTTTTATGAAACATGTTGCGAAAGCTTTCTATATTTAACAATTATGAAATGAATATGAAATTGACAAAATTTGAGTACAGCGAACTTGAGATTCATGAAGCAGGTCCCGAATATCCCAGTTAAAATAGATTTATACTGCGTCCCCTTTGAACGCCCCTTATTATAGCAGCTCGAGGGTCTAGCATGAAATGTAGACCCCTGATCTTTTATCCCCTAATGCTTAAGATTCCTTCATAATCCTTCAAAACTCCATAAGAAAATGATATATGCAGACTTCACGTTTTCAGACTAGTTGAGCCCCTTCAGTGATCATCTAATTCACTCAAAGTTTCCAAATTTATCGATCTACTAATACTAGTGTAACACCTTCAATAAGTAAGGAGAAGAAGGCTCAAATTAGCTAAAATATTGAAGATATTGGAAGAAATTTACCTTTATCTAATTCGTTGCTGGTCAATGATTGGTTAACACTTCTGTGATTGGTGATTTCCCTGCATTGCCGTTTCGGATCATGAAATGACATTAACTGTAAATGAAAATATTTATACGTTAATATTAATCCAATCTTATGAATTTTTCATTCCTATATATCTAGTTACATACTCTATTTTATCCACGACCTCATTTATTCTCAATTAAAAGATCTCAACGAATCAAAAACACAGCGAAACAAGCGGATATTGCTTCTAAAAAATATACTCGAGGCATTTTTAATAGCATCGTCGAAATTCTGGCGTCGCATTGCGCGCCGCACCCTGTATATATTTTCTATAATTACCTTCGATCTGGCCATCGCGTAAGAAACTTGCATTGTATGCAATCATTATTTTATGCGAGTTGCTCTCAACGTTTGATAAGCTGGTTCTTCTCATCAGCTGTATCTTTCGATCGACTACCGCTGATAAACTTGTAGCGTTGCACCTTGATTGGAATAGGTGGAAATTACTCGCATTTAAAGTAGGTAGGCGAAGGAGAAATAATCATTCGGCGTTTCCGTACGGCACAGCTGATTTCAGTTCGATTTAACGATGGAGTATCATTTGCTTTTTTTGATTTTTTTTTGATTGAATGAGTTTTGATTTTGTGATGATTAATATCCATTATGATGGTGTCAAGGAGATCAAACGAGTAAATGTTTATCAAATATGGACTAAAGAGTATAAGTATAATCAGGTGCGGTATAAATGGGACACCTGTTAATTTTTCAATATTTCAGGTTTTAATTTTTTTGATTGTTTTTATTGGTTTGATGTAATAATATTGGTCAATAGCTTTTCGATGATTTTTCGTGATTTTTAAAATTAATAATTTTAATTTATTTAGGACTTTTTTGGTATTATGAGGATAAGTGATTAGATGATTTTTTGAAAATATTTTTTCATGTTAAATGAGTTTTCATTATTTCGTACGTTTTTTTATCATTTTTAGTTGTTATTACCTTAAAGAAATTTTCCATAAATTTTAGTTTCTCTATTATTAAAAAAAAAATAAAAAAATATTTTTCATGATTTTCTATAATTGAAATTATCAAAAATTTTCTTTAATTCTATTACCTCTTTTTATAAATGCATAAAAGTAAACTTTAGAAATGGAAGTTAAAAATAATCTATGAGAATATGAATATTGACTATCCTTAGAGAACCTTAAAAACCATCTAAAATATTTAAAAATTTCTCAAAAATCCTTTCTATTTAACATTTTTATCAAAAAATATTAAAAGTTGAGCATAAAATCAATCAAAAAGCAGAAGAAGAATGATCATTATGGTGATACAAAAAAAAGCTTTTTCTAATATACACTCCTATTAACGAATTCGAAATGAATTCACTAAAGTCTACAGAGGCGTTTATTTATTAAATCAATAGAATTCCAAGCAAACAAAAACCAAAAAAAAATATTTTAATACTCTAATAGTAAATCAGCCCGAAACAAAATAGCTACGGCAACAATAATTATTCCTAGTGAAATGTAGGTATTACAGCGCTGCCCTAAACGCTTGTGCACTAAATCATCGGGTGTTTCTAACATTTAACAACCAGTTCGGTTTGATATGAATGATCGAGCTTCTTCCTTCATCGACGTCTTTAAAAAGACGCACGATACAGAGGCGAAGAGGTGCCGATGATAAATCGACCACACAAATTTAATTATACGATCGCCGAAGAAAGTGCTTTTCAAACTGGTTATTATTCGTTCAAATCGCTCCGAGGCCCTCAAAACAATGACAAACTAGCCGGATTATGTACCTACCAACGCTTATCTTTATGCCAGAGTTTGTATGTATTGTTTAGTAGAAAAATTCCATAGGATCATTTCTTGTATCTACTTGTTGTGTGGTATATGATTTTCGGGAGGTTCCAATGAGGAATTTTTGTGAAACAATCTTGGTGCTCTTACAAAAAAAACCAATAGCTTTACTATAAGATAATGAGCTTACCTTATTATTTCCTAAAGCAGTCTCTTTGGCTAACAGCACGGCCAAGCCGCGCACCCGCCTTCCCGTGCCGAGCGTCCTCTTGGCTTCCGACGTGCTCTTGGCCTCTGGCTTGGGATGATCGTGCACGCCTTTGGCTTGGAAGAAGATCGCGTGCTCCGTGTGCCGCCAAAAATGCGTTACCGGATATCCGCAGTGGCCCCGGCACGCCTGCACTTCCAGGCGGCCCCTGCACTGCCTGTTCGGGCACGGTTTACCTGCGGACGAAAGACAGTTTCAATTGGACATCCTAATATACTTGAAGAGAGTATATCCTAATGTATTTGTTGTGTATATAAAGGGTGTTTCAATAAGACCGAAAGATTTGAATCCACTGTAATGTTTGACAGTCATAATGACACGTGATTATAACATGACAGATCGAAAGTTGACAGTTGGGAGTTAGTAAATATGGATCATTGAATCTGGATATGGAACATAATCGCGCCCTAATTGTTAAACATTACTCCCGTTCGGGTCATTTCCCGGTTTGGTGACCAGAATTGGCCGCCACGTTTTTGTGATTTAGCACCTTTGGACTTCTGGCTGTGGGGTTACTTGTAGTCACAGGTTTATGCCAATATGCCCGCGACCACAGAAGCGTTGAAAGCCGAAATTAGACGCAGTATCAATAAAATACCGTCACATGTATACAATAATGCTATTGAAAATTTTATCAAAAAATTACGCTTGTACCAGCAAAGCCGTGGCGGCCGTTTACAAGATATTTTGTTTCATATGTAATTCCTAAATGTACACATGATAAATTTATAAATATTTCCATATTTTGCTACAGATTAAATTGTTTTATTGAACCTTAAAATCTTGCGCTCTTATTGAAACACCCTTTACAATGTTGTTCTGGAATATAGTGGTAAATAAGTGGATTTTTTAATCATCATTGTAGATAAAATGTGGAAAATAATAGAGTTTCATATTGGTTATTCATTCATCTTAAAAAACGTTTTAGTAGAAATTTTGCTCAAAATTTGCAATGAAAAAACATTCTAAATTATACTTAAGAACCAAAATCAAAACTAAAAAACCCCCTTGGGTCTTTTACATCTCGAAAAACAAATTAATTTTGAATAAAAAAACTAAATTAAATTGCATTCCAATCTCGATTTTTTGAACAATTCAACTTTATCCACTATAACATCTATAAATACATAACAACAATAGAATATCAGCTTTAATTTTAATATTCCCCTGAGGAGTACCTATCAGAGCATGTGAATAACATAGGTACAATACAAGAACGTTTAGTAATGAATAAACAGCATCTCTCACCTTGTTGTTTTTTCCTGGCCTTATCGCATATCGCCGGCCTGAGATGGACTTTTTCGCCGTTCGGCAGCGTGCACCTGAGGGAGCATACCAGAACCCCTAAGCAGCTCTTCTTCAGTATGTGCACGTTGTGATTGTTGGTGTTTCGCATCGCCCAGCCAGAAGAATGCCGTTTGGCCTCCTCGTTATCGGCCCGATAAACTAATCGGCAATGTCCATCGGCCCATTCGGAAAAATTATCGTAGTCGTCTATGCGCGGAATAGCGCTGTCGTTGATGTCCCAGTCGCTAGAATTCGAGTACACCCGGCACGTCATGCCAGGGGAGGAGGGCGTGTGCCTGAAATTAAATTTATTTTAAATAAACATTCTGTATATCTAGTAGCGAGAGTGTATTAAAATTTCTATGTATATTTTTTAAGGTTTGTTCCAATAATGCGGAACTATGTAGGTATCTAAATGGACTGTTCAAAACCGAAGAAGGGTGTTTCCTATAATGGAATGGTCTTTAGAATATAAAGGGGAGGATTCTTTGGTGATTTACTGAAGCTATTTTTTCTATAGATATTAAAATTATAATTTGATAAGTTATGACTTGTCAATAATAAATATACTGATTTTCGGCGCTTCCTATAATAGGCCGCTTCAGATATTTAGTTGAATTTCTTATCAAATTTTAAAACTTTTTAAAGTTATATCAATTAATTACAGAAGTAAGTGGGAGTAAATTGATAACAAGTTGATGGTAAGTAAGTTATAGTCTTCAATGTGTATTTTTTACTGTTACATTTTTTAAGGGGGAGTAAATTTCTTAAAATATTTATTAAAGTACAACCACTCAAAAATATAAAAATTCTCTACTAGTTTGTGACTTCAAAATTGTTAATTAGATACTAAACAATATTTATGTTTAATGCATTAGGTCTTAGATTACTTCAAAATTTTAATGTGTTATATTAGGTAGGTTTAAATTTAAGAAACCACAATCAACAAGACTGAATAATGCATGATACAATAAAAAATATATTTCTCAGAATTTTGCACATATTTTTTCCTTTTAAATCATAATAAACTAATACAAAACATCCTGTATGTTATGGGCAATTTTTTATTCTCTCCCCGTTTAATTCAACATTAATTATCGTACTTTAAAGGCCTTCCTGTATTATTAATATATTCAGAATCAATTTCAATATATGCACTATTTAAAAAAATCAATACAATTCAACCACTTATCGAAAGCGACGCAATCCTGCGCAATTTTTTAAGCGGAAATGCGAATTTTTTACACGTTTAAATAACTAGTTTGTTCTTTTACTTCTTCACTAATTATTACCTTTATCGATTAAAATTAATTTTGTTTCCGGTTGCAACATATGTCTCAGTTTATAATTGACAACAAGTCCCTACTTCTTTCTAAATAAGCAAATAAATGCACGATGCACATCTGATGATGAAAATCGCTCATTCTCATTAATATTAACACCTATAAAGACAGGTTTCTTGTTCTGCACTCATGTGCATATACTGCAACATTGATTACTTATGATATATGTATAGTATGTTAATAGAGAAGAGATTTGTATAATAAAAAATGAAATAGTACTATAGATGATCTACAGGTACTTGAAATTTTTAGTTGTATATAAGTATCTTCAATAATATAATGTTGAATTAAAAGAGTAGGTATATAAATTTTTTAGTGTGTCTAATTTAAACGAAGTATAAAAAAAATAAGTATTATTAGGTACTTACAATATTACCATATCTTTCCTCCAGAGTTCAACGGTGTATTGCTATATGAATCGTTAGACCAAACCGAACAAACAATAATTTATATCCTTGAAATATCGCGAACTGGCTTCGATCAGCAGGTAACAGAACAAACACAAACGACACTAACGAAGAGCATGTGAAAGAAGGATCGGTCGTTACTGAATTACTGAAACGCTGAAAGCCTGAAAGCGACCGCTCGAATAGACCGGCCTCACCCCATTTCTCCCTCTTCCGATATTTGTTCGCATTTTATCCAATGGATTTCGGGCTTTGGCCGTAACCACACCCTTCACTTCCTTCGTCTAACACCTGATGATCGTGCGGAACTGGATTGGTTTGAATAGAACTGAAAGTGTTTTTTTCAGTAGGCTACATTGGGAGATGTAACCGTGTGTGGGCGGATTTTTGGTTTATCGATAATTTACCTACTCGTTCGTCAATATTTGAGTTGGAAAATGTAGCGTTAGAAACTTTTGTTGTTAGAAAGTTGATAGCAAATAACTGTTAAATAGGATTTGTTGTGATCGATTTCCCCTCGTTTTTTTCCTATTTTCGCAGTTCTTGTTGTAATTGAATTGGTTATCTACAAACATAAAAAAAATTCATGTTTTTTAAGTACATAGATAAAGGTGATGAATTAAAAGAATAAATTGCTATAGTATACCTATTTTACAGATCTTTTTATTATAGTTGTTTTAAAGTTAATAACTGATCATGCATGTATCAAACAGCAAAAATCTCACAAATTAAATATCTATGTAGGTTTAAGTATGCTTTCCATTGCATAAAACTTTAATATTCCTTTAATATTCTGGTAATTGTAGGTATACTTACAATGTGACTCTCATAATTGTAGACATAACCTGCGCAACTGTTAAATAATAATATAAATCATTGCGCATCGTACTCACTATCGTGCAATTAAACCTAATACCAACTTAATCTTTTTTATTGTTTCTATAGGTACACATCAACAATTTTATTGATAATTACATAAATTTTATTCAAATCCATATCATTCACATATTTTTATCCCAATTTAATGAACGACCAGGAGATACCATCTCATAGAAATCTACTAATTACTTCACTCATCAACATTCTTACATCTTCTATATTCACTATTGTATAAACAATAACACGCCGACGTGCGGACCTAAATTAACTTATTATGTCCCATCATAAGACCCACTTAAAATTTCACACGATTAATACCCGTCACCCTCTGAAAAAATCACTGAATACCAGATATAACAAACGCATATGAAACGCCAATACTAAAATTCGAGAGGGTGTTGTACGAAAGGGACACGGCGTTTAAACGTATTACCATATTTTAATTGTCAATTGTTATAAACTTATCTAGACGCGCCGGATAGATACAGATAAAGCGCAGGGGCGGATTTGATACAATTTTTCCTTACCATCATATAAGTATTTCATTTATTACATTTACTTGTATCTACATCAAAAATATTAAAAACAGATTCATTGTAGTTATTATGAACTTGTATAAAAAATAACCTTTTGAAGATTTTATTGAAATGTTGTAGGTAGGTATTCTATTTTATTGTTAGTATAGGTACTATGAATATTAGTTTGAAAGAGTCCCGTTATATGAATCAATCTAAGAGAGTCCTTAAATTGTCTATTTTTTGTCAAGAGAGTCAATTATTTAACTTATAGAAGAGTCAATTATTTATTTAACTTAAAAGAACCCAAGAGTCTAATTAAGCCATTTATAAGCCCAATAGAGTCAAAATAAAATTATCGATATAGAGGCTTCTCATCTAATACAGAGAATCAATTATATTTCCAAAAAAAAGTCTATAACCCACGATATCATGCACCCAAAGAAGGATAATATCCTCCCAAATTTTCTGCAGTATTTTAAAATATATACCATCTTAATATTTGACTCTATATGAGGGAATAAAAAAAATGAGCAATGGGAGCAGCCGATCCTGACAAGGAGCGATCGTTCACACGCTCCCGGATCTCGTCGTTCAATTGTCGAACACTGGATGAAAAAGCTAATGAGGGTTCATCTATTAAAATAACACTGATATTTTTTTCTTTTTACACATGCTTGGTCCGGGGGGTGGCTCATTGTCCCTAATTCAGCCGGAGATTGATTAATGTGACGTTAATTTCGAAGGCGTACGCGCACGGGTTTTTTGTGCGTTCGGGATGAATTAAGGGCGTGTAAGTAGCTGTAATGACGCCGATGCGCTTTTGGCAATGCGGTAAAAAATATAATGGAATCGTCGATCGGATTAAAAACGCAAAAATTCCGATAATGTGTGGGTAACGCTACCAAATAATATTATTTTTTATACTGTTAGAGTAGAGATTACGAAGCAGAAAGTACTATAGAGCGTAAAGAATAGAGAATAGAGAGTAGAAAGTAGTGAATAGAAAAAAGAGAGTAGAGAGTAAAGATACCTACCTATAGAGTTAATTATGAGTGCAGAGAACAAAATAGATGCGATTGCAGCCCCAACTCAAATCAAAGTTTGACAAAATTATAAATTATAATTAATGTATCGATTTTCAATAGAGAGTTTATATATTATAGAATTTATAGGAGGTAAAGAGAGTTGAAGAAAGGGATCAATCCAACAATTAATTTTCATTTTAATAAGCGAGCGTTTAATCGCTACTTATAACAGCTAGAAAATCAAGTTAACAAACTTACTTTAAAAGCGATTGTGTACCGTTACATTAACGAGTTAGTCGGGTTTGTTGTTCATCAAGATCATCAAGAGAATGGCATAGAACGTATGCAGCAAAGAGAAAAAGCGCACGGCGCAAACATGAGAATTGTCATGTGCTCAACCAACGGAGCAAAAAATCCTTTGATTCCTTTGCTCTCGTCTACGCTTTTTGAAGTTATACGGAAACCTTTTCCGGGTGCTCTGTTGTGCGAAATATGAAAATGCCTTTGACGACGACTACTTGCATTCGAATTGTGTAAATAGTGTCGATTCGTCTCTTTCCTTTCATAATTTACGGCTCGAATCCTAGGTATATAGCCTTATTATAAACGAGTTGAATATAATACTTTTTTCTACCACCTTAAATATTGGTACCTATACAAAATGTATTTTATATATAGAGCTATAGGTAATATTGCTTCATTTATAATAGACAAATTTATTTAAAAAAGCACTCATTTAATCGAAAAAAATGTATTATAATATTTAAAATTAATCACAAAATTAGTTAAAACGTCTCTTAATAGGAGAAAAATGACACACTTAATTAATAAAACATAACTTGAAAAAATATTTAATTCAACAAACAAATTGAACCAAAAACTCAATAAAATCACGTAATTAATCGTAAAAATGAGCTACAAACCGCACCAGAAAACACCAAAAATGCAATTTGAGATGCATCATCTTTTTTATTTAACCCCCATGCATAGGTATATCTAGATGAGATCTACTTTAGATTAGAGTTCGATTTGCATATGCACCAGTTGCTTAGGAAAGGGGAGCCGCCCTTAATTAAAATATGCTTAAGCGATTACAATTATTTTTAATTGAGGAAAGCGTGTTTCGTAGCTCATTGTTGTGCAATATGGTTTCCATCGTGACACTCGATAATTATTTACCATGAATATTTATGGTGAAAAGTGATGATAAAGTAATGGAGCCCGCATGTTTCGATATTGAAATATTTTAAATTTATAAATACAAATTACTATTGTCGGTTTTTTTTGGTGTAGAGAGAGCTGCAATGTGGTCTATTTAATTTATCAGTTTCGATTTTCAATAAAATGTGGAAATTTTCATTTACAAAATAAGCAAACTAGGTAGAAATTCATTGAAAAAGTACTATAAAATATTTGTTAAGAAAGCTAAATTGGTATTTGTCCGGGGTTTATTTTCTCTCTACATTGGCACTTGATACAAATTTATGAAATTTCTATACTTGCTTATTATTTATCTCGAAACTACAATTTTCTGGTGGAAGAGTTACGGATTATTCTCATCGAAAATCCACCTCTATGAATAGTAAAATTTCCAGCAAAGTCAGCGTCTATTCATTTACCTAACACCCTATATATCAAACGGGACGCAACGTTCGAATAACCCCCTTTTAGGTCGAAAAATCCACTATTGTCCGATATAAACAAGCATTGTGGAATTTGTAAGGGACTTTCCCGTAACACGATGTTTATGTGTTTTCGAAGCGGGGTTAATTCAATCACCATATTATTTTCTCGTTTGCTATTTTGACTGCCGAAGAGGGTGGTTAGAGGGTGGTTTTTCATTTTTGTTGTTATTATTGAGCACCCATTGAGTGGGACATTACAAAAGATTGCCGTTGGTATATGCAAGATTGATTTTAGCCGGACAGGGTGAAAATATTTCGTGTTTATTTTGGTACTTTTGTCTGTCTGATGTTACTACATCATGTAGAAATCCAATCTAAAAACAAGTTATTTATGAGAGAATAGATAATGTAGTAACATTTTAGACATATTTGATATTTTAATGTAATAAAAAAGTTAGTAATAACTCGCTCTGTTATGATTAAAATGAATACACCGAATGGAAATGCTAGATTCCCAGGTTTTGGTTTTTGGTGAGGCGATTCCCACAATCAAGGGTTGATTTCTACCTCAATTAATTAATCTTTTAAACAGTGAGGATCCATGGGAAAGCGTTCTACAGATGCAATGCACGCGTGTGATGCAGCACTTTTTACTAATGGCCAATTAATGTTACCAATAAAAGTCATCGCTTGGATGAATATACCTTTGACACGGAAGCTCCGGGTAGATGCGGATTTTTGATTTACTCGATTATAATATATTTCATCGGCTTAATTCATTTAGTATGATTTAAAAAACTATAATTCAGGGGGATTACTACGTGATTATTTTAGCTACTTCTTAAAGATTTTTTAGTAGTTCTTTGAAGCTTAATTCGCCAATTCAGAAATTTTTGAATACTGAAGCTGTTTTCATTTTTACAGCCATTTTTAAAGCTTTTCTATCTTTTGATTAAAATAAACACTGTTTGCAATGTTATTTTTGAAGTCTTATTTTCGATTTTACTCGAAACCTTTATATATTTTTAACTGTTAATAAATTCCCTAATTCTTCTGATAACACCTAAAAGGCCCACCATAATACTAGACAAATTTTATCTTATTTTTCAACTCATTGAAACCGCTACGGTCGAAAACCGACCTCGATTTAATTTC